TCCCACATAGTGTTTATTTACCAGCAGTCTAGCCTTAAAAAATTTTTTGAACACCACCGCAATTACTAGTCTTTGTTGGCATCAATTTCAACTTGATGCCGTCAATAGCACGGCCAATACATATCCATTACCTGTTTACGTCTGCATTTTCGACACTTGCTTTTTTCGAGGAAGTCTTGACAGGTTCGTTTTGGTGAGAAGATCGATCCAGACATTGCACAGCGTTTTTCGTTGGTCAAAAAAATGCATAGTGCGTTTTTCATTGGCCCCAAAAACTGCACAGTGCGATTTTCAATAGCCCCAGAAACTGCACAGTGCGTTTTCCAATAGTTTTGGATACTGCACGGTGCGTTTTTAAACAGCCCCAGAAAATGCACAGTGCGTTTTTTATTCGATCCAGAAACTGCACAGGGCGTTTTTTAATTGTTCCTGAAACTGCATAGTGCACTTCTTATTTGTCCAGAAACTGCACAGTGCGTTTTTCACTGGCTCCAGAATCAGCACAGTGCGTTTTTTATTCGATCCAGAAACTGCACAGTGCGTTTTTCATTGGCTCCAAAAACTGCACTGTGCGTTTTTCATCCGCCTCAGAAACTGCACAGTGCGTTTTTCATTCCCTCAGAAACTGCACAATGCGTTGTTACAGGCCCCTGAAACTGCACAGTGCATTTCTCATTCGCAACAAAAACTGCACAGTGCATTTTTCATTTGTTCCGGGAACTGCACAGTGCGTTTTTCATTCGCCTCAGAAACTGCCCAGTGCATTTTTTACTGCTCCCAAAAAATGCACAGTGCGTTTTTCATTCCCTCAGAAACTGCACAATGCGTTGTTACAGGCCCCTGAAACTGCACAGTGCATTTCTCATTCGCAACAAAAACTGCACAGTGCATTTTTCATTTGTTCCGGGAACTGCACAGTGCGTTTTTCATTCGCCTCAGAAACTGCCCAGTGCATTTTTTACTGCTCCCAAAAAATGCACAGTGCGTTTTTCACTTCCCTTGAAACTGCACACTGCGTTTTTCATTGGTTCCAGAAACTGCACAGTGCGTTTTTTTAACAGTCCCAGAAACCGCACAGTGCGTTTTTCATTCGCTCCAGAAACTGCACGGTGCGTTTTTCACTGCCCCTGGGACTGCACAGTGCGTTTTTTGCTCGCACGGTGCGAATTATTTTTCCGCGCTTATCAATACCGACAACTAATTGTAAGAGTCCTGACATGTGCAAACATATGTCAAGACTCTTGGACCCACTTTTATGTAACAAGACAGTAATCTTGCCCAAAAAAAATCCCTTACTGCTCCTTGCAAAAACACGCTTCCTCTGTTGAGCCTTATGCTGATAATTACGATAATTACCGGTTGCTTTTCGTCATAAATTCCCAGTCAATTGTGGGTGGGGTAGTCAAAATATTTACATTCTTTTACAACGCCTCATTTCGGAAATGGTCGGGTTTAAAGTGATGTTTTTTGTATTCGAAATCGGCACACGCCCCACTTTTGAATACCGTTTGTGAACATCTACAGTGCTTCCGTTTAATTTTTGGACTTGTTTTTCAAAAATCTGCTTCGTATTTCACCGGTTGTAGCTGAATATGTGACAAGTTTAATACACTCCGTTTGGTCCGCGAAATGTCGTGCTTCTTGAAATGCGTGTTTAATGTGTTTTGAATACGGTTTTTACAGTCGACAGTGTTTGAAATGTACAAAGTTTCAACACTTGTGGAACCTTTTACGACGTGTTAAAATGGGGGCAATTGTCAGGGAAAGTGCTCGAATGTGTGGTTCTTGAATTTTAAGGAAATTTAGCGCTGATTTAATATTAGTTTGTCGGGAAAATAATGTGGATTTGTCGAGAAAAATGTTAAAGGAACTTAGCGTTGATTTGATATTAGTTTGTCGGGAAAATAATGTGGATTTGTCGAGAAAAATGTTAAAGGAATGCGTTGATTTAATATCAGTCTGTCGGGGAAATAATGTGGATTTGTCGAGAAAAATGTTAAAGGAACTTAGCGTTGATTTAATATTAGTTTGTCGGGAAAATAATGTGGATTTGTCGAGAAAAATGTTAAAGAAATTTAGCGCTGATTTAATGTTAGTTTGTCGGGGAAATAATGTGGATTTGTTGAGGAAAAAATGTCTTGTCGCTGCCGTAAGATGAATCTCAAGCCGCGGCAAGCCGTCGTATAACAATGATGGGTGCACTGTGCAGACATTTTTTTCGTTTTTGCACAGTGCATTTTGAACTTTTCCCACGCTTGTCGCCAACGCACTGTGCAGTTTTCTCCTTTCGCACAGTGCAAACCTCGAAAAAGCCGTTTGCACTGTGCAGACATTTTTTTCGTTTTTGCACAGTGCATTTTGAACTTTTCCCACGCTTGTCGCCAACGCACTGTGCAGTTTTCTCCTTTCGCACAGTGCAAACCTCGAAAAAGCCGTTTGCACTGTGCAGACATTTTTTCGCTTTCGCACAGTGCATTTTGAAATTTTTTCTCAGGCTTGTCGCAAACGCACTGTGCAATGGATTTTTCGCCTTCGCACAGTGCATTTTGAACTTTTTCCCACGCTTGTCGCCAACGCACTGTGCAGAGCATTTTTTTCTTTTCGCACAGTGCAAACCTCGAAAAAGCCGTTTGCACTGTGCAGACATTTTTGTCGCCTTCGCACAGTGCATTTTGAACTTGTTCCCACGCTTGTCGCCAACGCACAGTGCATTTTTCTCTTTTCGCACAGTGCAAACCTCGAAAAAGCCGTTTGCACTGTGCAAATCTTTGGGCAAAACCGCGGCGACGCAATTGGAAAAAACCGGCGATATTTCGATGCACGGTGCGAAAACCAAGAAAAGGTGAATGCACAGTGCACGAAAAGGGTTTTTGCGTGCACGGTGCGGGGCGCGACAAATGTCTATGCACTTTATGAAAATACAAATATTTGTGACATTAAGTTCGGAGTGTATTTTCCTACCGAAATCACGTTCTCGTCGCGCCATAAGGTAAAAAAAATCTGCGGACTTTCTGGGGCGACTATTATAGTATATGAATAGGGGCGACTATTAGTATACTTGGGTTCCCTGAACTCAAATTCCCGGGAATTATTGTAGCGAAAGGGGAAACTTCCAAGGACTGTAAAAGTACAACGTCTATTCAATATTCTTATTCGTTTGATGTCATCCTCAATGCCCTTCATTGCAGCTCCGAATTTAAAAAAAAGGAGGCGCACTTGCTGACAATGACGAACAAACGATTGTCGTTGCGAATGGCTGTACTTTTATTTAGGAAAAGTGCAGTCTACTAAAATATTAGATTTTTCACAAAGTGCCTGGACACTTTCACAGTGCATTTTGCTCTCTTCGCGCGGCGCGATCCTTTTAAGAACATTTTTACATTTTCGCACGGTGCAATTGCCTCAAATTTCGCGGCGGCGCAATGAAAAAAGCTTGTGTCGCAGCGATTTTGTTTGAAAAATCATTTGCACTGTGCAGTTGACCTTTTTTCTTGCACAGTGCGGCGCACGACGCCGCCAACATTTGTCGCAGTCCGCACCGTGCACAAAAATCCCCAGATTTTTTGCACGGTGCACTCACCTTCTTTCGGTCTTGCACTGTGCATTTGAAATATCGCTGCGACGCAAGCTTTTCTCAACCGCTGCGATTTCGCTTAAAAATGTGCACAATCGGCATGGCTTTTTGAGGTTTGCACGGTGCGCAAAGGCAAAAACCCACTTTTGTTTTCGCACAGTGCATGTCGCCCGACCGATTTTTTTGCGTTTGCACTGTGCAAGAAAAAGGTCAGGGTGCGAGCGACAAACGAAAAAGCGAATTGCACAGTGCAAAGTGCAAAGTGAAGTTTTGTTTTCGCACAGTGCAAATTTTTATTTTCGCACAGTGCAAGTCAGGGTGCGACAAACGAAAAAGCGAATTGCACAGTGCAAAGTGAACTTTTGTTTTTGCACAGTGCATGTCGCCCGACCGATTTTTTGCGTTTGCACTGTGCAAAAAAAGGTCAGGGTGCGAGCGACAAACGAAAAAGTGAATTGCACAGTGCAAGGTGAAGTTTTGTTTTCGCACAGTGCATTTCACATTTTCTTGATCTTTGCACTGTGCATCGAAATATCGCTGCGACAAAGGCTTTTTTCAAGTTCGTCGCTCCGTCAGCGCCAGGAATTTGCACAGTGCAAACTGTTTTTTTGAGGGCTGCACAGTGCGTTGGCGACAAGCGTGGGAAAATGTTCAAGATGCACTGTGCAAAAGGAAAAAAAATATTTGCACAGTGCAAACGACTTTTTTGAGGTTTGCACAGTGCAAAAAGAGAGAAACAAAAATGCACTGTGCGTTGGCGAGAAGCGTGGGAAAGAGTTGAAAATGCACTTTGCGAAATAGGCCAAGTGTCCATGCACTTAATGAAAAAACTACGCTTTTTCAGAAAGTGCGTAGACTTTTGCCGCAAGTGTTTTGTACCGCATAGTGCAAAAGGTGGCAAAATGCCCTGCGGCGCTCGACGAAGAGTCCACGCACTTTATGAAATAGTGTCTCTTCAAAATTGTTCTTTGTCCGAGACATTCAGATGTCCCATTTGCGAGACATGTGCGCAACCTTTTTTTGAAATGTCGGAATTTGCCCGCCGGGCTTGTCATTTAGCTCCTAATTAAAGCTCAGACCGCCGTAATCCCCCTAAACCGCAAACTTTGCTCCGGCTTCACTCGTTTCGTGGAACATACGACATGTTCGTGTGCCCATTCCATCGTATTACACTGTCATTTCTTTGCGAAAAAACCCGTCTTTCCAGTCAACACCATGTTACAAAATCCACCCTACATTTCCTATGTGTACGATTGTTTACGGTGTCATTCGAATTTTCGGGTTGTTTATCCCACGTATGTTCCGCATACGTGGATATTTTATATACATATAAATTATTGTACAAATTTTCAAATTTTCAGCAAGTTTTGGGTCATTCGTTGCGCCCCGTCGGAATTATGTTCATTGCCTTCATCGCGGTTATAAGATGACGTTCTGCGAAGAGGATCCCAAACTCTTCGACCGCGACCTCGAGTCCACCAAGGAATTTCTGCGCACAATGGCGGCGTTTCAGGCGTAAGTTTCCGCACATGCTCAGAAATTTGTTCGATCCATGAAATTAGCAGTCTGTCGGGAAAATAATGGACATTCTGTCGCATCGAAAATCGCATCGCCGCCGGGAAAATGAATTGTGTTGCGGCGAAATCAAATTGCTTTTCACTTTAGCGACACAATTGGCCCTGCGACGTTGTGCTCATTATTTTCCCGACAGACTGGTATGAAACCAAATCAGCTGAAAGGAGGTGCGAGGGCTCATATTTGGATGAAACTTGAGGGCAGCATTTCGAAATAACACTATTTTGCCCCATAGCAGATATCGTAATTACTCAAGGGACAAATGAACCGTTTATAATTTTTTGACCTGACGCATTCTACAAAAAATGAAAACGGCGCCTTGCACCATTTTTCAAGGGCTTTCCAATGATGTATAAAACTTGCTGTTTGGTGAGGGTTTGTTTGTACACTTCTCTAGTAAGAAACTCCTAGCTCACGCTCTCAGAAACATCCGGGATTTTGAAGCCAAGAGTTGCGAAAAATATGGCACTTTTTTGCGAATTTTGAGATGAAAAGTCTCATACCTGTTTCTATCATAGAGAGTAATTTTTCCACATAAAATTATTTATTTTCTTCCATGTGAAACTGAAAAAGATATGGCTAAAAAGTGATGTTCTCTCTGGCCACCCTTCAGCGTTTCGCGTGCTCACAAGGCCTCAAGGTTCTTTGAATACAGTGGCGTACCTGATCCAGTGGCAAAAAACGTACCATTTTGCATCCGGGAAGTATCAAAATGTGGCAAAATGCTTCGAAGCGCTTCCCTCTCGACGTGAAAAAAAGCTCCGATTTTCTAAAGCAAACCCGCTCTTTTTATGAGGAAAAAGGGTGTGCCTTTCAAAACAAAGTTTTTTCACTTGGAGAGGGAAGCATTTTGCCACATTTTTGATGCTTCCCGGAAACAAAATTTTTTGCCACTGGATTGGTTTCGTCACTGTACGGCCAAAAACTATTCTTCTCTCTGACCACCCTTCAGCGTTTCGCGTGCTCACTAGGCCTCAAAGTTCTTTGAATATCTTGACTGCGCCTGCAAAACGCGAACTAAGATTTTCAGGGATTGATATGTGACCTATGCCCGGAATATGTGCAAAATTTAAAGCAAATCCGACAAAACATTTCTTGCTTTTTGCACCGTGCAAAAGGCTCTTTTGGGCTGTCGCTGGACCCTAACTTTTTGCCCAGTGCATGTCGCAAAATCACTCCAGCGACTTGGCAAACGCACCAGCATTAAGTTGACTAATCTCCCTAACTTTTTTCATCTCAAACCTGCAAAATTCTTCATTTTATTCCGTCGTATTTCAGCTTCTACGCGCCGCTCCACGGGTATATCTGTGTGTTCCTCTGCCTGTTCGGGTTCTCATCCAATTTCATACATGTCATCGTGCTGACGCGGCAGTCGATGCGCGGCAGCGCCGTCAACTCGATCATGACCGCCGTGGCACTCTGTGATATGGGTACGATGGCCTCCTACCTGATCTATATCTGTCATTTTGTTCTCAAAGGAAAATCACCTCATAATTGGTGAGTCTTGCCGCGAATTATTAGGGGTTGCGATGTGTGGGGAGACAAATATTTTGAGTAAAAATCAAATTTCTTCATTGAGGAAGTGCGACAAGTGCGACGAACGGATTTTGATGAAACTTGGTACAAATTTAGAGTAATTTTTTTGAAGACATATGCGACAGTCCTAACTTACGATATGCAGAAACCACCGAGATTTTTCGCTCAAAAGTTGGTGAAAAATTTACATTTTTTTCGAATTTTGGCATAAAAAGTTTCATGGCTATTTCTACCGGAGAGAGTTATGTCTCCAGAAAAACTCATTTTTCTCACAAAGAACTATCAAAATTACAGGCAAAAAAGTGTTTTTCTCTCTGACCGCTCTCCACGTTTCGCGCATCTCGGCCACAAGGACCGTTGAAAATCTCGACTGTCCTTCAAACCACGAGCTAAATTTCTCAGCTTTCTTTTTGACAAGGAAGGAGTTATGTGGTGTGGAGTTACAGGTCATATGCAAAATTTTTCTGATTCAGAATATGCAAGGGTTAGCTGCCTAATTTTGGTTTTTAAGGGTGAAAAAATCCGCAGAACTTTTCTTGCAACACCACGCGAATTTTGACGTATGTCTCGACCTGTAATTCCATACCTCATAGAAAGACTTACCTCTTCAAAAAAGTTCGTTATAAAGAGCTTTCCTTACATGGGGCTTCACAAAATGCGGGCTGAATTTTACAATGCCTTTTTGATCTGTATACAGAAAATTTTCAAAATATCTGAAAACCAGGCTCGCACTGGGAATTATCGACGTTCCAAAGTATACTCTCCCCCCTCTCCTTAACCTCAATTTTTTTTCAGTTCAAACGGGTTGACATACTTGTCCATGTCCTTTCTTTTATTCCACATGTTCCTCAGCATAACCCTCCACACCACCACGCTCTGGCTGGCCGTAGCGATGGCCTTCCTCCGCCGCATGACACTGCACACAACCACGCTGCACTCGCAGTGGCAACGCAGCCGGCTAGCGACCAAGATCAGTCTTATTGTGTTCTTCGTGGTGATGCTGTTCAGTCTGCCGACGTTGTTGGTCCATCGGATAGTCGAATACGAGGCAGATGTGTGGCGACCGAAACCGAGTTGTATGGAGTTCTATCCGGCGAACTATACGGAGACAATTTATACGCTGGCGGTAAGTGGGATTGTTAAAAGTTTTATAAAAATAATAAAATTTGTAATCATTTCAAAGCCCTTCAACGCCGTCAGTCTGCCGGGAAAATAATGGGCAGTCTTTGACGTAAAAAATAGAGTAAAAATAGCAATTGGATTTTGCCTCGACACAATTCATTCTCTCCGCGGCGCACGTCAAACTGAGATAAGCTAAAACAGTCCAGTGAATGGATTGGCAATTTGCCAAAAAAGACGCGAAAAAACGTTTTGTCGGGGGAGAAATGGGGAATTTTTGGGGCGAGAGAGTACGCTTTTGCGTGTCTTTTTTCTCTCTTTCTCTGCGAAATCAAGACGAAGTGTAAAAAACCGATCTATTCCGGTCACCGGACTCCTCAGTTTGACGTGCGGCGATGCGATTTTCGAGGCGATTGAATGCCCATTATTTTCCCGACAGACTGAAAAAGAAACCTTGTTTTTTTGGCAACATCTTTTTCAAAATTTCTCATCCCAACCTCTGTTTCAGATAGCGCCCACCGCCATGCATAACGGGTGTAGGTGGTTCAAGGCGAATCTGTGGCTAACGGGTACCCTCTTCAAAGTGATTCCCTGCATCCTGCTCATCATCCTGATCAGCTCGCTGCTGCTCAAGCTCAAGAACGCCGAGCAGAAGCGCCGCCTCCTCCTGCTGAATGGAGGCGTGGGGAACGACACGAACAAACGCATCACCTCCGACAAGACGACAGTAATGCTGCTCGCGATTCTGGCCGTCTTCTTGTTCACCGAGTTCCCGCAAGGCATCCTGTCGATTCTGAGTGCGGTTTACACGAACGACGTCCACAACATGATCTATTTCATGTTGGGGGACGTCCTGGACTTGTTGTCGTTGGTGAATAGCTCGGTCAACTTTGTCTTGTACTGCCTTATGTCGTCAAGGTAGGGGGGAGGTTTTGAGCATACAGTGGGACCTGATACAGTGGCAAAAAACGTGCCACTTTGCATCCGGGAAGCATCAAAAATGTGGCAAAATACTTCCCTCTAAAAGTGAAAAAATCCGATTTCAAAAGCACGCCCGCTCTTTTTGTGAGGAAAAGTGCCTCTTTTTTAGTTGGAGGGAGAGGCATTTTGCTGCATTTTTTGATACTCCCCGGAGGCAAAATGGCACGTTTTTTGCCACTGGTTCAGTTGCGCCACGTCAAAGAAAAAGTGAAAAAACAAGGAATCTCGGATGATTGATTTTTGACGAAATCTCGCTGAATTATCGAGTCACAAAGGAAAACTTTCACAGAGAAATTTTTTTTTCGAGAAAAATGTTTTTTCAAAAAGAAAAATCATTTTTCTAACTCGATAATTCTGTGGCACTTGGCAAAAAATCAATGATCCGAGATTCTAATTTTACAGGGCGGGGCATCTTTGTGGCCCGATTTGAATTGGCCATAACTTCTCTTGCTTTTGGCCAAATCTTGAAATTCTTTTTTTCCCTGAATCCTCAGACATAAAATATCGGTCTGTCGGGAAAATAACGGCGGATTGTCGCGCCTCGGAGTCGCCCAACATCGCTCTGCGACTGCAAGCCGCGGCTTGGGATTTGGTGCGGCGAGGCGAGACATTTTGATGCGACGATCCGCCGTTATTTTTCCGACAGACTGATAACTTTTCTAATCGCAAAAAATCAATGATCCGAGATTCCTTGTTTTTTGAATTTTCAAAAAAGAATTTTTTTGACCTGCTTGAAAACGGATTTTTTTCACTGGTAGAGGGAAGCATTTTGCCGCATTTTTGATGCTTCCCGGATACAAAATTTTACGTTTTTTGCCACTGGATCAGGTCCCACTGTACTAGTCCAGAAAAGGGCAGGCCGTGAGCGAGGTTTATTCTTTCTAACCTCGTAAAACACATGCAAAATTGTCATCATTTTTTGAAAGCTCAACAAAATGTTTTTCAGATATCGCCACACATTCTGCACAACAATCCTGCCGGTCACCTGGCTCCGCTGCAGTGGGCTTCGAAGCCAAACACAGCCGAATGTGGCGCTCTTCACGAACACCGACTTCCCTTCGCGGATGAACAATGTGGAAGTGTGTTTGACGCCGGATGGACGGAGAAGGTGAGAATTGAATTTATATATCTCATTTAATATTATCAAAGTCAATGTTTGTATCATCAATCTGTCGGGAAAACAATGTGGATTTGTCGCAGATTTATCATCCGCGGTTAGCCGTCGCAAAACGATGATAGCCCACTCCAAGACGCCACAAATCCACATTATTTCCCCGACAGGCCGAAATCAGCCTGTCGGGAAAATAATGAGCACTCTGTCGGAGCGAAAATCGCATCAGAAAATAAATTGTGTCGCCGCAAAATCAACTTGCTTTCCAGTTCAGCGACGCTATCGGCGCAGCGACATTCTGCTATTATTTTCCCGACAGACTAGTATAAAATTTTTCCTAAAGTGCATGGATATTTGCAATGTTTATTTCGCTGAAAAAACATGCCGAAATATTAATAATATTAGGTTGATGCATAATTATCCGGCGTTTTTATTGGCGCGTTTTTTTAGTTAAAAGTAGTTAGTTAAAAGTTAGTTAAGTACGGTTTTCGACACGAATTTTATTAAATAAATAGAGAAGATTATTTTTACGAAAAAAAAAGTTAAAAAAACGTAAATTTTAACTAACAAAAAACCCGCCAATAAAAACGCCGGATAATTATGCATCAGCCTGAAATTTGCGCCCAGCTCCATCAAAATCCGAGCGTCGCACTTTGAGCAATTCGTCCCTGAATACCCATTGATCAGTTTCAGGTCCAGCCCGGCGTTCCGCACGGTCCGCGAGCCGCTCATCGCGCAAGCCCGACTGCCGTTGTCCGCACGTGCCTCTCGCGGATGACCCCAACTTTGCACTTGTTCGGCGTCATGCCGCTCTTCTCCTCCCATCAGCATTTCATCTCGATTGTGATACTCTTTTTTTCTTCTTGTTTTTGTATTTCTAATTTTATTTATCCGATTACAGTGTAATTACAACGGTTATTACAGATATAAAAAAGAGGTCTTTAACAAGTGGTTTTTACAGGGGAGTTGAGTTGTACGGGGTGTTGAGGAATGAGGAGAGAGGAAGAACTTGGAAAAAAGTGCTTATTGCTATTGCAAGAAAGGGAAAATCGCTGCGACGCAAGCGAAAAAAAGCACTCTATGAATGGCGTGACTAGTAGAAATCCGCCTTGTTCCCAGCAAACTTCAAGGGGCAAGGGAAGTCTTGGAGAAATCGGCGGAATCGCAACATTTTTTAGGCGTTCTCAGTTTAGGCTTCAAATAGATAGAAGACGATCGATTTTTTACATGAAACACATATGGTGAGATTAAGCAGGAGCCCAGCTTCAAAATTATGTACGCAAAAAATCCATTCTATTTACTTCATCTTCCATGTGTAATCAGGTTATCCTTGGAGCGAAAAATTATCTTTGAACTAAAACAGAATGCTAAGAATTTTTTATTTCTTGAGCGCTTTTGTGCTATCAGTCTGTCGGGAAAATAACGGCGGATCGTCGCAGCAAAATGTTTCGCGTCGCCGCTATCGCGCAGCCACGGCTTGCAATCGCAAAGCGATGATGAGGCGCGACGATCCGCCGTTTCTTTCCCGACAGACCAATCTTATATTTTTTTCTTGACGTGCTGCGCCACTCGCGTCGCGGAAATGAAAAAAAAAAACTCAACGCGGTCGGTTTGCTTATCAATTTTTCGTCTGTCGGGAAAATAATGAGCACAAGGTCGCTGTGCCAATCGCGTCGCTGAAATAGAAAAAAAATGATTTTGCTGCAACACGATTCCTCATTTCGGCGGCGAAGCCATTTTCAATGCGACAGAGGGCTCATTATTTTCCCGACATTCTGATACCGCCGAAAAAACAAACTCTCCTTTGAATGTTTTTCCTAAAAAATTCTACAATTCCCCTCCAACCCATCGCCGAGAAATCCCCGATTACTCTCCTCCCCACTTCCCCCAACACCCCGTATAACCCGCAACTCAGAAAACATTCAATTTATGCGAGCAGAACGCCTCGCATTGCTCTTTCGTACTCAGGATCAGCTCGTCGGGGTCGTATTCCTCGGGACAGTAGCCGTACGGATAGGACTCACAATGCCCGTTGATGGCGACCCATCGGATCGTGTAGTGGGACGGCTTCATGGTCCGTTTGCACATGGCTTTGAAGGGCAGAATGCGGCCGCAAACCTCGGGGTTCTTGAATTCTGAAACGATTCTTTTTTTGATGACATATCAGTCTGTTGGGAAAATAATGAGCCAATATCGCTGCGACACAAGCTTTTCTCAACGGAGTCGGCGCGAATTTTGGGCGCACCAAATGAAATTGCACAGTGAAAAATGTTCGAAAAGGATGGCGTCGCGCCGGGACTGTAAACTTGCACTGCGCGGTGCAAAAAAGGCCAAAAAAATACACGCACTTCCTGGAGCGAAAAAGTGCATAGATTTTCCAGTCTGTCGGGAAAATAATGAGCACAATACAGCATCCAAACTGGCGTCGCTGCAGAAAAAAACGAATTGTTTTTTCGAGGTAAAATCAAATTGCTTTTTTCTTCAGTGACACGACCGCATTGCGCTCATTACTTTCCCGACAAAATGACAGTGAAAAAGAGGATATTACAGGGTGTACCAAAAAAATGGAAACTTTTTTTCATTTGTCCTGACGCGAAAATGGTTAGGTGTAGCCAAAGAAGTTTATTACTACAAAATTCTCTGTGTTTTTCTGTCCTAGTGGTTTGATTTTTACGCCCATGTCGATTAATCGACCTGTCTTTTTTGAACTTCAAACAAAGGGACCTCGATTTTGGACTTGTTTTTGGAGCTGTTCGAACAGTTAATTTGCTCGGTATAGAAAGAACGTTGTGTCGAAAGTAATCACGAGGCCCAAGGAGCTTGATACGGATAGTAAGCTCCCAGGAAGTGAAAGAAAACGCACCGCCAGCGCTTCTTTCAACCGAAAGATCCCCCACAGCAAAATCCGCGATTTTCAAGAAAAACTTGCCCTTGAGACTGACATCAGCGACCGATCGCTCGGCCGAATAGTCAAAGGCGAGCTCAACCTCATGTCATACAAGCTCTAAAAAATTCAGATCTTTAAAGTCGAGAGAAAGTGCGTACAGCGCAAAAATGTCGGAAAGTCAAAGGGGTGGGCCGCAGCTCCGAGACGTGAGCGCATTCAGTTCGCGGTTCAATATTTAGCGGATACACAACCACCGGAACGATAGAATCTGCTTCAATGAGGCTCCTAGCCTGTTGGCCATCGTTGAATACCACCAAAATCCGGGTCGTCATTGCTTAAGGCGGAATTTGTGCCAGCGGCAAGAATTCCATGTTTTTCGTGAATAAATGGGACAAAATACTAGCGCCGCGTTAATTTCTATTTTGTCGTGCTTCCGTGAGCTAAGCAGAACCTTAGCAATGCAAACTTGGCGTTTCAACAGGACTCAGCGCCGGCTCACAAGGCAAAATCGACTCAGGACCCGAAATGGGACTGATTTTCCCGATTTTATCCCGCCTGCGAAATGGCCGCCTGCTCGCCAGATCTGAATCCAATGGACTATATATTTTTTTAAATAGAAAGCCAGCACCTGTACTATGCTCCACAAAAGTTTGGAGTCGCAAAGTAAATGCTGCGCCAAGAACGGGACCGATTTCCCCCTTAAAAAGCTGCGGCCCGGACCCCAAAATTTTACGTCACGTTTGGAGCTCTATATCGCCACCAAAGGCAGCCACTGTGAAAAAGGTTGAACATGTTATAAACCATGCTCTATGTTACCAATCATGACCGTTACTTTTGCTGAATTTTGATTCTCCGAAAAAATATAGCTATAAAAACAAGTTTCCATTTTTTTGGTACACCCTGTAGGTAAAGCTAGCTGAATCCTGGGCCATTGGATAAGGGACGTGACTTGAGTTGCTTCGTACCCTGTCAAAATCGGGGCACTTCCGAGTTTTTAGCTATAGAAAATCTCGGCTGTGTCGTAAGGCTTAGCAATACACCCTAGATGAAACTTCGAGAAGCCCTGTATTAGTCTATAAGTATGTTGAACTAAGGAGGATTCTTAGCTAGAAAATAATCGACTTCAAACTTTTGCAAGAAAATGGCCATAACTTATTATCCAACCTATATCTTCTCCCTCAAAAACCCCCCACTTACTCTGTAAGACTTGCTCAGCATCATTCGACGGAATAACTTCCGTCTTCACCTCCAAGTCCACCCCCAAATCATTTCCGGGCAGCTCGTCCAACGACTCGAACTCGGGCTGTTGCGTGACCGCTCCGTCCGCGGTAGCCAAAAAGTCGAACAGGTCGGAGTGCCGGAACTCCGCCGGCGTCAAACACAGCAGCTCACAGTCGTCCTTGGTGCGCAATGTGAAGTCGTTTTCCACGCGCGTGCCGGGGCAGAACCCGTACGGATACGAGTGGCATTTCCCGTTCTGGACATACCAACGGACAACGAATTGAGTGGCCTTGACGAACCCTTTCACTTCACAGGTGGTCTTGAACTTCTGACGTTCGCATAGCACCCCCGGATTTGGTGGGGGAATGGGTAAAGGCAAAGCTGATGGAGGAGCAATGACGTCATGCGAGGGTTCATGATTTAAGAGAACTGAAATGGATTTTTTTTGTGGGTTTTCTTGTGAGTAATAAGAGTTAAAAAACAAATTTTTTGGCCGTTTCAAACGGTTGAGCCTGAACACTCCCCCAGCTTGAAAATTGAAAAAAGGGGGTGTGACATGTTATACGATAATTTTTTTTTAAATTAAGATGTCACTCCCAATTTTTCTCAGTTTGAAAAAAATTTCCATCGTATGACAGGTCACACCTCATTTTTCCAACTTGAAAAAAAAATTTCATGGTATAACATGTTACACCTTATTCTTTTCAATTTGAAAAAAAAATTTTATCGTATAACATGTCACACCTCATTTTTTCAATTTGAAAAAAAATTTCATTGTATAAAATGTCACACCCCATTTTTTCAATTTGAAAAAAAATCATCGTATAACATGTCACACCCCATTTCTTCCATTTGAAAAAAAAATTTCATCGTATAACATGTCACACCTTATTCTTTTCAATTAAGGCTTTCTGGCAAACCAAAAATCAATCATTCTGTCGGGAAAATAATGAGCCCTCTGTCGCATCAAAAATCGTATCACCGCCTAGAATACGCCTTGTACTGGTTATTTTCCCGACAAACTGATAAAAATAAGCAAGTTTTATAAGCAAACTGACCGCGTTGAGCCCTTCCCGGCGCTCTCCTGATCTCCTTCTCATCCTTTTCGCCGCCACTCTTCTGCTGCGCACTCTTCTGGAAGTCCACTTTGGCGCTCTCGTTGTGCTCGCCGCCGTACAGCTCGCTGAGATGTTGGAGATTGGGACAGCAAACGCCCACCTCATCACTGTCCTCCTTCTCGCACGCGAAGCCGTCGGGACATTCGCGAGCGCACGCGTAGATGTCGCCCTTGCCCACCAGCAACGGCAGCGACTTCCCGTCCGCGCACAAACTCGAGGGTGTCGCGGAAACTGAAAAAGAAGCGCGTGATCAAGACGAACGAAGCGACCGGGAAGAGGAAGAGGAATGCGGATCGGCGGGTATGTCATTGCGATCAATTATTAATAAGCTCTCAAAGATTGTCAAAAAAAGGAAGCAGAGAGAGAGGGCAATCTTTGAAAAACTGGATGGGTTTGTGACAGCGGAAACTGATGTGTTTCATGTTACACATATCCGGGAAAATATGCAACCTATCCGACGATCAAGCCAGAGGAATAAAGTACATCCGCGCATGAATTTTTTGCATACTTGTCCGTCCGGAAAGTCACTGAACAGATTTTTAGCATTTTTTTCTGCGCAAAAAAAGCATCACAGCCGAAAAAAGCCTATTGCACGGTGCAAAAAGGAAGAAATTGCACAGTGAAAAGTGAACTTTTGTTTTCACACAGTCGCTGATTTCAAACCGGCGATTTTCCGGACGAACAAGTATATATATATAACTCCAAGTACGACGCTCAAACTCTAATGAAAGATAGCACAAATTTATCCTCATTTTTTTTTAAAGACATGCAATCCTCCTAGCTAGCATTTACAGGAACAACGGAGACGTTTTATCGAAATTTAGCGAAGAATGACGGCTTTTGCGAATTTTGGCAGGAAAAGGAGCCTAGACTGTTTCCGCAAAGGGTAATATTCCCACAAAAAATCCATTTTTTCCGTACAAGTCTGGCAAATAACATGGCCGGAAAGTTTCATCGACCGCTCTCCGCGTTTTGCATACTCTCTCGGAAAACTTTGTTGAATATCTTGGCTTCCCGGATATCTCGGTTGTAGAGTGGAAGCTAATTAAATTATTAGTTATCGGCTCTATCCAACATAAATTAAGACCTCAGCTTTCGCCGAGTTTTGTCAAAATCAAAGCGAAAAAATTTGGGCTGCTGGGCCGTCCGGAAAGTCGCCGGAGTTATTATTTTTAGCGCTTTCGCTGTGCGAAAAAAGACAGGATGCTAGCGACAACCCAAAAAAGCCTATTGCACGGTGCAAAAACCAAGAAATTGCACAGTGAAAAGTGAACTTTTGTTTTCGCACAGTGCATGTCGCAAAAATCAGTCCAGCGACTTTGTGGGCGAGCTAGTATTAAAAAACAAGTTAAAACACTGTCTAATGCTTTTAAAAAATGATAGTCCAAGTTTTCGCTAACAGGGGAAGTACTCCAAGTGCGACGCTCAGATTTTCTTTAAATTTTGCACACACGTCGGGGATGGACTAAATATCAATTCCTAAAAGTTTTAGCTCGCGCTTTGCAAGCGCCATCGAGATATCGAACGATTTTTGCCGCCGAGAGAGCACGCTAAACGTGGAGAGCGGTCAGAGAGAAAAGCGCTTTTGGCCATCACTTTGGCAGTTTCGTGGGGAAAAATTTGATTTTTTGTAGAACATTATCGTTTACGGTTGAAATAGGCATGAAACTTTTCATGCAGAAATTCGGCAAAAAGGCCTAAATTTTCGCCGACTTTCGATCTAAAAATCTCGGTTGTTTCTGCAAAGCGCGAGCTTGGATTCTCGCATATGTCTTAGAAAAAAATTATTCTTAATTTGTGCCAAGTTTCATCAAAATCTGAGCGTCGCACTTGGGGTACTTCCCTTGTAAGTCTTGTCAAAATTGGAGCGAAAATTTCGGCCACCGGTAGCTCAACACCCAATTCCCTTGGCACAAGCTCCATTCCGCACAAAGCACACAAAAGCATCGCCAATTCAACCGCGTTAAGGTCGCCTACCTGTCGTGGCGGAGAGCAGTGCCGTGAGCAAGATTAACGACTTCATCGTGCAGCCACAATCAACCGCCTGATCGGGTGTGGAGACACGCGCAACGCCGAGTGCCGTGCGAATGTTTGTGTAGATGGCTAAATTCCGCAGATCCTAATCAAATTCGCAAAAAATCATAAGCGCTTTTTTTCCGCGTCCGTCGCGTTCCGCGGCGCCAACTCGTCTCGCGGCAGAGGCGGGGACGATCGGGGTTCGTTCGGCTGGTCGGTTCGACCGAAACCAGTCCGCTGTTTTGTAGGGTGGTGGACGGGCGATGCATGATCGTCCGCCGAAGCCCGATCCATCATATCAGTGGAGGAGCGGTGTGTGTTTACACGAAAGTCGTCGTCTGGCGGCGCAATAACCGGATCCGCCCGCCCCGGATCCGGCGCGCCACCTATGCCCGCCGCCGCCGCCGTTGACGGATGAGGAAATGTCGCAAGGCTGCGAATTTGAGAAATTTCTTTATTTGTTGCACTTCCCGTTCACCCCCCTAATAACCGTCACGGTTCCCGCCCGCCTCCACACCGCCTTCAGGCGATTTGCGGGTTCCATCGCGTCTGCTCTGACCGCCCTCCCGTAACGCCGCGCTCTCTGCTGACGTGACCTTTTGTGGCTTTTACCGCGCTCTCTGATAACCTTGACCGAGAGCGAAGTGCTTCGTTTTTCTTCTCGATTGATTCGACTGTGTTGGGCAATGGCGGCAACACAATACGACTTGGTGGTCGTCGGCGCTGGCCCCACCGCTTTCGGCGCCCTCACTCGCTTCGAGGAGCTGCGCAGACAAGGAGTTGTCAAGGTGGGCCAATGATGACTTTTCGGTCATTTCTTTATTATCTTTTTTTCAAAAAAATTTGAAGCGTATTCCGCGGATTTTCTTCGAATTTTGCACGCTTTCTTTGAGTAGATCATGTATTAATTGCTGCTAAATTCTAGCTTGTGCTTTGAAGGCGCAGCCAACTGTAGTTTTTCCAGACTTTTGCTGCGGTGATTTCGGCGACATGCACTATGCGAAAACAAAAGTTCACTTTGCACTGTGTATTTTTTTGCTCTTTCTCCAGGCTTTTTCGGGCTGTCCCTCGCATCCTGACTTTTTCTGCAAACAGCAAAGGTCAAAATAAATTCCAGCGACTTTGGCTAGTACAATGATTTTTGCAAAGGATTTACCTATAAAATGAAACTTCAGAAAGAGGCCCGAATTCTTCTGATTGACCGAGAAGCCGAGCCTGGCGGGCTAGCAAGAACGTTGCAAGATGAAAACGGATTTTCTTGGGACCTCGGGGTCCATGTGACTGGAGCCTCTCGATTCTCGGCCTTCCTTCAGATGTTGGACACGGTCATTGAAGACTGGAATATTTTGCCAAGACAGGTCTTGGTAAGTCGATCGCTTATCGCATAGATTCTTTTTATTTTTTATTTGGCCATTTACATTTTTTTTATTTTTTATTTGGTCATTGTATACTAGTCCGTTCGCAAAGTCGCTGGAGTGATTTTTGGCTTTTTCACAGTGTATAAAAATCAGTATTAGAGACAGCCCAGAAAAGCCTATTGCACAGTGCAAAAAACAAAAAATTGCACGGTGCAAAGAAAGGCTTACTTTTCGCACAGTGCATGTTGCAAAAATCTCTCCAGCAACTCTGCAAACGGACTGGTATTGCTGGGAAATACTTCAGGCGGACATCAGTCATTTGGTCAACGCTCCCAGAGGCTCGAAGGACAATTATGCGCCGTATCCGGTGCAAAACTACATTAATTACTTTCCGGAGGCGCTGAAAAACAGATGCTTGGCAGAACTGGAAAAGGCCAATCAGCAGAACAATAATAATGGTGAGTTCTCACGCCCTAATTGTAAGGATTGTGCTAAAAACGCGATGCAAATTTGAAATTTATAAGGGAAAAATTGCTCAAGTTCCAAATGGGACGCTTTTGCCAACGATTTCTATGCATAAAAACATAGAGCGCCGCAATTGATGCAACTTCAGCCTGTCGGAAAAATAATGTGGACGTGTCGCAGCAAAATCTCTCTCCTCGTCGCAGTCGAGCAACAAATCGCCAGCTAGATGTCGCATGGCGAAGCTGGACGATTCCAAGGAGCAAAGAGTCCACATTATTTTCCCGACAGCTCATTATCAGTTTGGGAGGAAAATAATGAGAAATCTGTCGCATTGCCGCCGAGAAAATGAATTGTGTAAAATCGAATTTGATTTGGGTGACATTTTATACGATGATTTTCCTGACAGACTGATAATAGTGTAGCAGCGCGCATTCAACGCTTTTCTAGCCAAAAAAAGTTTAACATACCACCATGTTCTATAAAATTTTTGATGACTATAGGCGCGGAAGAGACAGCCTTTGACAACTTTGGGACATTCAGTCAAAACCACTTCGGCTCCACCCTCCAGGACGTCTTCATTCGGCCGTACAACGAGAAGTAGGTGATCCCTCCCGCATGACCTTTTCTTTTTTGGGTTTGGACCGCGACTCTGGAAGAAATGAACACGGATTGGGTGGAGGGACGCGTGCCGAAGATCGACCTGCCCCGTCTGCGCAAGCTGTGCGATGGGACGCTGAAGGAGGAGGAGGAGAAGCGCTACTGCTTCCGATACCCGGCCAAATGCAAAGGAATCGGGGAGATTTGGTGCCGGCTGGCTCAGAAATATGATAATGCCATATTCAAGTTGAATTCAGAGGTGATCAAAGTGGATCCGAAGAGAAAACAGGTGAGTTTTCTTTACAAGGAAAGTGCCTCTATGTGGTACGGAGTTTTCTGATTCGGAATATGTAAAAATTAGCTGCCCTATTTTGCTTTGTAAGGGTGGAAAAACCCCTCAGAACTTTTCTCGCAACACCACGCAAATGCCTTTTTGACCAAGTTTTTACCGATTCAAAAGCGTTTTTTTTGAGCTAAAGTAAACCCTGGCATCTTGACAAGCCTTACAATAAATATCAAATTTGGTTGATACTACTTGAGGGACCTGATCCAGTGGCAAAAGACGTACCTTTTTTCATCCGGGAAGTATCAAAAATGTGGCAAAATACCTCCCTTTCCAAGTGAAAAGACTACGTTTTGAAATTCGCACCCTTTTCCCTCAAATCTGAGTTTGTTCACTTGGGGAGGGAAGCATTTTGCCACATTTTTGATACTTCCCGGATGCAAAATGGTACGTTTTTTGCCAATGGATCAGGTCCCACACTGTAGAAATACGTTTTGTTCTTCGAAGGCAATCCAAACTCGCGCTTTGCAGAAACAACCACGATTTTTTAGTCGGAAGTTGACGGAAATTAGAAGCCGTTTTTTTTCCAAAATTGTACGTGTTTTGCCAAAGGATCAGGTCCACCACTGTCGTAGTTCCAATGTAAAAAACGGGGATTTGCGTGGTGTTGCGAGAAAAGTTCTGAGGGGTTTTTCGCCCTTACAAATAAAAATTAGGCAGCTAATTTTTTCATATTCTGAATAAGAAAAATTTTGCGTGTCTTGACCTGTAACCCCATACCCCACAGAAGTACTTTTTAATTTAAAAGCGAGAAATTGGGTCAAAAAGCAATTGAAAATAATGTCGCTGATCGTGTCGCCGAAGTGAAAAGCACTTTTATTTTGCCCCGACATAATTCATTATTTCCTCATTGTCAGCGGTGATACGATTCCCTATGCGATATGCTCATTATTTCCCCGACACATTGATAGTAATCCCCCTCCCCATTTTTTTAGCTCTAACGACTGTATAATAACTCTTTTGTCGTTTCAGCTCACCCTCAAAAACCTGTTGACGAACACATCAACAACCGTTTCCTACCAGCGCATGTTATCCACCATCCCCGTGACGCAACTCAACCTGCTCTCCGAGAACATCATCCCAAACCTGCGCCTGCGGCATTCCAAAGTCGTCCTGGTGGGAGTGGCCCTAAAACTGCCGCAAAACGAGCTGGCCGCGAAGCTGAGCTGGGCCTACTACCCACGGCCGCAGACCTCCTTCTATCGCTGCACCATCATCTCCAACTTCTCGGCGACAATGACGCCGGACCCCACCAAATTTTGGTCGATCTTGTGCGAGATTGGAAGGAGGCCGGAGGAGGAGTTGGACGAAAAAATGATGACGAAACAAGTCGTTGAGGATCTGATTGAAGTGGGCTTGGTCGACGAGGAAAACCAAGTTCATTCCACGTGGTTTCAAGTGATACCGTATGGGTATCCCATACCGACGATTAATAGGAAAGCGGAAATGGACAAATGTCATCGGATTCTGGAGGAACATCAGATTTACAGCAGGGGAAGGTGAGGATTTTTGTAACAAAGGGGGAGGTGACATTTTATATGATGAAAATTTTGTTTTTTTTTCAAAATGTGGGTGACATTTTATACGATGAAAATTTTCCTTTTTTCAAAATGTGGGTGACATTTTATACGATGAAAATTTTCCTTTTTTCAAAATGGGGGTGACACTTTATAGGATGAAAATTTTACTTTTTTCAAAATGTGGGTGACATTTTATACGATGAAAATTTAATTTTCTTAAATGTGGTGACATTTTATACGATCAAAATTTTACTTTTTTTCAAAATGTGGGTGACATCTTATACGATGAAAATTTTACTTTTTTCACAATACGACGTTTTGCAAATTCCAATATGAAAATTGGCTGATTTTTGGCCATAATGCGAAGTGAAATTTTATACTATAAAATTTTTGCTTTGTTTTTTCAAAAGTCGTCAATTTTAATTTTGAAAATTTGAATAAAATCTTTCATCGGATAACATGTCGCCTTCCATTTTGAAAGTTCATAAAGTTGGTCTCAATCGGGCATACTTTCCGAAGTTGCTGTTAAATTGAAAAATTATGTAAAAAAGTTCAAAACTAACTTTATGAAAATCTCAGTTTGTCGGGAAAATAATGAGCAACTTATTTTTGACTATTCCCACTTTTTCAGATTCGGCTCTTGGCACTACGAGACGTCCAACCAGGACAATTCCTTCGAAATCGGGCGTTGCCTGGTCAACCGGCTGTTCCTGGACGAGCCCGAGCCTCCATTCTGATCGCAATTAGTCGAAAGATGCAACTTTCCCCCCATCTATAATTTTTTTCTCCGTAGAAATAAACTTGCTTTCGCTTTCGTTTCTTGCGTAAGAGCAATTAAAAACCGACCGCAAAAGAAATGGATATCTGCTTGTAGAGGGGCGGCTCTTCCGAAGCCCTCTGGGCGTTTAGTGGGAGATCGTTTACCTCTCTTCCAGGGATCGGAGCCCTTAGCCCGGCGGGGTCGAAAGCCGCCGGAATCACAGCACTTGGGTGGGGCGGATAATCGTGCGGTTAATTGCCTCGCTAAGCGTTTCAGACGCGTCCAGCTACGGTGTGGTGATGCGCGCGTCGCCCATGTTCTGCAGCTCAAAATGAGCCAGCCGCCCGTCGCCGAATGATCGTCCCCTTCAATTTCGTCGTCGTCGTTGCGGCCTGCGTTGCGCTCGCCCAGGCCACGTTCTTCCTCAACTCTTGCGGCGGATGTCAAGGTAGGAGAGTAGCGTGTATCAGTCTGTCGGGGAAATAATGAGCAACATTTTACCGCCATCCGAAGGTTCGATCTCGAACATTCCTACTGGTAAAAGGTGATGTTATATCAGTCCGTCGGGAAAATAATGGGCACTCTGTCGCGGCGAAAATCGCATCGCTGAAGTGAAAAGAATAGTGCGGCAAAATCGACTTGCTTTTCACTTCAGCGATGTGATTTTCAGCGACAGAGTGCTCATTATTTTCCCGACAGACTGATATAGCATCATTTACCTGTATGATTTTTCGAGATCGAACCTTCGGATGGCCGTAAAATGTTGTCCACATGCTCTGTCTAGGCCACACTTTGAATACCAAAAACTTATTGCACCGTGCGAAATCGGTTTTTTTGGGACCGCGACAAATGTCCATGCACCTTGTGAAAGTGCTATCACTCTGTCGGGAGCACTCTGTCGCAGCGAAGATCGCATCGCCACCGAGAAAATTAATTTTGTCGCGGCAAAATCGAATTGCTTTTCAATTCAGCGACACGATCGCCGCGATATTGTGCTCATTATTTTCTGACAGACTGATATATCACATAACTCCCAGAAAATCGCAAATTGTCAGTCAATTCCAACCCCAATTTCTCAGCGATTATTGTAACGAGCGAGTAAAAAATCGCCTAATTTTCCAGTGGAACCAAAAACCTGGGGCACCCAAAATGAAAAAAATAGCCATAACGTCCGAGTACTGAAGCCAAATGGGATGAAACTTTGCATAGCTTATTCTTAAAGGCTGATTAACACTTGTGTAAAATTTCATGACATTTGGAAAAAATACCCCCGAGATGTAAGCGAAAAATGAGGTGGAACCAAAAACTTGGGACGCACTGTATATGTTCCTAGTTTTATCAAGATCCGTGAGGTCGTAAATTAACAAATCCTGTTTCTATTTATTTATCTTCTACCTACTTCATGGTCGTCTTCTAAAAGCATGTTCCAGGTCCTCCACCGCAACGTCAATGTCCTCAACCCGCTCCCTGTGGCCGCCCTCCCTCTCTACCTCAGCAGGCATGCCCTCCATGCGATTGCAGTGCGATTGCCGCCAGTTTCGGGCCGATCAACCAGATCCCGACCCTAGTCAGCAATAACTATCGTGGAACAAACCCTGGCTATGTGAGAGGGATTCCCGCTCCGCTACCACCTCCGCCTCTCACCAACACCTACTTGGTGGCGCAGCCCAGCAACAGTGTGATTGAGAGCTACACTCTGCCGCCAAGGCATTTGACAACCACCAGTCATCACCATGGACATCATCACAATCGAGCGACTAGCACTTGTAAGTTGAAATTAAGCTTATGGCGGTAGTACAGGGTCTTACAAAAAACGTGAAGGAAAGTCGGAGGCTATAAGTTCCGGCGGAGACGGCGCAGCGACTTCGCTTTTGGAATACGTATTTTGAAGCGGCATTAATTTTTGTCCATGAAATCCCAAAGTTTTAAAGTGAAAACTGAGGTCGCTACAACCTTCTGAAGAAGAGGCATTCCTACCCCGTAAACCACCGTTTTTCAGTTGAAAATGATCGAGAAATTTAGGACCTTTTCGGTTGAAAATCACCGAGAAATGTTGGATTTTATATCAGCCTGTCGGGAAAATAATGAGCTCTCTATCGCTGCGAAAATCGTGTCGCTGAAGAGAAAATTGAATTGATCTTGGCGCGACACAATTAATTTTCACTTCAGCGATGCGATTTTCGATGCGACAGAGAGCTCATTATTTTCCCGACAGACTGACATGCCATAGTCAACACTTTGAAAAGTGATTTTGATATATTTGACATTTCCAGCCAAGTCGGTGGACGATGTTTATGATGAAGTCATCCCGAGCGACAACAGCTTGTCTGACATCTCATTCGACTCGAAACGACTCGCGCCTCATGACGTTTTCGTACGGCGAAACCGATTCCTCCGGCAACTACGTGTAGGTTTTAGCTATATTTACAGTTTACTTCCAACATTTGGGCAGAAATTATATTATACTAGACATTAACCTAGATTTCTCTCAAAAAATCGCCAATAAAATTTTTTTTTCAGAACCGTGCCCTCCGGCAATTCTCAGCCAACTCCAAGGCCGACTCTATACCTCAATTGGACGAACGGAGTTTCGTCCCGTCCGTCTGTAACAACGAGAAACTCGCAAAGGTCATGGTCAAGGTAACTCTGTGGATTTTTGAGTGGAACTTCGTCAATTAGGGAAAAGACGATTGGTGAAACTGAAAAGTGTTATTTTTCTTTGATGTAAATGTCGAAACCAGGATAATGAATGATGGTGACTTCGTAAATGACGTTCATTTTTTTTTGATGTTACTATTTTTCTTACGTAGTGCTGTAAAGTAGTAATTTTTTGAGTTTTCCTCGCAAATACTCGATTTAGGAGTTTTCGATAGTGCTGATTCCGAAAATTTATTCATTTTTTCTGATTGAAATCAAGGCTTCATGGAAATTGGACAGTGAGATTGGACGGAGCGTGGATATCGGACAGATTTTTTCACTGCAAAAAAATAGTGGCATTTCGTATGATTGCAGTCAAAAAATCTGTCCAATTTCCAAGCTCTGTCCAATTTCCACGTTCTGTCCACTTTCACTCTGTGCAATTTCCATGGAACCCTAATTTCAAATTAACAAAAATGAATGAAATTTTCGGAATCAGCACTATCGAAAACCCCTAAATTGAGTATTTGCGAAGAAAATTCAAAAAATCACTAATTTACAGTACTACTTCAGAAAAATAGTAACGATCAAAAAAAATGAATGTCATTTCCGAAGTCAGCATCATTGATTATCCTAACTTCGACACTTGCATCGAAGAAAAATAATACTTTTCAGTTTCCCCAATTTTCTTTTTCCCCAATCGTCGCTCCACGTCAATACAGCGCATTTCCTGAACCGTTTCGAAACTTCGTATCGTTTTCATTGAATTAAAAGAGAGACGAAATGTCGCGAAATTATCGACACTTTTTCTCGCCCGAATTGCTTTTTCTCGAAAAGGAAGAAGAAAGATAAGAAAATGCTTTTTATCGGAGAGTGACATTTCGTTTTGAACGAATCACCAAAAAGGGGCGGGAAATTCTTTGTTCTATTTGCGCGCTCTCCGATTTTGAGTGCGTTTTTCACCCCGCAAAATTATATTAATTTTAGGCAATGGTGAACGACATCACTGCCTCCAAACGTCTGGTCCGCAAGGCCACGGAAATGGCGTTCAACGGCCAGAAATTCGATGTTTTGTGCGCCAACGGCGACTTCAGCTATTCGGTTTACGCCAAACAGTACTGCGAAGCGACCCGAGGGAACATCACTTGCTTCGCGTTTATTTAATAGGAGGGATTAGTGTATCACAAGTTGAGAATATCGGGTACTTACTGCAGCAGTAAGAGAATTGAAATTGTTTTTTACAATAAATTATCAAATTTATACTCTTCGGTGTTGGTCCATGGTTGATGGAAGACGGTGGCGGTGATGGTCTTGACGTTCGAGACCTCCTCGTCCCCAACCAACTTCTCGTCCGAATTCTGAAGGAGATTCGGTCAGAAATTATATTGTACTTGACATTATTTTACTTTGTTGGCCGGGAAGCATAATTTCATGATCAAAAAGTGTCTATATATCACTCAAAAGCCCTAATCTTTCTATTGACACCATTTCCGAACAATTTCCCGCACAAAATTATATTACACTTGACATTTTTTTGCCTATAGTACAATTTATCCATGAATTCGAACCCCGAACCTGTTTCTAAACAACTCAATAGGCCTCAATCTTTGTAGCAAGATAATTTTCATACAGTTTCCCGCACAAAATTATATTACACTAGACATTTTTTGCTTACAGAGCAATTTATCCATGAATTCGAGCCCCGAAACTTTTTCTAAACAACTCATTAGCCCTCAATCTTTCTACTGACAGCATTTTTGATCAGTTTCTCGCATAAAATTATATTATCCATCACTTCTCCTCCTAAAATTTTAATCCAAAACACAGTTAATCCGCTTACGTTTTTCTTGTTTGTCTCTCCAACGTCGAGCTTGATCTTGTAGTTGGTCCCGGCAACCACCTGAGTGTGAACGGAGTGAACTTTCACCAACCGATGGAGATTGGCATGGTTGGATTGTTTGTTGTAGTTGTGGACGGCTTTCTCAACCCATGGCTGTAAATATTGATGTAAACTTGTGTTAAATTTAGTCTTTCTGCTATTCGGAGTTATTCCAGCCATGTTTCTTTCGAAAAACATGCTTTTGTTGGGAAATACCTTATTTTAGGTATAAAACGGAGTCTTTGAAGTTTGTTTTGCGATGTAACCCTCTTTTCACGTGGGTTCAAATGCGAAAAATCAAAGAAGCTTGTCGGATTTACCAAACCAAAGAGACCGATACCAATTTCGACGACAAAATCCCTCGGATTTATCCATCTTCTCCTATTTTATACCTATTTTCAACAAAAATCCCTAAAATCTCCAAAAAAAAACAAAAACTTTCGAAACTCACCTTGATGTCGGGGCTGTTGGGGTCTTGTTCAGTGTATCCTCCAACGATAGGTCCGGACATTCTTCTTTTCGCTGCAAATCTCACAAATTTATTAATCCTGGAGGTCTAAAACAATATTTTTCAATTTTCAAGCGTTCCCCGAAATTTTTTGGACGCGAGCCCGCAAAAAACATAAAAATGGAAAGAAGAGTGAATGGAGGGAACGCGAGAGCGAGCAAGGACGCCAAAACAAAAGAGTAAACAACAGTTATGACTCAGCGGAGGCGATAACACGACATTCAAGACGAAAGTCAAGTGTTTCAACCATTTTGTTGGGCCCAATTTATAGCAAACCGACAGTCAACAGTTGTAAGCACTTTGTACTTTTAGTGTGGCACAAATTACGCTCATTTGAAGGAGGGAATTCGATGCAAACAACGTTTTATTGGGGAGTTTTATAGATAAGTGAGGGGCGTCTAGTGTAACAAAAGTTTAATGGGCCCTATACTGATAAATTCAATGACGCATAAAGAGCAATTGAAGACAAAATCGATTGAAATGCCAATCGTGAAATGGCGGCGATCAATCGAAGAAAAATTTGACATTAGATTTAGTCATCATCAATATGATGGAGCCTATTTATAGTTGTATTTGTAGGGGTGTATGTTTGTTTTTGTACGTTCTGATATGAAATGGGTCTGTTCAAAAAGATTGGGCGTGCCTTGCGGGCATTTGAGGGAATTCCGGCTAATAAAAAAATGGAGATGTCAATAAAATCTATAAAGTAATATGCGATTGTTCTTTGATCGGAGAGAACCGTAGTGGCTGCTAAATAGTAGTCTAAGGGTCTAAAATGGCCTTAGGCGCTTTGTCTTTCCATATTTTTGCGATATGTTAGCGACAAGACTAATGCTGACTGAACGCCTCTCATGGATAATATACGGCTAAATAGACGAAAGTTCAAGCCAAATCTCCTTGTAAACCTTGCTTACTGCACTGTAAAGCCCTCTAGTTACCCATACTTCCAATTACTTTGGTTTAAACAGACAAAAACATCAAAATCCTTCACCCAACCACAATCTAATGCCATGAGTAATATAAAAAAACGCTTAATTCTGCTGAAAAACCAAAGGTCCTTCCGTTTTATAACGGGTATTTCGCAAGAGCAATGTTTTGATTGCACATTCGCAAAAATTCAAAATTTTCGCGGAATTGGAAGAACGGACAAACAAAGAGTCAAAAAATGATGATTCACGCGGTTCCGAAGACCTCTTATCGGCGACCAAAGTATCGAAACTGGGGTTTACCATTGATCCGGGACGGGGCAGATTGCATCAGTGTTATAAATACTTGATTTCAAGATAAAAACCAACGCCAAGAGCGTAATGGGATATTACACTTGATAACAGATGACCGGAATGGTCGCAAATCGGTCACAACTCCAAAAAATTTTACCTTTCGAAGTGAAATTATTCGAAAATAACAAAATTCATTCATTTTTCTTAATTTTCTAATCGAAAAATTTGCATAAATCTCAAGGATTTGGCATGAAAACGGACAGTCCGATGATGGCCCAACCGCTTCGGACCACGATTCACGTCCCAGAAGCATCTGTAACAGGTAATCCTAGCAATTTTGCGCATTATATTACACTTGTTCACCAAAATTTCCAAAAAAACCTCAAAATTTGACGATTTTTCGGAAATTTTGATGACTAAATGAACTTTTAGTGTGGTACAAGTTACGCTCATTTGAAGGAGGGAATTCGATGAAAACAACGTTTTATTGGGGAGTTTTATAAATAAGTCAGGGGCGTCTAGTGTAACAAAAGTTTAATGGGCCCTATACTGATAAATTCAATGACGCACAAAGATTGCTCACAGGGGAAGTCCCCAAGTGCGACGCTTAGATTTTGATGAAACTTGGCACATTATGCGAGAATTCTAGCTCGCGCTTTGCAGAAACAACCGAGATTTTTAGATCGAAAGTCGGCCAAATTTAGGATTTTTTTGCCGAATTTTGGCACGAAAAGTTTGTTTCTTTGAATTTCTCCGCGGAGACTCCGCCGATTTCCCCGAAATAAAGATTTTTCTGGAGCTGAGACCCGCCATTTTTAACCGATTGAATTTCAAAAAAATATGTTTTGAATTGACCTTTCTATGCCTTCCCAAAGTTTCGAAGAATTATTTTCGAGCCGAAACCGCTAAAACTTACAAGGGAATGGTCTGAACTTCCCCCAGCGTTAAGGAAAATGACTGGTACAGGTGGATAGAGCAGGTCGACTTTGGTAGAAAAAGGCAATTTCCAGCTGCAAAATAAGCACCGCCGACGAGAAAAATCGACCGAAAGTTCCGAAAAAATTTCTTCTTTCTCTTCCCTCGGAAAAGAAGAGGAGCATCCAGTGGTTCGGTTGGTCGAGTGGATAGAGCGTCCGCTCGATATCCTTTTGGGGGTTGGTTCGATTCCGGGGAAGCGCGAGTGGCTATGGTGAGGCTTCAGTGACCAAGATAAACTCTTGTGAACCAAAAAAAAAAATATTTTGCAATTTTTGGATTTTCTAGTGATCATAAAACACATAATAATAAAGGATTTCTATGTAAATTCCTCCATTTTTTCTGTAAGATTCCAGAACGGTTCCAGTCATATTCAATAATCTAGTCATGGACTGTCTGTTTTCCGAACACTAGTAGACGTTTGTCAAAACCCCCGATGCGCTCAAGATGTGCTTCAGTTTGCTCCTTATTGGAGTATGATTGGGAACGTTCTGGAATCTTCTAGAAAAATTGGCGGAATTTACATGGGAATCCTTTTTTTATGTGTTTTATGATCTCTAGAAAATCTAAAAATTGAAAAATAATTTTTTTTTGTTCACAAGAGTTTATCTTGGTCACTGAAGCCTTATCATAGCCACTCGCGCTGCCCCGGAATCGAACCAACCCCCAAAAGGATATCGAGCGGACGCTCTATCCACTCGACCAACCGAACCACTGGATGCTCCTCTTCTTTTCCGAGGGAAGAGAAAGAGGAAATTTTTTCGGAACTTTCGGTCGATTTTTCTCGTCGGCGGTGCTTATTTTGCAGCTGGAAATTGCCTTTTTCTACCAAAGTCGACCTGCTCTATCCACCTGTACCAGTCATTTTCCTTAACGCTGGGGGAAGTTCAGACCATTCCCTTGTTAGAAAATTTTTGGAATTATTTTGAAAACTTGGTCATTTTTTCGAGTTTTTGGGTGAAATTTTCTTAGTTTTACCTCAGATAACCATAAAATATTGTTGTAAAAACAATTTTATTTAACGAACTGATTATTAATATTTCTATATGAGTTCGAAATGCCCACCTCATCTCGCAGCACAAACTTTTAGGAGCTTTGAGAGTCGTGAACCGCTCGAATTGCAGATCGTGAACATCGTTTAGCTTTAATCGGGCTGGGCTCCAAGCCTCAACGGCTTGGAGCTGGGGTTCGTAGCCAATTGTGTGGACTTTATCAATTGTTAAAAAAATTGGTTTTTTTTTTTGAAAGTTCGTGCCCTACGGTAACGCAGACGACACTATTTTTTACTTTCAACTTGCTTTAAGCAAGTTTAGAGAGAAGATACGCAACTTTTTTACTTCTCGATTTTACCAAAAAAAACCAAAAATTTTCGAAGTCCGAGAAACTCAATTGAAAATCATTCCAAAAATTTTCAAAGTTTTAGCGGTTTCGGCTCGAAAATAATTCTTCGAAACTTTGGGAAGGCATAGAAAGGTCAATTCAAAACATATTTTTTTGAAATTCAATCGGTTAAAAATGGCGGGTCTCAGCTCCAGAAAAATCTTAATTTCGGGAAAATCGGCGGAGTCTCCGCGGAGAAATTCAAAGAAACAACTTACCCATTTCGAGTGGTCCACCCTGTATAAGATAATATTAAATTGGCAGAAAATTTCGAGTTTATCGTTAATCACACTATGTACACATGGGATGAACATATATAATACAGATTATTTTCCGAGAATTTGAGTGGTGCTATCGGCAGTTTGGCAGTAAGTGGCGGTCTCTTGGAACAGGGTGGTTCCATCCTCCTTCTCAAATTGCGCGATCAGAATGTGGGCCAAGAGGACTGGGGCAGAGACGGGTCCAAGCCGGGCGGTGAGGTCTTTGTGTCTCTCCCATCCTCGACATTGCAGTAGCTCAATTTCGCCATCACGCGACGTGGGGTCCGTATTGACGCCGAAGAGCATTTCATGCTTCTCATCGAACACCGTTACAACCTTCACCATGTCCTCATTTCGCAAGCGCACCTTGTAGCCGGTAAGTTTCTGGACAGTGTCCATATACCGCCGACTTATACGTCGTCTTTCGCTGATCTCTTCTTGCAGGTCTTTGATTTTGGCTTGAAGGCCTTTGCATTCGAGGCAATCCGTTGGGCCAAAGCTTTGAGCGGACGATCCTGAAGAGCTCTAAAGACGACACTACTTTTTGACCAAAAAACACAAAAAAAATCACCATCGCGATATTGTGCTAGAAAATAGATCGAAAAAACTCCTCACCAAACTCTGAAGTCCTGTTGATCGTCGATGAGCCGTCTCTATAGGATTGTCCTTGAGGAATCGGACGATTTGCGTGGCATCCGGGTCTCTGGCTGGCCGATTTTCCTTCTAAACATCAATATCAAAAAGAAGAAAGTGAACATACCGCTTCCAGTTGGTCCTGCAAGCGTTTAACCTCTTCCAGAGCTGACTCCAACTGGTTTTTGAGTTCTACTCGCTTTTCGGCGAATTCTTTGGCCTGTTGTAGCTGTTCTTGTAATTTGGCGATATGCCTGTCCCTCTTCGCAATTCCGACCTGAACTTCCGATGAAGCTGTTGCCGAAGATCCTTGCCCACTGTTCAGCATCGACTCTAATTGTTGGATTTTCCGTTTCCCGAAAGCCACCTCCAGACGGAGTTCTTTTACTGTGGCTTCCAACTCTCGGTTCTTCTCCTCCAAAGGTTTCGACTTCGGTTCTTCTTTGACGACCCGGTTTGGGTGCAAGTACTTCCCGAACTGACGTTCACATTCCAGGTCCACTTCGGCCATTTCCCTGAGCAATTCGTCGGACATTTGCTCTAGAAATAAAACAATCAGTTTAAAGTCTAAAACAATATAAAATCTTTCTCATTTCGGTCATTATTGACCGAAATTCCTTTGTAAAACCGCCGTAGACCTTTATCGAAAGGAAAATAACCTAAAAAATATAAAAAATAACACCAAAAACACGCTTACCACGGCTCAGAAAAATTGGTATCCTCCTGGATTAAGTGTCATGTCCAAGGAGGAGAAATTTGGCAGGTCAGAGCCGGATTCCTCCATGTTTTGTTCCAAGAGAACCAACTGCGCACTAGACAAAAAAATGATCAGAAAAAGTTTTGGAAGAGAAATTCCGCGGTTCGAGTTGCGCCCAGGCTTTGCCGCAGACTGCGGGGCCATTTTATACGATGTATGCAAAATTTGGGATTTGGGTTAAAAATGACAGATTTTTGTTTTCCAATCTCCTGAGCCTTGATCTCGTCGTGCCTCCACCTTTGCATCAGTGTTATAAATACTTGATTTCAAGATAAAAACCAACGCCAAGAGCGTAATGGGATATTACACTTGATAACAGATGACCGGAATGGTCGCAAATCGGTCACAACTCCAAAAAAATTTACCTTTCGAGGTGAAATTATTCAAAAATAACAAAATTCATTCATTTTTCTTAATTTTCTAATCGAAAAATTTGCATAAATCTCAAGGATTTGGGATGAAAACGGATTAAATCCTCGACCTTCTTCATTTTCCGAAGAGATCCGTTCGAAGAGGTCGTGAAAGGCGGAAATGTCAAGCAGACCAGACCACTCCGATGATGGCCAAACCGCTTCGGACCACGATTCGCGTCCCAGAAGCATCTGTAACAGGTAGTTCTGGCAATTTTGCGCATTAAATTACACTTGGTCATCAAAATTTCCGAAAAACCCACAAAATTTGACCATTTTTCGGAAATTTTGATGACTAAATGAATACGATTTGTTGTCATTATCGAATTCGCAATCCTAGGCCAAAAACTACCGGGCAGTTCCTCCACGATTACTCTCCGGATGACCCGACTTTGGACGACTTTACTCGCCGATTGTGCACGATGAATGTGTATCGAGTGTTCTTCGATTACACGACGGTTTTGCAACAGGATATGAAGGAGCCTTCGAGTGCTTTCGACAAGTACCCGGAGTTGAATCGCTACGCCGATATTCGTTGCATCGATCAAACCCGAGTCAAAGTCCCGTAAGCCGCAGAAACTAGGGGTTACACGTCAATCCAGCGCATTTCCTGAACCGTTTCGAAACTTCGTATCGTTTTCATCGATTTAAAAGAGAGACGAAGTGTCGCGAAATTATCGACACGTTTTCCCGCCCGAAATAATTGCTTTTTCTCGAAAAAGAAGAAGAAAGATAAGAAAATACTTTTTATCGGATAGTGACATTTCGTTTTGAACGAATCACAAAAAAGGGGCGGGAAATTTTTTCTTCTATTTTGGATTGACGTGGGTTAGAACTTGTCTTATTAGCGGACTAGAGGACCTGTAGTCTCCTCAGGCCATCTATGAACTGAGTTATGGTCGAAATATCACTCTGTCGGGAAAATAATGAGCATTCTGTTGCATCGCAAGTCGCATCGCTGAAGTGAAAACCAATTTGATTTTGCTGCGACACAATTCCTTTTCACTTCAGCGATGCGGCTTGCGGTGCGACAGGGTGCTCATTATTTTCCCGACAGACTGATATTTCGATCATAACTCAGTTCATAGATGGTCTGAGCAGACTACAAGTCCTCTCGTTCGCTAATAAGACAAGTCCTAACCTCCAATTTTCAGCTGTCCCGGCGCCACCCACGACTATATCCACGCCAATTATGTTGATGGATTCCGCGAGCCCAACAAGTTCATCCTCACCCAAGCGCCCATGCAAAAGACTGTCGAGCAGTTCTGGCACATGATTTGGAAAGAAAAAGCCACCATCATCTGCGGATTGACCGTCATCGACGGCGTCAAATGCCCCAGATATATTCCCGTTTCCCCCGGCACAAAGCTGACTTTCGGCCAATTTACAATCACTCATGCCGGCACCCGGCATGTTAGAGACACTTACGATGCCACTGTGCTCTTTGTAAGTGGGGAAATGGGAGGTTTGAGTGGTACAGTGGCGGACAGGATCCAGTGGCAAAAAACGTACCATTTTGCATCTGAGAAGTATCAAAAATGTGGCAAAATACGCGTTTTTGATAACTCCCGGATGCAAAATGGTACGTTTTTTGCCACTGGATCAGGTCCGCTACTGTAGCAGAAAGCATTGCAAATGATTTTTTATGGGCACCTTCATGAACAAGGTGAATGTAAATTTTATACGATTTTAGCTGTCCAAGGAGAACGAACCTGCCAGAAAAGTCCTTCATATTGCTTTCTATTGCTGGCCGGACAAAGGAACCCCTACTAGACCCACGGAGATCCTTCATCTCCTTGAGGATATCAATTACAATCGAAAATTACTCACGGATCAAGCTATAAAGGCCAAATGGCTGGGAGAGAACGAAAAGTAAGGCCGAAAAATAGTCGTAATTAATTTCAAATGTCCCAATCGACCTAGTAACCCGTATTTTTCCCTCTAGTTCCCCGATTGTGGTCCATTGTTTGGCGGGCGTGGGCCGAAGCGGCGCCTTGGCCGCACTCGACATTTGCGCCCGCAAACTGGACGAAACCTTTGCCAAATCGCATGGCGCCATGGTCGACGTCCGCGACACGGTCACCCGACTCCGCACTCAACGAGAAATGGCCATTCAGAAGCCGGAACAATACCTTTTCGTTCATCTGGCGGTGGTTGAGTACGCCCTGCGACAACGATACTACAACAATGTGGCAGTGGTGGATATCAGTCAATTCACGGCGAATCATTAGCGAAAACGGAAGAATTGTGATGTTAGGGATGTTATATAACAGTCTAGAGTAATTTTGAGCAATAAATTTTTGTGAACTTATCGGATGGTCATGTATAATATAAGCTGGTCGAAACGGACCCGAAAACAAAAAATTGCACGATGATGTCTTTGATTTGTGATAAAAGACGACTGGTTCGAAAATTCTAACAATTTTTTTCCAAAATCAATACAAAATTCTTGGCCTACTTCCAGAAAATTTGTCATGATGACCTTTTTTATCCACAAATTTCTCGGCTTCGGAAGGCACGTAAAATCCGGGAGTCGACTGGTCAACACACTGGAGAAATCTCAAGCTGCCTTGTTCAACACAACACTGGTCGTTTCCATCGATCAAAAATTTACAATAATTTTTTTTCCTACCTAAAATTTCCAATCGAGTCTTCGAAAAGTTCTCGAAACGATCGTTTTGTGATATTTTTGGTCGATAACAGTTTTTTGTTGGTCGCTTTACATCATTTATTATGGTTTAGACAGGTTTCGTTTAGCTTTTTATGCTCTTTTCAATTTTTAGGTAATCTTTGTCTAAAATAATGTTGAAATCCTGAAATTTTGACTGTTATCCAGGGTGTCTCCATACGAAAATTGGGGGAGATTCTGAGCTTGACATTTTATTTCGTTTGAAAGAACATTTTCCTTCTCGTACAGCTTGAAAATTACACTTTTTACCTTATTTTATGCAATTTACACGAGTCTCTTCGTTTATTCAAATTTGCGACTGGTTTTGCGACACTTTTCATTCTGTTTTTATTTTTCAGGTGCTAACTAGTCTATCACCTTGAGTTTGGCAACAGTTTTATTGTTGAGCGGTTCACGTTCTTTACCAAGGTTCGATTTTTGTTATCCTTGGCGTTTGAAGACGTGAACCGACCGAAATTCGTCCCCATTCCCGCCGAACCGATCCCAACTTGCGTAACAAGAAAGTCAAAGACGTGTTTTTGACCTGCGATGGTGCACCATCGTGTTCTACAGCTGGTCACACACGTTGTGAAGACCTCGAACATGGACAATGCCGAGCAGCAAGTAGGTGTTTTGACCTCGTTTTTTTCTGTTTTTAGGTAACAAAAAGTGGGGAGAGCGAGATGTAGGATGTTTTTCTGAATTTGGATGCTAAAATACATCTTTTTCTCAATTTTTGGGCACTCTAGGAAATTTTGAGTCATGGATAACATAACTTTCTTAAATATTCTTGCATTTTCGCCAAATCATTGAAGTTAGCTCTTTCTTTACCTTCAAAACTTCCAGGCGAATGTTCTTCGTCAATGCCTATCCAAAGAAGCCGATGCATCCAGTTGGTTCGTCACCTTTCTCGTCCACCGCGTCTCCATTACCGACACACGGGCGATTGAAGTGATTGCCCAACTGGTTCATTACATAAATTGCGAATCCTTATGGGAGCTCATAGTCGAAGAGACCGTTTGTCATGCGAAGCAAATAATAAATGGATTAATCAGTCCTCCAGCCGGAGGGCCACAAAGATCGTTGAGGAATCTGGGTGTTTTCCTCGGATTATTAACGATCGCCTCCGACCGACCGATTGTTTTGGACGTTCTGGATCTGAAACGAAGCCTAATAGATGCCATTGGAGAGGGAGACGAGAAAATGGCCAGAGTTCTGCCATTTCTGGTCCATTCTTTGAAGGCCAGTGCGAGGAGTACAGTAAGTATAATTTGACTTGATTTTTTTCCAAAAATTTAGATGCAAATGTCCAATTGAATGACCGCAATAGATTGAATATTCAATAATCTTTCATAAAACATCATTTTCCAGCTCTTCCATCCCTTTTGCTCATGGCTATCGCCCATTTTTCATCTCCTGGAACAACTGCGAAATGAACCCGAACTGAAAATGGTCTTCAACTTGGAGATCCAAAGCCTTTTCACCGAGATCAACGAGAATTCCGGCCCCTCATTGCTTGAGGACTCTCCGAAGCCAGCGCCGCATCGGTCGACTCCTGTGGAGCCCGAGCATTGCCAGCCTCATCTTCCCCTTCCCACGCCGGCACAGTCGTTTTCCAACGCTTTCGGCTTTCATCATTCGGTTTACTCGAACATGCAAGCTCAAGAGACTCAAATGGTCAGTTGCGAAGGCTCATGGCACGTTATGAAGTCAAAAATTATGATTAATATTACTTTATATTACTTTAGTCATCAACTTTGTACCAGTACTACCCGCAAGACATGACCAACGACATCTACAACACTCCCTTCTCCCCCATGGAGCCCAACGTCCCCGCACAGTTCAATGTGAACATGTACAACCCCTCTCCGCAGCCCTCGCAAGTGCAGCTGCCACCGGCAAGAAATATGTTCACCCGAATGCACCAAGCCCATTCATCGCCTGCCCTTGAGCAATTCAGCGGCCAAGAGAACTCTTTTGTCAACAATCCGTCCTACGGAATGATAACTCCGTCCCAGAAGCCGGGTAGGGAGGTTTGGAGTTCAGAGAGTCTAGTGTAATATAATTTATGTCGTAATTTTGAACCGATATGAAAGATTACGTCATGAAATTGATTTTTGAGCTTTTGAGGAATGATTTATCTGACAAGGATTGTTTTAGGGCCGGTCCCCTTCTCGAAGGATCAGAAATTCCTCTGGGAGATGGTGCACCGCCTAAACTTTGAGTTCTCCCAGGTATTCAAGGTGCTGGAGAAGGCGAGGAGCTTCGTAATCCAAGGAATGCAACCTCTAATCCAAAAGGCCGAAGGTAGGCGCTTCGATTTTCCCTTATTTGATGTTATGTCGGGCGCAGGCTGCGCAAATTTCTGCAGCCTGCACGGCGACTAGACTGGAACAATTTGAAGTTTCTGATGATTAATGAATTTTTCCAGAGCTAGTAGAGCAAATCCTGAGCCGTGTGGCGGACTCGGTGAGGCAGAGTGCCATCACGATCCTCTACCGCGACATGGTCCTAGTGGAAGATCAGGTCTTGCTCTCAGTGTCGTTCCGATCCACCTTTCGAGTACTGATGTACGCCATGTATGAGCCAAGAAGCGCCATCGAGGTGCTACATGAGAAGTACATGGACGCAATCCGAAGTGCCATCGAAAAAGCGACGAAACAATCGTCCGTCACGTGGAGGCTGGCGGTAACAAAGGCCGACATGGATCATGTTGTCAAGGAGTTTGTGTCGGTAGGTTGTGGGATGCAAACAGCATTATGTTAAGCGTGTTGTGGCAGGAGATTGTGAATTTTGGGATTTATTAAGGCCTAGGATTTTGCTTATGTTATCCATGACCCTTCAGACCAACAGCTTTGTAATTGTGGAGCTGATCAGCCGAATCATCGAACGAAAAGCGGCTGCGATGGCGGATTTTGAGTTTGAGCGACTCATGGATGAGCGGTCGATAACGCTGAGGACGAATGCACCTCGGCCCGAGATGGCCAAATTTATCGGACAACCCCATTCAATGCATGTCCTAAATGCATCGTTACCGCATAAACTCAGACGGCATGCCATCCTGGAAGCCAAGGAACACTTGATCCTCGAGAGTTTCGACTCCATGTCCAATGAACTGCAGTCCCATCTGCACACCTTGTTCACCATGATCCCAATTCAGCAAGAGGAAGAGCGATGGCTGAGAGAAGTCCCGCCGGTCGTGCCGCGGAATCGCAGAGATGATTCGGCACCCAATTTCAGGACGTCTTCACCGGATTCGACCATGTCCTCGGAGTTTAGACATAGGTGGGTTTAAAGGAAGGTGCACGTCAATCCAGCGCATTTCCTGAACCGCTTCGAAACTTCGTACCGTTTTCATTGGTTTAAAAGAGAGACGAAATGTCGGGAAATTATCGGCACTTTTTCTCGCCCGAAATAATTGTTTTTTTCTCGAAAAGGAAGAAGAAAGATAAAAAAATGCGTTTTGTCGGATAGTGACATTTCGTTTTGAACGAATCACCAAAAAGGGGCGGGAAATTTTTTCTTCTATTTTGGATTGACGGGAGGTGTATGTAAAAAAGAATGGAGAAGGAGAGTATGAGGTGGTTAAAGGGCAGATTTTGTTGGAAGTAGTCCCATCGTTACCCTGGAGGCTTATTATTTCACCGTTTTGTGGGTTGCGTAATGATTTGTGGCTCGGGAGTTACAATGTTAGAAATCTTTATGTCCAGAAAATGTGTCACGATAACACCTAGTTAAAATGTGCCAGTGGTATGAATAATGGCTGTATATGGCTAGAACTACTCCCTAGAATACTCAGAAAAAAATTAAGTAGAGTAATTTTTGTAATGCGCTGTTTGGATGACGGATTTTTTAGATTTTTTGCACGACGAGAAGCTTTTGTGCCTAAAAATTTTTGTTGCGCTCTAGCTAGTAGTTCTAGCCATATACAGCCATTATTTATACCACTGGCACATTTTGAATAGGTGTTATCGTGACACATTTTCTGGACACAAAGATTTGCAAGCCCCGATCATTAAGAGCCATAAATCATTACCCATCCCACAAAATACAGGGTCTTTCAAGAAACGTGAAGGAAAGTAGGAGGCTATAACTTTCGGCGGAGGCGGCGCAGAGAGCTTGTTTTTGGAATATGTATTTTTAAGCAACATTATTTTTTGCCTACGAAATAGCAAGCTTTTAGAGTGCAAACTGAGGTCGCTATGACCTTCTGAAGTAGAGGCATCTCTACCCCGAAAACCAGGTTTTTCCGGTTGAAAATGATCGAGAAATTTCGGTCTTTTTCGGTTGAAAATCACCAAGAAATGTCGGATTTTTTCGGGGGTTTCGATAGAGTTGACGTTGAAAAAAGGGAAGGATGTTGCCAACACGTTGGAAATTAAGCAAATATTCGGCTAGCCTCAACTTGGGGCAGATTTCGAGTCTATTTTTCAGTATCTTCCGCGAAGAAGCGTGACATCATTTAGGGATTTGAGTAACCTGAAATCGGCTAGCCAAGGCACCAGAATGGCTGTGAAGTCTTATAAAAACTAGTCAAAAGGGTGTAATGGATGTCATAGGGCAGGAATGACAACCAAACTTTTAAACTGCTATCAAAAATTGGCTAGCCAAAGTGTCAGAATAAAGGGTAGCCCAATATTTGCTTAATTTCCAACGTGTTGGCAACATGCTTCCCTTTTTTCAACGTCAACTCTATCGAAACCCCCGAAAAAATCCGACATTTCGTGGTGATTTTCAACCGAAAAAGACCGAAATTTCACGATCATTTTCAACCGAAAAAACCTGGTTTTCGGGGTAGAGATGCCTCTACTTCAGAAGGTCGTAGCGACCTCAGTTTGCACTCTAAAAGCTTGCTATTTCGTAGGCAAAAAATAATGTTGATTAAAAATACATATTTCAAAAACGAGCTCTCTGCGGCGCCTCCGCCGAAAGTTATAGCCTCCTACTTTCCTTCACGTTTCTTGAAAGACCCTGTAGTGAAATAATAAGCCTTCAGGTTAACTATGGGACTGTTTCCAACATCGGGACACATTTCTGGACTCACAAAGAAGTCCAGAGCCATGAAGTCGCGGACAGGTTCCAGTGGCAAAAGGCGTGCCATTTTGCATCCGGGAAGTATTAAAAACGCGGCAAAATACTTCCATCTCCAAGTGAAAAAACGACGCCTTTATTGACGCGAGTTTTTTTCACTTGGAGATGGAGATATTTTGTTGCGTTTTTAATATTTCCCGGATGCAAAATGATACGTTTTTTTGCCATTGGATCAGGGACGCCACTGTACGTTATCGCGAGTTTTTGGGCCGCGAATTTGGGCAGTGCAAATTTCAGTCTAAGAGGGGCATACCTCAAGTGCGACGCTTAGATTTTGATGACAAAAAAAGAAGATTTGACCGAAAATTTATGTTACCCATTGCAGCTCCCCACTCTGCCACGGAGCCGCCCTCCTCTCATCGCCGCTGGAAAGCCGGATACCCGGCCTTCTCTCGCCGTGCACGTTGAGCCCTCGCGGCAAAACCCCGACGCCGGCCGAGCTCTCGTTCGAGGATTTGATTGAGAAATTGTTTCGGGAATGGTGCTTGTCCCTGAAAAACGGGTGTGACGAGAGTTCGGAGGACCATAAAAGAGTCATCGATGAACTGTACGAGCTGGGCGTAACAGTAGACGAAGCCAAAATTAGCCGGTTTTTGTATGTGGGAGTGCAGATTTGCCTGGAAACGGCGAATTGTCTGGAACGGCAGGTAATTTATATTGTTGTAGATGGGTGGGATTTTGATTAAAAAAATTTTTTTGTTTGACTTTTTTCAGGAGTTCACGGACATTGTGGAGTCCTCGAGGCAGGTGTATAATTATGTGACCGCCTTCGTCGCGATGATCGACTGTGTCGCGGAGAAGGAGCAAAAAGAAAACGAGAAGCGAATGGACTTTATTCAAAAAGTTAGCGGCGCCATGGTCAAGCTGGTGTCGGATAATTTTTGCGACGACAATGCTGATGGATTGGGAACCCTTCAAAGAGCGGTATTTTATTATATCCTAAAGCGCTTGACCGCCAATCAGCTGAGGGAAGGAACGGAGAGTGTTGTACCGTATTTGGAGTTTTTGTGGTAAGCAGAGGCTTTTTTGAAGGAGTTTGTGGCATGAAATTGTAGATTGAGACGTATATTCTTGTTTAGTGAGATTTTGAATCAAAAAATTTTGATTGGAGATGATTTTTGAGCAAAATTTTGAAAATTTTGCCTAGTGTAATATAAATTTTTTTGGAAATGTCATTTGTTGAGCATGAAACCTTGTTTCTAGTGCGATTTCAGAGCCAAATAGTTTGATTGGAGATGATTTTTTGGCAAAAATTTCGAAAGTTTTGTCTACTGTAATATAAATTTTTTTTGGAAATGTCATTCGTTGAGCATGAAACCTTGTTTCTAGTGCGATTTCAGAACCAAAAATTTTGATTGGAGATGATTTTTGAGCAAAATTTTGAAAATTTTGCCTAGTGTAATATATTTTTTTTTGGAAATGTCATTCCTTGAGCATGAAAACTTGTTTTTGGTGCGATTTGAGAGCCAAATAGTTTGATTGGAGATGATTTTTGATCAAAAAAATGTTTGATTTGAGATGATTTTTGAACAAAATTTTGAAAATTTTGTCTAGTGCAATATAATTTTTTTGACAATCTTGTACTTTCCAACGAATTTCATTTCCAGCCACGCCTTCCAGAAGCTGAATCCACTCATCTTGCCGGCCTTCACGCAGTCCTACGTCCTCCTGATTGTGCAGCCCATCTTTTTGAGCACCCTGTTCAACGCGGAACTGGTCCCGGAACAGACGGCCTCCTCTCTGTTCATGATCCTCCATTCCCCGATCCTCACACTCCTGAGACAACAGCTCCAAGCCGAGGAAGTGCTGAGCGACAAGTTGTCGTTGAGCCTGTACGCGGCGAACTCCCATCTCATCAAGTTGCTGTACACGTATTACCCGGCGGTCCTGCAAAATTTCCATTTCACGTACGTGGAAATGCTGCCCAGAATGTGCCTACATCTGAGGAATTATGTACTGGATGCGGCGGTGGAATCGACCTGGACGGTTTACGAGCCGGACAGGAGCTTTGAAGAGGTAAAGTAAGGTGAAGGATGGGCAAATTTTGGGTCTGGATGATAGTTTTGGACTTTAAAAATGTTTTTTGTGGGATTTTTGAGATTTTTTTTGGTAATAGCAGATGTTTTGGATAGTTTTTTGGGGAGATTTTTTATATTGTTTTAGATGGGGTTGAGATTTTTTTTTGTTTTTTCGATTTTTGGGCATGGATTAGGTGAATTTTGATGGAATTTTGCCTTTAAAATATTTTTTGTGGGTTTTTTGAGGCTTGGCATGGCTATAACAGATGTTTTGGACCATTTTTTTGAGGATATTTGATATTTAGATGGACTTGGTGATTTTTTTTGTTTTTGCGATGTTTTGGTATGAATTAGATAATTTTTGATGGAATTTTGTTTGTAAAATATTTTTTTGTGGAATTTTTGAGAGTTTTGGACCATTTTTTTAGGAGATTTGATATTGTTTTAGATGGGTTTGGTGTTTTGTTTTATTTTTTGAAATTTTTTTCGTCATGAATAAGACGAATGTTGATGAAGCTTTGTTTTTAGTACTGCCAGACCCCACAAATGAACACGCACCCGTCGGTGCACGCGGACCTCGCGAACATCATCTCGTCGGACCTTCGGGAAGTCGTAGATGCCTACCTTCAAAACCGCTCCTCAATCGACCCCCTACATAACATCTGCGCCTTCCTGAAGCAGCCGGATGAAGAAGGAGTCCCACAGTACAACTTCACCTTGATCAATGGGATGGTTTTGTATCTGGGAGTGAAGGCGATCAATGAATTGAGGGGAAGCAATCAAAAGATTACTGTTTTTAACGCGCAAAACACCGCTGAGGCCAATGTTTTTACGTATTTGATGGTGTCGTTGTGCAATGAGGGTAAGGAGAGGGTGTTGAGCGGAATTTGGAGGAAATTTTTGGTAGAAATTTACAGTGACGGACCTGATCCAGTGGCGAAAAACGTCCCATTTTGCATCCGGGAAGTTTTAAAAATGTGGCAAAATGCTTCCCTCTCCAAGTGAAAAAACTTCGTTTTGAAGGGCGCGCTTTTGAAATTGGAGTTTTTTCACTTGGAAAGGGAGGCATTTTGCCACATTTTTAATGCTTCCCGGATGCAAAATGGGCCGTTTTTTGCCACTGGATCAGGTCTGTGTATTGTACTAGGTCCGATCAAGTATAATGTCGTTTTTTATTGATTTTTTAGGATGTTTCCGACTGTTCACTTCGATTACGGACCAACTGAGAAACGCCAGCACGCATACCGCCTTCTACGCCTCCATGTTGCTCCATCTGTTCCACACGGCCCATTCGAATCATGTCCGAGAGATCATCACCAGGATACTGCTGGAACGCCTGTTGGCCAACCGTCCGCACCCGTTCGGAATCAAGCTGGTGATGGCGGAACTGCTCAGGAATCCGGACTACAAGTTTATGGAGTTTGAGTTTGTGCATAGCGCGGAGGTGGTGGAAAGGTAAGCGCTTTGGCCTAAAGTACAGTGAGGGACCTAAGCCAATGGCAAAAAACGTCTCATTTTGCATCCCGGATGGGACCAAAATGTCTCCAAACCCTTCCCTTCTCTAAGCTAAAAAACCCCGCTTTGAAGAGCCCGCCTTGAAGGAAAGGGCGCGCTTTTCAAAGCGGAGATTTTTAGTTTAGAGAAGGGAATGGTTTGGAGACATTTTGGTCCCTTCCGGGATGAAAAATGGGACGTTTTTTGCCATTGGATCCGGTCCCTCACAGTAATATAAATTGACCTAAAGTAATGTAAATTTTGGGGTTTAGGATGGTGATCTCGATCTCCAAGTACCTGGGAGTGGAGATAAACGAAGAACGGAGCAGATTCTTCAAGTATCACAACCCCCGAGCAGCGAGGAAGGAGCCCCAAAAACGCCAGTCGGACTCGAACAACAACAAACAAGCCAAGCGCTCCTATGTCCGCGCCGCCACCCCCATGAGGTGATGAGTGTGTAGTGTAATGTAAAAATAAATCTCAGTTACAACGACGGACCTTGGAGCCGTTGAAGTGGTGATTAGCCCGGGGAAAAGGTGAAAAATTCGAAAGTTTTTGGAGCTATTACCTAAAATCATATAAAAATTGTTGAGCCGGCTCGAAGCCGTCGTTGTAATTAGGTCAGTTTTTGTTGTTAAGAGTGTCTCGTTGTCGTATCCCCCCGTTTGGAGTGTTATTTTCGCCCTCTATTTTTTCACAAATACGGTTTGTTTCTTTGCTAATACCCGGTTAAATTTTGTATGTGAATATGGAATAATTTTGTTTTTGTTTATGCTAATTTCATGTGCATCTTAACTTGTTTTCCTTTTTTTTGCTCTATGTATGTTGTTTGATGTGGAAAATTAAAATTTGAACACGAATTTTTGAGATTTTTTTTCTTTTTTTTAATCGAAAAAGTCGATTTTATCCAAAAAGTAAAAAGAAAATTTACACGGACAAAAAATTAAGTGTTGATCAATATATTAGTAGAAAAAGGTTTTTAAAGTTCGAAATTATTTGGGTTTTGAGTGTTTGATCATGTCGAACATGGCTTGAACGCCGTTCCGGAAGGGAATGGGCTCGGTTTTGTGGACCTCCATCAGGTTTTCGGTGATGAATTGGATGCATCGATCCCAGTCGGGGAGTTCGGAGCAGGAGGGGATGTTCAGGAACTCGTCCAAGAGCTCGACGAAAACGTGACTGAAAACATTGAAATTCGTATTGGTTTGGTGACAAGGCAATTTGCAAGGCATTGAAAACTGCATTTTAAAAAATTTCGAAAAAATTCGTCATCATGACACATTAAATTTTCACAAAAATCCGTCATTATGACACATTAAATTTTCACAAAAATCCGTCATTATGACAGATTAAATTTTCAAAAAACTCCGTCATTATGAGAGATTAAATTTTCAAAAAAAAATCCATCATCATGACAGATTAAAATTTAAAAAATCAGTCATCATGACAGATTAAATTTTCAAAAAATCCGTCATCACGACAGATTAAATTTTCAAAAAAATCCGTCATCATGACATATTAAACTTTCAAAAAAAAATCAAATTCTATGCTCTTCTCTTTCCAAAAAGCTCAAAATTAATCCTCCCTCCTTACCGATTGACTAGCCTCCTTTTGATCGAGTTCGTTGGTTTGTACTTATTTCCGACCTTCTGAATCTCCATGTAATTATTCATGATGAGCAGGTACAAAGTCGCCACATAGCCGAAGAAATCGGTCTGGTAGGTCCAGGGTCGGCCCTCCTTCATCTCGCAGCAGTCGAAGCCGTTGGTCTTGGAGCGGCCTTTGAACTCCTTGCCCTTGAAGTACTTCATGTCAATGGCGCGCCCAAAGTCGATGAGTTTGATGATGGGGCGGTCCCGCAGCACTGTTATGCTGGACGTTCCTTCCGGTCTGCAAGAATCAACCGTCTACACACTACTTTTAAAGACGTGGCGATCCAAATTTTGGGGTATGGCAAGAGGGTGTCGCCGTTGGCGCACAAAACATCGAATTTCTGGCCGTTGAACGCCATTTCCGTGGCCTTGCGGACCACACGTTTGGAGGCAGTGATGTCGTTCACCATTGCCTAAAATACGGATAATTTTGCGGGGTGAAAAAGGCACTCAAAATCGGGGAGCGATGATTGGGGAAAAAGACAGTTGGGGAAACTGAAAAGTATCATTTTTCTTCGAGGTAAGTGTCGAAATTAGGATATTCGTACTGATTTCGGAGATGACATTCATTTTTATCGTTACTTTTTTCCTTAAGTAGTACTGTAAAGTAGTAATTTTTTGAATTTTCTTCGCAAATACTCGATTTAGGGGTTTTCGATAGTGCTGGTTCCGAAAATCTTATTCATTTTTTCTGATTTGAAATCAAGGCTTCATGGAAATTGGACAGAGTGAAATTGGGCGGAGCGTGGAAATTGGACAGATTTTTTCACTGCAAAAAAATAGTGACATTTCGTACGGTTGCAGTCAAAAAATCTGTCCAATTTCCACGCTCTGTCCAATTTCCATGAAGCCTTGATTTCAATTCAGAAAAAATAAATGAGATTTTCGGAATCAGCACTATCGAAACCCCTAAATCGAGTATTTGTGAAAAATTTTCAAAAGATTACTACTTTACAGTACTGCTTAAGAAAAACAGTAACAATCACAAAAATGAATGTCATTTCCGAAATCAGCACCATTATCCTAACTTCGACACTTACATCGAAGAAAAATAATACTTTTCAGTTTCCACAACTGTCTTTTTCCCCAATCATCGCTCCCCGATTTTGAGTGCCTTTTTCACGCCGCAAAATTATCCGTATTTTAGGCAATGGTGAACGACATCACTGCCTCCAAACGTCTGGTCCGCAAGGCCACGGAAATGGCGTTCAACGGCCAGAAATTCGGATGTTTTGTGCGCCAACGGCGACTTCAGCTATTTTTACGCCAAACATTATTGCGAAGCGACCCGAGGGAACAATCTTGCTTGAAAAACTCCCAATTGACGACGTTCGGCAAGAGGCGACCGCCGCAACAAAAACGTCTTTTTCTTGTAATTTCACCCTCAAAATCCTCTCAACTTACGGTTCACAAAGCAGTAAATTATCCGGTTTTATATCAGCATGTATAATCTCAGCTTTATGGATGTATTTGAGGACTTCGGCTAGCTGAAGCGCGATCAACGTCAACGCTCCCCCATAAATCTCTCGTTTGTTGGTTTTGTACGTGTTGGCGAGGTCCTAAAATCGACCGTAAACATATATTTTTTTACTATTCTACAAAAATCAACAAGTTTTTGTGCGGTTTTCTTACCAACGCCGTTCCGTATTGGCCGTAATCGTAAACGATGGCACTCGCGTCCTTGAATATGAATGCGTCTCGGATTTGCATCACAAAGTCCTTGAGTCTCGGCGGCATGGCTTTGCATACCGTGGCGATCATGTGGACTTCGTATGGGCAGGCGGGTTGTTGGAACTAAATTTATATTACACTTGACATCAAAGGTAAAAAATAATGTTATTTTCAGAATTTTCAGCACAAATGCTGCTCAAAACCACCTCAAAACACCCTTATAATCTTCCACTGGCCTATCAACCACCAAGAGCTAGTTTTTGGAACTAAACTTATATTACACTTGACATCAAATTTGAAGGGTATGTTCAAAATTTTCAACGCCAATCCTACCCAAAACCATCTCAAAATTGCCTTAGGATCTTCCACTGGACTACCAACCACCAAAAGCTAGCTTTTGGAACTAAATTTATATTACACTTGACATCAAATTTGAAAGGTATTTTCAAAATTTTCAACGTCAATACTACTCAAAACCACCTCAAAATACCCTTAGAAACTTCCACTGGACTTTCAACCACCAAATACTGGTTTTTGGAACTAAATTTATATTACACTTGACATCAAATGCAAAATAATGATATTTTCAAAATTTTCAACGCCAATACTACTCAAAACCACCTCAAAATACCCTTAGAAACTTCAACTGGACTATCAACTACCAAGAGCTAGTTTTTGGAACTAAATTTATATTACACTTGACATCAAAGGTAAAAAATAATGTTATTTTCAAAATTTTCAACGCCAATACTACTCAAGACCACCTCAAAATTCCCTGAGAAACCCCCACAGTACCACAAACCGAGACAATTCCCCCAACTTTACAACTTTTTACCTACTACAATATCCCAAATTCCAAAAAAACCCACCTTGATTGCAAAATGTTTCGCTTCATCATTTCCGGCTTTGAAAACCTTGGCAAAGCCTCCATGGCCGAGCAGTTGACTGATAAAGAAGGTTTCTCCACCCAATACGACCTTATGATTTACATCAAATTTGGGTGCCTTCTCTTTCGTGAAGTCGTGTTGATTTACAATCAGAGTGGCTTTTTTGACCATCTCGAGTCGAGCCTTCTCATCCCACGGGTTCAACTCGCCGTTAAATTCGAGCCTGCAACTTATAATTATTGAAAATTTTTGATGTGGAATATAGGCAAGTGTAATATAAAACTGAACCCAAAACTTCACCAAAATACTCACGATTGATTGACAGTGCTCTCTAGTAGATCTTCATGGGATCCGGTGGCTCCATTTATCGCTAGCTTTCCAAGGGCGCACTCCAGATTCGGAGATGGTGTCTAAAATGACAATTTTTTGATAAAATTCTCAAAAATGGTGTGCAACTTAATATTCTTCCCGCCAAATCATCCTGAGATGTTCAACTATCCTTCTAACAAAGCAGTTTGCCCATTACAACCCCTCTTACCGCCCGTTTATCCGGTTTCGATATTGTTTTAGGCGCTGAATTCAAGACATCCTTGCTCAGATCCAACGGCGACGCACCGCGATCAAACTCCAATGGTGGAACGTTCAGGATGCTCATTCTGGCCTTCGAAACGGCCTCCGGGGTGCTGGACATGGCATCAAAGTTGGATGGGCGGCCAAATCCACAGACCGTGGGGCTGTTGATATCGAGCGAGAGCTTGTGTTCGACCTAAAAATACATCCATTAATTCTCATATTATCCCACTAGAGGCTTCATATGACCATTTAGAATAAAAGAAGTTAAATTTTTTCAAAAAAATTAAATTTTTGCCTAGTGCAATATAAGCCTACCTAAAATAATATAAAAAATTTCGTTTTCTCACATTTTCCTTTTCTGCACTAATATTCTCGAGCGACGTGGTGCACTCTGGACTTATCCTTGGCTTCTTGTGAGCTGGAGAGTTGACTGTCGTCGCTCTTTTCGGCGAAATTCTTCCATGGGCACTTGGCTCGTCGCAGAAGATTGAAAAATCATCCGACTTCTTTGGTTGTGATTGAGAAATTACTGAAAATCCATTATTTCATTAAATCGCAACTAAATTTTGCCAAAACCGGCGAAAAAATCGCAAAATTTACAGCTGACATCAAGTACAATATAACTAATCTTTCGAATCATCATAAATTTTACCTTGAGTCGTTTGAGAAGCTGGCAACGTCTCTTGGAAGTCTTTGAGAGCTGATTTCCTCGTGTCCGAGGTCCTGGGTTCATTGATGGAGTTCTCCAAACTCTTCTCCAACACCATATCCAATTTTGGCGGAGCTCTGAAATATTTCGAAATAAAAAGGTCAAATTAGATACAAGGCTAATAAAAGGACCTCAAAAGCCATCCAAAAACCCCCACTCACAAGCTGGACCGCCTCCTCTGAACGTGCGCTTTCTTATCCTTTGAGGGAACAACGGACTTGCGATTCGGAAGATTCGTTACGCTTTGCATCAACTGAATCGTAGAGTCATCGTCGGCAGGTGGGAATACCGAATGGAATTTCCGCCTAAACGTAGAACATATGAAACCAAAAATTTTACACCTACCCAAACTTTGTCCTCAGCTCATCCATGGTCATCTCACAGTTCTTGGCACACCTCGTCAACACCTTGGGAATCTCGTCTTTCTGCCCGTGTTCAATCAAGGCCTCCACGTACAGGCGATAATACTGCCAAAATTGCTGGTAGTTCGGCTCAATGTTCTTGAAAATCGCAACTGGGCCAAGATTTCTACTTGTCTTTGACTAAAATAATAGAAATTTAGTTGGAAACTTCAGATTTTTGGCAGAACTAGCTCATTTCTAGGGAGGAGAGCTTGCAGAAGCCTCATTGCATACATGCAATACCTAAAATTTGAAAAAAAAATAAAAATAAAAAACTCACAAATTTCTTCCATAAATCCAAAACCAAATCCAATTCTTCTTCAGAATCAAACTGCAGCTTCTTCAAAAAGTACAACAAACTCTTCTTGACCACGTCTTGACGGTTCTCTTCCTGAACATTGTGTTCCAATGCGCAGATCACGCTAAAATTGAAAAACTAATATCTCACGTCTAAAATATAATAAAAACATCAAACTTGATGGTAATTTCAAGCAAAAACCAATGTGGACTGACTTACCTATGTACAAAGCTGATCTGATTCTCTTCTTTCACACAATTGTCGGTAATACTGCAAGGAAAAATCATGTTATACTTGAGAGAACTTACGCGAAGAATCCTTTGCAAAACGATTCAACATTTTTGTCCTCAGCCTTGGATTTACTACTCATCTTATCCTAGAAAGTTGGCTCGAGCCAACTGAACGAGAAAAAAATGCGAGAAAAATATATTTTTTTCAAACTTTTCATTTTCCGCGGCGCTTCAGGACCCGGCGAAAAATCTTGGCATTGTGTTTCAAGTGGAGGTTGATCGAAATTTTTTGGGTTGATTTGTTTGTTCTGTGGTTTTGTGGTCTCGCAAATGATTCATTGACTAAATTTTAGCATTTATGCATGAAAAGAGCCGGTTTCTGTAGGGTTTTGTTGATGTAGTAGATGTCTAGTACAATATAGGACGGATCTAAAGATCAGGCGGAAAAAACTAGATGTCGTCAGAATACCACTTTTCTGGCTTCTTCAGCGTGTGCTGGGTTGATTTTTGTCAATATTCGTGCATAACCATCAACTTTATTATATTATCCATGACAGACCTCTGTTTATTCAAAAATCTTCAAAATCTCAGTGGACTTGCACAAGTTCCCGTTTACTGTACAGGGTGTTTCAAGAAATTCCGCGGAAAGTCGTCGTCGATTTCTCGGCGCTCAGCCACGATATCCAAAAAATTTTTTTTGCAGTAGAAAGAATGTAGTGGGCGGTTTTTTGCCTAAAAAGATTTTTTTCTACGCCGACGCGGAATGCAGTGTATTCGGCGGAGACATTTGATAGCTTTTTTGCCAATCCCACTTATCTCAAACGCTTTATTACGAATTTCGACGGTTCAAAAGAGGATGAATCTTGATGATTGAAGGAGGATTTGCATATTTCTATGTTTTTCAAGCATTCGGCGAAGGTATGGCGGACGCTTTCCATATCGGCGGAGGCCATAACTCATCTTCGGACAAAGACACAGAGCTGGGAAATGGCTCGAAATGATTCCTGTGGTCTGGTTAACACCATCCTTCATCATTTCTTATGAAAATCAAATTTATTCTCAATCCGGCGGAGGAATCGGCGGAGGCCATAACACATCTCTGGACAAAGATACAGAGCTGGGGAATTGCTCAAAATGATTCGTGCGCTCCACACTGGGGTTAGTCAGAGCACATGAGTCATTTTGAGCCATTCCCCAGCTCTGTATCTTTGTCCGAAGGTGAGTTATGACCTCCGCCGATTCCTACGCCAGATTGAAAAGAAGTGTGATTTTTATAAGAAATGACGAGGGATGGGGTTAATCAGAGCACATGAGTCATCTTGAGCCATTTCCCAGTTCTGTATCTTTATCCGAAGGTGACTTATGGCCTCCGCCGATTCCTCCGCTGGATTGAGAATAAATTTGATTTTCATAAGAAATGATGAAGGATGGTGTTAACCAGAGCACAGGAATCATTTCGAGCCATTTCCCAGCTCTGTGTCTTTGTCCGAAGGTGAGTTATGGCCTCCGCCGATATGGAAAGCGTCCGCCATACCTTCGCCGAATGCTTGAAAAACATAGAAATATGCAAATCCTCCTTCAACCAACAAGATTCATCCTCTTTTGAACCGTCAAAATTCGTAATAAAGCGTTTGAGATAAGTGGGATTGGCAAAAAAGCTATCAAATGTCTCCGCCGAATACACTGCATTCCGCGTCGGCGTAGAAAAAAATCTTTTTAGGCAAAAAACCGCCCACTACATTCTTTCTACTGCAAAAAAAATTTTTTGGATATCGTGGGAGCGCCGAGAAATCGTCGACGACTTTCCGCGGAATTTCTTGAAACACCCTGTATAAAAATTAGCTCATTCAATGGTATTTGAGGTATATTTCAAATATTTTGGTTTGGCGTATTAGGCGGAATCCCTCATCTCGGAGTCCCTTTTCTCCAGCGAGTGCTTCATGAAGACGGGGATGGTGCTGAACTGCCGGCTTTCGCGGACCAAACTTCTTCGCGGCATGCTCGGACTGAGCGGCGGCTCGCCAGACATGAAGATGCCGGTTCGAAAGCGAAGCGCCTGAAATTGGATAGGTCTTGGGTTTAGTATAGGTGCATGTGGAGAATGTTTTCGCGAGTGTCGGATTACTTTCTAACTTCGGAAAAGATGATGTGAATGTTATTGCCTAAGGGTTTGGGTGAGAAAATTGCAATTTCAACCGTCTATGATGATCGAAGGGTTTTGAGTTATAATTATATTACACTTGATAGTAAACTATTATGATACAGTGGGGGATCTGATCTAGTGGCAAAAAACGTACCATTTTGCATCCGGGAAGTATCAAAAACGCTGCCAAATACCTCAATCTCCAACTGTAAAAACTCCATTATGAAGAGCGCGTCATAAAAAGAGCTGGCGCACTTTTGAAATTGGAGTTTTTCACTTGGAGAGGGAGGTATTTTGCTGCGTTTTTGGTACTTCCCAAATGCAAGATGGTACCTTTTTTGCCACTGGATCAGGCCCGCCACTGTATCATCGTAGTTTACTATCAAGTGTAATATAATTATAGCGGTCAAATATCCCCTTACCTGTCTTAGCGAGTCCTCGCCGATGAAGGTGCTGACTACTGGCCAAATCGGCAACAAATAGCTCTGAATCCATCCAGCGTAGAACTGCGGGGTAATCGGCAAATGTAAAAATTTGGATGGGACGGCGGCAAAATGCGAGTATAATATTAGAAGGGCGAAAAGAAGGTCCATAACCAGACAAGCTGATATCCAGATCAGATCGCCGCGCAGATCCTTCTTCTCGGCATTGTTCGTATGCTTGTCGAAGAAGCGGCTCACGATCATGAAAGCCCCAACCACGTATAAAATTACCAGGAAGAAGACGGAGAATCCGATGGCCGCCGCCAGCGAGAAGTTCTCTTCACTGCTGGGCTGGTTGTACATCCAACGGAGACCTTCGATCTTGTAGTTGAGGGTTCTAAACGGGATTGAAATTAAAAGTTCTTGTGTTGAAATCCTCTTTTTCAAACTAAAAGACTATACGTTGTACGCTAGATTTACAGTGGGAGACCTGATCCAGTGCACGTCAAACTGAGGAGTCCGGTGACCGGAATATACTCTTCGCTATCGGTTTTTTACACTTCGTCTTGATTTCGCAGAGAAAGAGAGAAAAAAGACACGCAAAAACGTACTCTCTCGCCCCGAAAGTTCCCCCATTTCTTCCGCGACAAAACGTTTTTTCGCGTCTTTTTTTGGCAAATTGCCAATCCCTTCACCGGACTGTCTTAGCTTAGCTCAGTTTGACGTGCAGTGGCAAAAAACGTACCATTTTGCATCCAGGAAGTATCAAAAATGTGGCAAAATACCTCCCTCTCCAAGTGAAAAAACTCAGATTTCAAAAGCGCGCCCGCTTTTTTGTGGTAAAAAAGAAGCTTTTTCACTTGGAGGGGGAAGCATTTTGCCACACTTTTGATACTTTCCGGATGTAAAATGGTACGTTTTTTGCCACTGGATCAGGTCCCCCACTGTAAATAAAGCGCATAAAGTATTGTCTTTTAGTTTGAAAAAGAGGGTTTCAAGACTGAAAATTTTTTCCTTACCGCTTATAAAACACAATGTTGACAAAACGCTTGGCCGAGAGTAGAAATGCGCACAGCATGACGAAGAAACAAATGGTTCGAATTGGGATTTTTTGCCTAAACATAATATTAGCCATGGTCAAAAATTGTAATTGCTTACGCAACCAAAGGGAAAGCATATTCCATGATTCGCCGACATGACAAATAAAGTTGTAGCGTTGCGATGGCGGTCATGCAAAAGATGAACACGTAGCCCGGCGAGTCCGTAATGGAATCGTTGATGAAAACGCTGTTCTCGGCCGCTAACGTGTACGATAGCGCGATCGTATTGACGAAAAGTAGGACCAAAACGACTGCGAATTGAATGCTGAAGACGCTCAGCATGTCATGCGGCATGTTTGAGCGGCAGTCGGGCATTACGGTCAGGATGACCAGCATCGTGACCAGGAATGCAACGCCGATTGCGACCGTAAATGAGGTTATCAGAATCTGACTCCATTGTGTGTCTTCTATCATAGTGCGCTCTGAGTGGGGCAGAAAGAGCGAGATTAGGCGTGTTTTAAGCTAAAAATGGGTTTTATATGGTATAGATCTATGTGAAATTGTACGAATCATATTTTAAACACGATTTGGGTTATTACACATTATTCAGCTGGCGGTTTATCAGTCTGTGAAATTAGACATTACTTTTTCTATGCTACAGAATTTTGCCATATCAGTCTGTCGGGAAAATAATGTGGATTCATGGCGCCTTGGAATCACCCATCATCGCTTTGCGACGGCTAGCCGCTGCTGGAGATTTGGTGCGCGACAAGGCAAGACATTTTGCTGCGACAGATCCACATTATTTTCCCGACAGACTGATATGGCAAAATTTCTCTAGCATAGAAACATGAGGCCTTATTTGACAGAGTAAAGTCTACAAAAGGTTGAAAAGGTGATGAAGAGGGCTCCAAATGCGGTCTCAAAAAATATCGTAGATACAAAACGGCATAGGATTTCTGGGATATAGTTCAATAGATCTGCTCCTCATTCTATTTTTATTCGAACGGCACTTTTTGATACCAAGTTCAAGTCTCACTGCTGTGATCTTTTGTCGACCGAAACAGGTGCCAACCACTATTCAGATTCCTGGCTTATTGCCGTCTAGCAATACAAAACAACCCTCTTTTAGGAGGGTTGGAAATACCAAGTGGATCAAAAACACCTACGGAAAGATGCGACATGTCGCGACAAGGTCATCGCGCCGTGCAGACATATCACTGCTTTTTGGCTCGGGAAAAAGAGATAAACAAACCGATTGCACTATGCCATGTTTGCACTTTGCCAACTTTTCAAAATTTTTCAATCCATCTGTCAGTCTGTCGGGAAAATAATGTGGATTTGTCGCAGGAGGAGGTCAAGCCTCGCAATAGTCGCGGCTCGCAAAACGATGATGGGCGATTCCAAGACGCGACGAATCCACAATATTTTCTCGACAAACTGATATAAAAGCACTTTGGGGCTGTTGGGAAAATAATGTGGATTCGTCGCAGCTTGAAATGATGGTGATTTCAAGTTGCGACGAATCCACAATATTTTCGCGACAAACTGGCAAGAAAGCACTTTTTGGCTGTTGGGAAAATAATGTGGATTCGTCGCAGCTTGAAATGGATTTCAAGTTGCGACGAATCCACATTATTTTCCCGACAAACTGATAGGATCGGCAAGCCTTCGTCAAGGAAGTTCCACCACTAAACTACGCCGAAACCCTTTACCAAAATTAATTATGCCATGAAGGAGCGGGTAAACATCCGCCTTCTAAAAATACGGTTGCCAATTACTCCGGCCCATAACCTTCTCGAAGACCCAATTAAACGGCTTTTAAAAATCCACCGGAACACGTCCGGAGGGCCGAGAAGGTGATGGATCGGAAACACAAATGCTCTCGGCTTTGTCATAAATTAAACCGGAAATGGGTGCAGTTGTTAAAAACAGTATACAACACATAACGAGGGTACGCGGATTACAAGGTGGTCTAGACTCTAGAGTATTTCCTGCGGCGTAATTGATGGGTTTTTGATGATTGGGAAAGTGCATGGAGAGGACGAGTGGCAGGGGAAGGTCGAGTTTTTGTTGTTCTTTCTAGTATTTGCCGGAGGGCATGCTACAGGAAAATTGGTGTCTGTCGGGGGAAAAAAATTTTTTTTAATTCGAAAATAGGTTTAGAATGAGTAGGACTTGAGGCCACTGTCAAATCTGCTATGCTGATATTTATAAACAAGTGTCGCATTTCCAGAGGAAAAAGTTTTGGGTTCAAAATTTCAAAAATCTCGTCTTTACGACCTTCGGAACGCGATGCATCCATTGGTTTTTCAATCAGCACGAGCTACGCCGGCAGCTAGCTAAATTATGAGGAAAATGAATTTCAGCGTAGTGTTACCAGTCTGTCGGGAAAATAATGTGGCTTGGTATGTTCAACGCGCCACGAATCCACATTATTTTCCTGACAGACTGGTAACACTAGGCTGAAATTCATTTCCCCCCATAATTTAGCTAGCTGCCAGCGTGCTCATGCTGATTAAAAACCCCAATGGGTGCACCGAGTTCCGAAGGTCGTGAAGACGAGATTTTCGAAATTTTCAACCCAAAATTATTTCCTCGGGGAATGTGACACTTGTTTATAACATCTCAAAAATATGAATCGTCGAGGGGTTGCGATCCCTCGTCATAAATGCAAGACAATGTCTACCAAAAACCATGAATTACCATCTCCTAACATTGATGAGATCATCCCAAAATAAATGACATCACACTTGGCTTAATAACAATTAACAATCATAAAGGATTGGGCGGTTTTTTTGGCAGCCGAATTCCCCAAGTGTTCGATGAAATCATTCGGCCTGAGGGGCCGATCGGTCCGCCCCGCTGTCCCGCCTGCTCGCGGCATCCTCGTTGAGCCCGTCTTCCCGGGAACACGCGACCTGCCATTCAAACCGGGTTTTCTCAAAACTCGGCCATCAATTTCGAAAAAAGCGAAAGCCGAAAGAAAAACTTTTTGCAAATTATGTCTCTTTATGAAACCCAGAGGCAAGGGACACAAAAAGCAGGGTGACGAATGGACCGCACCGTTCAATCGTCCACATTTCCGGCCAAAACAGGAAGGACACTTGCACCTGCACCATACCCGGAAGCCGGGCGAGCCGAGACCGTCGAGTACGAGTTGGAGTGGGTCGCGGAGGGTCCAAAGAACGGAAATTCAAAAGGAAAATAACACCTGGGATGTTGGGGAGCTGGGCTGCACGCCAACTCGAAGATTTCGTGATACAACTTGAAGAAACTTGTCAAAAACTGAGTTACGAATAATCTTGAAAGGGAAGAAAAAAGATTATACAGTGATGATCCAGTGGCAAAAAAAACGTACCATTTTGGATCCGGGAAGTATAAAAAATGTGGCAAAATACCTCCCTCTTCAAGTGAAAAAACTTCGTTTTGAGGGCAGGGCGCTTTTCAAATCGGAGTTTTTTCACTTGGAGAGGGAGGTATTTTGCTACATTTTTAATACTTCCTGGATGCAAAATGGTACGTTTTTTGCCACTGGATCAGGCCCCCACTGTAGTTGTGGTCGAGGGTAGGGTAGATGGAATTGTTGGGAACAGAAAGAGGTTTACCGGTCGTTCAGATTCTTCTCAAATTTTGCTTACGTGTCCAGTATTGCCAATGTATCAATTTCTGAAAATTTTAGCTCGCGCTTTGCCAGGGCCGAGAAAATCATTTGCAAGCGGAAGAGTACGGCAAGTTCGGATAGCGTCCAGTGAGAAAGAAGCACGTCTTTTGGCTATACTTTTGCGACTTCTGAGAGGGAAAATTAAGCTATCCCAACTTACAGGGGAAGTACTCCAAGTGCGACGCTCAGATTTTGATGAAACTAGGCACAAATTTAGAATAATTTTTTCTAAGATATATGCGAGAATCCCAGCTCGCGCTTTGCAGAAACAACCGAGACTTTTAGATCGAAAGTCGGCGAAAATTTAGCACTATTTGCTGAATTTCGGCACGAAAAGTTTCATGGCTGTTTCTACCGTAAAGGATAATGTTTCTACAAAAAATCAAATTCTTCCGCACGAAACTGCCAAAGTTATGGCCAAAAAGAGCTTTCCTCTCTGACCGGTCTCCACGTTTAGCGTGCTCTCTCGGCGACATAAATCGTTCGATATCTCGGCGGCGCCCGCAAAGCGCGAGCTAAAACTTTCAGGAATTGATATTTAATTCATACCCGACGTGTGCAAAATTTAAAGAAAATCTCAGCGTCGCACTTGGAATAATTCCCCTCTTAGCGTAGTATTCCCTATTCCCTATGCAAAGATGGTTGAATATCTCGGCCATGGCGGTAAAGCGTGAGCTAAAATTTTCAGAAATTGATAAATTGACAATTCTAGACAAGCATGCAAAATTTCAGAAGAATCTAAAAAGATGCCTCTGGCACTTTAAAAAATCCAACAATGCCCCGGGGAATACAAAAATCGACCGTTAAAACTCATTACTTCCCCAAAAATTGCATCATCGCAACTGTCGTTGACATCTCTAGTCCAACTTTTGCTTCTCCACTTCCTCGGGGTTCATTGATCACGTCGGGAAACCCAAAAATTCTTGCCCTTTTGCTTTTTGGCCCACATGTCACAGTAATGTAGAAATTCTTTGATTCTTTTCCAGAAATTTGTTGCAAGCCGAGAGTGTCACGTATTTAATCATTCGGATGCCCTATAACTGACACAACCCGTGACAAATTAAGCTTGATTGACACCTTTCTATCGCGGGACGGGAAAGCTTTCGACTTGGCCGTTGTCCCGGAACATTATGGTGTAGGTTTGGTAATAGCGCAACAATGCATCCAACGAACAGAATCTGAAAATATTTTGTTGCGAAATCGAATTACAGTAATATAAATCCCGCAAAAGCCTATCTGTTATTGCGGAAATGACGTCATTTTTTCATGAAAGCACCTTTCGTATAAAATGTCGCCAACTGCAAAACTTACGCCGGTTGCTCTGGGAGGTCCTTCTCCTTGGAACGGACTTGCCACATCTTCATTCCATCGCGATTTCTGGTCTTCTTGATATCGTAGTGGTAAATCTTCCCTCCCGACGACATATACGCACACATCAACGGATACGAAAGGGGAATGTCCGTGATCCGGTGGCACGCCTCCGGACGACGATAGTACAGGACGAGCTGAGTGGGTCGAAGAAAGCTGGCAGTACGCTAAACGATGACAATTTAGAAATTGTAAAAGGATTAAAGATGAAAATCCAGAAAATCCGTCATCTAAGGAATATCAATGAATATGACGTCATTTAAAATGAGCAAAAATTTTTTTATTGGCAATTTAGAGGGGTGTCATGCAATTATCATCAATTTGAAACCAAAATTTTTGGTTTTAAAACTTGTCATGATGACGGATTTACTGGAATTTTCGAACTTCTTCAATAATCATCAATTTTCAAAACCCAAAAAATCGTATACGATTACAGAATCGATTACAAATATGCTCACAGATGCACGCTGAATTCCGATGAATTTCGAGGCCACTTCCGGAGCAATCGGGATGTTGATCTCGCTTTCGTCTTCATCCCCGCTGAACGTCCAGTCAGATTCGCTCTTAATCTCCGCCGCTTTCCTCACCTGGCTCTTCGGCCGTTCCGCTTTGGCCTTATTCCGACGTCGCATGTAGCCGTGGATGGAATGCCGACCCCTGGCCGGTCTTTTCGGCCACACCACCTTCAACGAGGCGTTCACCAGTTGGCCGTCCCGGTTCTCGACCACAGAGTACGATGGAGGAGTAATGGTTGACTGAGATGGGAGGTTTAGATCGTAATTTGAGATTTTTCGCATAACAGAGCCACCACAAACTTACTGGATCACTATCCTTACTCATGTTCACCTTGCAGCAGGTAATTCAACGACCGTCTGAGGATGCCACTAACCGTAAAATGAAAATTCGTCGCCTTTTTTGCGATAAAAAAACCTCATTGTGCATTTTGTTTCATTTCCATATTCAAATTCGCAAATTTCAGAAAGTTCCCTGCAATGCCAAAAGAATCTTGGCATTCTGTTGCAAGTGAAAAAAATAATATTTTTTGTTTATTTTTGGACTTGGATCTGATAACTTTGGGGAATAAACGTTATCTCGGGTCCTGATTTTTTGATATCCGATGTGAAATGCCTCTGGTCGACTCGTCTGCCACAATAATTGGCCAAAATGATGTCAGGTAGGCTAAAATTAGGTTATTTTGGACTAATATTGTCTTTAGGAAGGTGCAAATATACACGGGATGTCGGTTTGGACTCACTCCTCTCTCTAAGGTTGCAATTTGCCCGTTGGGAGGGCCAATCGGTAAGATTTTAAGGTTTTTTCTTTAAATTTAGGTATTCATCATGGAGAAGGTCGAGAAATCATCAGATTTCTCCCATTTTTACTCGAATAAGTCTTGAACCAGCGACTCTAACCTGTGTTTTTTCCAGCCATTGTAAATGCAAAGGAATATCAATCCGGAGCGTTGTCAGTGACGCGAATCTACAAGGGCAATGGAGAATTCATCGCTCAGGTGGAAGTCTCTCATTTACTCGACGTATTTTGGACAATGGCACAAAAACTGGTTTTGCTGAGCAAGAATGGGCGAGTTCTCGTCTACACAGCGACTGGACAATCGCACAAGACGTTTTTCATGGATAATGTGGGCAGTTTATATTGTACTTGGTGTTTGATGTCCAAAATTTCTAAATTCATGGTTTAAAATGATTTTTTTCAGAAGACCGAATCGCTAGACATTCATAGTGCTGTGGCGTTTCACTCAAGAAACGCGATCACAGGTCTGGCCTGTCTGAAATCCAGTGGGCAACTTTTTGCGGTCAACGATGTCGAGTCAAGTTTGTTATGGAGAATTGTTGATGTCTCAAGTAAGTGTTTGAAATACATTCTATTTTTGTTTTTAGATTCACAAAACATTCCGACAGTCTGGACAATGGTTCCAACTGTTGATGGTCCCATGATGGTGTGGACAAGTGGTAAGGCCAAGTTTTATATGGCCGGACAAGGAAAATCGCCGGCTTTGAAGGTAAAATCATATTGGAAATTTACTAAGGGCTAGGTATACTGCCTGATGGCTTTATTTGACTTCTCGAAATGGAAGAAAATTGTATTATTCTTGGGTTTCAGCAAGCAGAATGGATGTTTGGAGACTACACGGATATCCAAACTGACTATTTCAATGAGTCGTTGGCATTGTTAAACACACAAAATAAGATTCAAATTGTCTCTCCCGACTTGGAACAGGAACTTTATCGAATCGACACGGATGGAATTGATCTTCAAAACACCAGAGTATTATGGTGGGTGTATAAGTTAATTTTTTTGTAAAATTATGCGCATTATAGGTTCAAAGAAGACCTTGTGATGTTACAAACAGCACCGAATGTTGTATATTGCACAAAGAAGGAGGGAGAATCGAATGAGTAAGTTTGAGGGTAAGATGACGTCATGGATTATAAAAAAGGTGAAATATGGCGAATTATGGTGTCTCATTTGTTTATAGTGGTGATAGTTGTGTCAGAAGTAAGATTCGACTTTGAAAAGGTTGAATTTAGAGATTTAAGAAACATCAAATAGTGGAGATGGTAGGGAATGACCGGGAATAACTTGGGATTTGATGTGATGTTGTCGGATTTTGACGAGTTTTTTGGCAGCTTTTCTTCGGAAGAGCTTAATAGTCCATCACAGCTTGGTTTGGACAGGCTTTCTCGGGTTTCTGAAGCAGATTTTGACAAGTGTAATATAATGGATATATCAAAAAAAAAAAAAAGAATTTTTTGTTCGCTTTTTTACCTTGACTAAACAGCCGTTTGTACTGCTTATTCACAATCGAGTTGTACTCCTCCGCCGAGGTCCGATGCCCATTGTGCGCGTCGTTGAAGGTGGTTATCCGCAAGCACTCTCCATTCGCATTGTACACGATCCGAAGGCCGGCCCGGCACCCACAAGCCAAGTGTTTCGTGGGCCTGCCGCCCAGCGGATTGTTCCCTCGAGGTCTCGGCTCTCCATAGCGGGAGCAGTGATAGCTGACGGCGCGGACTTTGAAAATGGGATGGACTTCTCCGTTGGCTAGCCGGAACTTGTCCGAATTGTAGATCCGGAAAGGATGGTGGTAATGCTCTTTCCAGGCGGAGAAGTGCCGATTGAACTCGTCGAAACTGAAAGAAATGGGGTTGGAGCGGAATTGGGATTAGAAGCTTCAATTACTCCCTGAGTTGAGGGAGTAATTTGAAGCTCGTTTTTACCGATCGTAGATAATATTACTATTTTCATAAAGTGCATGGACGTTTTTCGCTTTCCCACATTACATTTTGAACTTTTTCCCACGTTTGTCGCCAACGCACAGTGCATTTTTGTTTTTCTCTTTTCGCACAGTGCAAACCTCAAAAAATGCCATTTGCACTGTGCAAATTTCTGACGCCGACACAGCGACGTAGCTGAAACTTCCTTATGTCGCAGCGATATTTCAATGCATAAAGTGCATGGACCCTTGTCCGAATCACAAAAACCCTGGTTTTGCACCGTGCATTTCATATTTTTTTTTTGGGTTTGCACTGTGCATGAAAATATCGCTGCGACAAAAGAAAGTTTCAACTACGTCGCTGCGTCGACGCCAGGAATTTGCACAGTGAAAACGGCTCTTTTTGCGGTTTGCAGTGTACGAAAAGAGAAAAACAAAAATGCACTGTGCGTTGGCGACAAACATGTTAAAAAGTTCAAAATGCACTGTGCGAAAAGGAAAAATGTCCATGCACTTTTGGGCTTTTTTTGTAAGCTTACCTGGAAAATTCCGCTCCTTTTTTGATCCGTCGATAATCGGGGAGGTCCTGGTCGGTCGAAAATGATGGACCTGAAGGGTTCATTTCATTGATAGTGACAAGTTATATTCTCCACGTGAAATGGGCTGAAAATTGGGTTAAATTAATTTTTGAAGGCTTTTCTATCAATCTTATTGGGTAAAATACGGTTAAAAATCAATGTGCGAGCTTGAAATGGGGAAAAATTAGTGGGTTTCCGAATTTTTCGGAAATCAACAGATGCAACACCCATCTGTTTTCGAAAGTGACTGTTTTCAAAGAGTTTCTTCTTTCTACAAAAGTGCGATTGTCCCGTTTCGACACCGCCTTAATGTCTTTCCTTTCATTAGGTGGCCAAGGACTTTGTTTTTGAAATTTGGAAATCATTTGGTCTTGTGATCTCTTAATGCGGCATACTAGTCCGTTTGTAAAGTCGTTAAAGTGATTTCGGCGACATGCATTGTGCGAAAACAAAAGTTTACTTTGCACTGCGAAATTTGTTGCTTTTTGCACCATGCAATGGGGGTTTTTGGACTGTAGCTTGCACCCCGACACGAGAAAAAGTCAGGGCGCAAGCGACAATCCAAAAAAGCCTTTTGCACGGTGCAAAAAGCAACAAATTACACAGTGCAGGGTTGATTTTTGTTTTCGCACAATGCATGTCGCCAAAATCACTTCAACGACTTTACAAGCGGACTAGTATGCCGCATTAAGAGATCATAAGACCAAATGATTTCCAAATTTCAAAAACAAAGTCTTTGACCACCTAATGAAAGCGGAGACATCAAGTCAGTGTCGAAACGGGACAATCACACTGTTGTAGAAAGAAGAAACTCTTTGAAAACAGTCACTTTCGAAAACTCTTGGGTGTTGCATCTGTTGATTTCCGAAAATTCCGGAAACCCACTAATTTTTTCCCAATTGTCGCAAAAATCACTCCAACAATATTGTGAACGGACTGGCATAAATCATCTCGTATTTGGTGATTTTTTCAGATACAAATTCCCCTATGACATCCACACTTCTCAAGAGCCGGATGGCCTCACAATTTACACCAACGACTCGGTCCACGCCCTCCATCCGGTCTCGTCCGCAACTCGCCGAGTCTTGTCGATGGCCTCACAAGCGCCGGGCGCCTTCCTCTACGAAGCGTCGCTGAAATTCCGCCGCTCGGACCCCCAAGTCAACGACTACGTCCAGCAGATTGGAGACGCCATTTCCGAAGCCGTGAAAGATTGTTTCGAAGCCGCCACGGAAATTCGAACCGCTCAAGAAGAGGAGAATTTGTTGGCGGCGGCGGTGTTCGGCCAATCGCTGCGGCGGATCAGCTCGAACACGCAGAGAATCGAGTTTTCGGAGAAGTGCAAGATGTTCCGAGTGCTGCGGTTCCTCTACGAAAGAGGGATCCCGCTCAGCTTCAAGCAGCTGGAGATCCTGGGCATCAGAGCCGTCCTGGACCGCCTGATCGAGCTCCGACTCTTCGCCGCCGCCGACATAATCGCCACCCAAACCCAGCCCCAGTCCCGCTCGCGAATCATCGCACACTGGGCGTTGGACTCGATGGATAAAGTCTCGAATGGACTGGCCGAAGAGAACGCTCTTTGCGAACGGATCATCCAACGCTTCAAGGAGCAAAAGCATGTGTCGTTCGCGGAGACGGCCCTCGTCGCCCATGAGAAGGGGCTCCAACGCTTGGCGTCCAGATTGTTGGACCTGGAGGTGGATGTCACAAAACAAGTCAAATCGTTTTTGAAACTGAAGAAACAAGAGAAAGCACTGGAAATTTGCGCCAAATGCAATGATCCCGATCTTTGTAAGCCGTTTGGAGATGGAATTTGGAGAATTTTTGAGTTGAATTTTTTTGTTACAGTAACCCAAAATGCTTTTTTATTTTTTTGAATTTTAGTGTACTTGGTCATCCGCCATCTGAAAGCCGATAGGAACCCCAGAGAACTCGAGCTGACCCTTCAAAAAGTCCCCAATGTCTTCCAAATGTATAAAGTAAGTGATCTGATGCCTAGTGTAATATAAATTTTGTCTAAAAAACAATATTAAACGTGTAAGGTTGCCAAATAGAGTGGAGTAAGCTAGTTTTATTTCCAGGAGATGACAAAAGACGAGAATCCAGCCCGATTGTTAGCCCTATATCAACAGAGCGACGACTTCCGAAGACAAGCCCTCTATTATTTGAATGCCACCGCCGATTGTAATGTTTTTGACACGACAAAGCTAACGGAACAGCTTGCAAAGGCTCAGGAGGCCCTTCAATCGGGAGGATATAGCCAGTTGGCCAACCTCACACAACAGCATCAACAATTGGTGAAGGAAAACGCGATTCTGGAGGAAAAATACGCGACAAGTTTGGTCGATAAAACCCTGAAAGAGACGTTTAAATGGGCAGTTATAAAGGTAGGAGACGATAAATGTTGCTATCAGTCAAGTTTTACCCATTTTGGGCAGTAAAATTAAAAATCAAGTTTTCGTGGCGGGACCAAAATTTTTTTATAAGTTGGAATAGATGATAAATTCGAATTTTATGTGGTTATATGGGAGTAATATGGACGCTTTCCACTTTCAGCGACCCCAACAAGCCGATGTTCTCCGAAAAAAATACAAATTGAACGACCTACAGTATTGGTATTGGACTCTGGAAGCACTGGCGGAAAACGACCTCTGGCAACGGTTCGAACATTTCGCGAGAGAGCAAAAGCCACCTCGAGGCTTCTTCCCACTCATTCAAATATTGGCCAAGCACAAACGCAGCGATTTGGCAACGAAATTTGTGGAGAAACTCCAACCCTCGGAAAGGCCGAAAGCTTGGGCAATTTTGGGGTAAGTTACTGTAGATATTGGTAAATAATAGCCGGAAAAGGAAGGCTGGAGGGCCAGGAAGAGGACAACGGATGTGTTAGGGGCGGATATAGCCTGTATGTGGAGGTACAGTATATTATACTGGGCAAAAGGTCCAAAAATTTCGGCAAACCCTGAGCGGCACCCATTCCCAGACCTCCGGCGCCCATAAATACCCCCGACTTGATCAGTACCCACCAATTTCGGGGGTTGTTTTATAACGTGCGGGACCTAAGTGCAGGTGGACAGCCGGAGATTTATGAAACGGCCGCAATTCGCACATAAATTGACATAATTCCCGGGTGAAACGGGAGACAAAAAATTACGGTTGGCACAAAAAAAAATTCTTTTTTTGATTTCTTGAGACCTGAAATTTTCAGGGAAAATGAAAAAGCGTGCCGAGCGGCAGCCGAAATTGACGATTTCGACTTTCTCCATCAACTCAGACTTCAGAAACCTGAGGAATCGGAGGAAAGTAAACTTATTCAACAGTTGATCGATGAAATTCGCCAACAAAAACCTTCTACATCGGCTTAAAAGTGGTGGAAAATGTGGTAAATGTGAAGTCTCTAAGATTTTGAGATTTCCAAAGTCATTAGTGTCCATATCAGACAACACGGGATTTTTTTTGTCAGGTTTTTGCAAATTTTTCAATTTTTTTTTTGCGAATTCTGTGATTTTTGTACGTAATAAATATTTATTGGTATAAAAATGAGGTCGTAGCAGATTTTTGAGATTGATTTTGAGGACGTAGGATTTTGAGGTCATGGAGAATGTGGCCAAAAGCTTTTTGCTGAAAAAATTATAGCGTTTCCTCTAACAGTATGTGCAATTTCCAGCTTCTCCGCCGACAGATCGTAGAGAAATTGCCGATTATTTTCCTCCACATCTCTTGAAACTCCCTGTATTTAGAGTGGGGCACTTGATCCAGTCGCCAAAAATGTGCAATTTTGTTTCCAGGAGGTTAAAAATTGCCGCAAAATACCTCCTTTTTCTGACCAAAAAAAACTGCTTTGAAGAGGTCGTTCTCTTGCTTTCCTTCGCAGAGCGCCCGCGATTTCAAAGCACTGTTTTTTGGTCAGAAAAGGGATCTTTTTTTGCGGCAATTTTATTCCTTCCAGGAAACAAAATTGCACATTTTGGCGACTGGATTAGGCCCCCACTGTAAATATAAGGAGTTTCAAGAAATGTGGAGGAAAGTGATCGGCAATTTTTTGACGATCTGTCGGCGAAGAAGCTGGAAGTTGGTCACGCTGTAAGAGGGAACGCTGTAATTTGATTCTGCAAAATTTTTGGGACATTATCTTGCAAGATACAGTGGCGGACCTGATTCAGTGGCAAAAAAACGTGCCATTTTGCATCCGGGGAGTATCAAAAATGTGGCAAAATGCATCCCTCTCCAACTAAAAAAACTCCGATTTCAAAAGCAAAATTCAAAAGCGCGCCCGCTCTTTTCGTGAGAGAAATGGCGCGCCATTCATAACGAAGCTTTTTCACTTGGAGAGGGAAGCATTTTGCCACATTTTTGATACTTCCCGGATGCAAAATGGTACGGTTTTTGCCACTGGATCAGGTCCCCCACTGTAAGTTCGCCGCAGCGCACCAAATCTCCAGCCGCGGCTAGCCGTCGCAAGGCGATAATGGGCGATTCCAAGGCGTGGCGAATTCACATTATTTTTCCGACAGGCTGGTATAGATAAATCATGGCCACTATCTCCCAGTGCCCATGATTTTAACCTACTCCGCCGATCCGTTGTTGAGAAAAAGGTGATTAGAGTTCCTCCGCGCTTCTGGAAACCCACGTGTCTCCGTCTAGACGCGACGCGGTCACGCAATCGCCCAATTTCGATGCGTTTTTGGAGTTGGACATGTTTTAAAACACGATTTCTGACTCGGTGAATTAGCCGTGGACATAGGAAATTTTCGATTTTGAGATTTACAGCCGGATATGACCGCACCCATCATATAAGTGTGTTCCTGAAGCCTTTTGCCCTAATTCTCCCGTTAACCTAGTTTTATTTACAATTTAAGCAATTTACAGTAACGTCAAATATCTCAAAATTGAGAAGACCTAGGCCCGTAAAATTGTGGTCAGATATGTTTTTGGGCACTGGGAATCCAATGGAGGTGGTTTTGGATCGAAAGGATTACTGTAACATAGCAAACCTACGCTTCGGCCGCACAAAATCGGCCGTAAAAAAGTTGTTTCTAAAAACCCACAGCTGAATTTTTGATATGTTAATCAGCATAAAATTCTGCCCTAGAAACATTCAAAAAAAGTCCAAAAATCCGTGTTGCTATTTTTGTGGTATAGTGGATTTTGACAAAATCTACTAATCTGACGTCCCGGGTTCGAGTCCGGGTGGACGCAAATCACTGAGAATTGATCGGGAATGACTTTAATGGATGGAATATACAAGCTTGAGTTTATTTTAGGTCATTTTGATAAGATTCTGACAATTTTCTGATTTTTCGCTGGAAAAAAAGCGAAAATACAACTTTTTGACAAATCGTATTTTACACTGCTGTTTTGTGTTCATGACGTATTAAGAACTTATATGTAGTGTTTTTAAGGGGTCTCCAACAAGTAGAAACTATTTTCTGAATATTTAGATATTATACTTGGTATCTGTTAATCTTGCCTCATGCAGGCATCTGTAGGAACTATAATTTTAGCTAGTGACAACGTAATTCACTGTTCTGTGACCATACTTCACATTTTTTTTAGAAAACGGTTCATCATCGAAGTAATTTGCCTCTATAGAACAGTTGATGAAACGCGGAGAAATTTTCATTTTCAAACTAGATTTCTTGTGGTTACCCGCCAAATAATTGAGATTTTATGCTAGTTATACCCTTTACGGAAAATTTGGCAAGTCAGAGCAGAAGAAAGTGCAATCTGGATGATCTATCCACTTCCTGCTTACCAGGTGTCCAGTACAACATTAAACAAATTTTTTAACGGGTTGGATTGTCGAAGAACCCCTTAAAATTATTAAATATAAGTTCTTATTGTGTTATGAACACAAAAAAGCAGTGTAAAATACGATTTGTCAAAAAGTTGTATTTTCGCTTTTTTTCCACCGAAAAATCAGAAAATTGTCAGAATCTTATCAAAATGACCTAAAATAAACTCAAGCTTGTATATTCCATCCATTAAAGTCATTCCCGATCAATTCTCAGTGATTTGCGTCCACCCGGACTCGAACCCGGGACGTCAGATTAGTAGATTTTGTCAAAATCCACTATACCACAAAAATAGCAACACGGATTTTTGGACTTTTTTTGAATGTTTGTAGGGCAGAATTTTATGCTGATTAACATATCAAAAATTCAGCTGTGGGTTTTTAGAAACAACTTTTTTACGGCCGATTTTGTGCGGCCGAAGCGTAGGTTTGCTATGTTACAGTAATCCTTTCGATCCAAAACCACCTCCATTGGATTCACAGTGCCCAAAAACGTATATGACCACAATTTTACGGGCCTAGGTCTTCTCAATTTTGAGATATTTGACGTTACTGTAAATTGCTTAAATTGTAAATAAAACTAGGTTAACGGGAGAATTAGGGCAAAAGGCTTCAGGAACACACTTATATGATGGGTGCGGTCATATCCGGCTGTAAATCTCAAAATCGAAAATTTCCTATGTCCCGGCCTTGTACACTGCTGATTCAGTGAGTCAGAAATCGTGTTTTAACGCTCATTACAATTCCCTCCCGACGACTTTATTATCACTTGTTCCATGGAATTCTAAATTTTGCTGCGGATGAACCCTTTTCCAATGTATTTTCTTTTCCTTTTTCCCTTCCATGCTTCGACAGATTGTCTGGATCGTGGGGAAGAATAAGAAAATTGTATTGCTACTCATTGTTCTGGCGAGCACATACACAATTTTCTATTCCACAAGCTGTAAGTGGTATGGCTGAAGGGCCAGTGCCCATTTTGGGACGCTCAGATTTTCTTTAAATTTTGCACAGAGGACAATAACGAGCACATTTTTACATCAATTTCTGCACGGGAAGTGAGTGCTTCAAGTGCGACGCTCAGAGTTTCAGATTTCGCTTAAATTTTGCACGCGTGTTTTTTTGAAAGTTTTTGCTTGCGCTTTGCAGGCACCGTCGAGATATTTGGCGATCTTTGCGGTCGAGAGAGCACACGAAAGAGAGAAGAGGTCAGAGAGAAAAAACTGGCTGTATCTCTGCCGTTTTTTCTCTCTGACCTTCTCCTTGTTTCGCGTGCTCTCTCGACGGCAAAGATCGTTGAATATCTCGGCTGTGCCTGCAAGGCGAGAGCTGAAACTTTCACAAATTGATATGTTCTCTATGCTGAGGTGTGTGCAAAATTTAAGCGAAATCTGAAACTCTGAGCGTCGCTCTTGAAGCACTCACTTCCCGTGCAGAAATTGATGTAAAAATGTGCTCGTTATTGTCCCCTTTTCAGCGGAGACACATAATTTTAACAGGACTGTAATAAAGGAGGCACAACCTGGAATTACAAGGGTCAGGCCTAAAACGTATGAAGCGCAAAAGTTATGGCCAGAATTCGGAAAGACCTTGGCAATAAAAAGTGGGGATTGCGCGGGAATGGCGAATATTGTAAGCTTCAATTTATCTTTAAATTTGCGACTTTGGCTTGACGTGCCTATCGTATCAGTTTGTCGGGAAAATAATGTGGGTTTGTCGCAGCAAAATTTCTTTCCTCTCGAAAAACACGATCCAAATCTCCAGTCGTCGCAAAGCGATGATGGGCGATTCCAAGGCTCGACAAATCCACATTATTTTCCCGACAGACTAATACAAAATCATTTATAAGGCCATTGGAGCGTCGCAGTTGAGACACTTTCCTTGTCAGCAACAGTTTTAAAAATTTTTATTTTTTGTTGCAGTTCTGGAGAATCGCCGCTTTATACGGCTTGAGTCTTCAAACAAATCGAACCGCAATTATTGGCGCTCATTTCAAAAGATGCGGACTGTTTGAGAAATATGAAATGACCTATTATTTCCCCGCCTTGAGCGTACTGTATAGCCGGGTGAGTTGGAAATTTCGAGGAAATGCACTTGTTGCGAGATCTACTACGTTGGGGGGTTTGATCTAAAACGTAGGGGGCTTGACATGAAACGTAGGGGGCTTGATCTAAAACGGAGGGGGCTTGATCTAAAACGTAAGCGGTTTGATCTAAAACGTAGGGGGCTTCATCTAAAACGTAGGGGACTTGTGCTGGACCATACAACTTGGATTAATTCTTTGAAATAAATTTTGGGGTTCAGAATGGACGAGGGGGGTTGTACTGGGTTTTGGGGGGCTAAACTGGACTGGGGGGCTGTACTACCTTAGCCCCGATGTTTCTAATATGAACTTGTCGGCGGATGAGTAAATGCTTTTCAAAACGTTGAACTATACGTTATACAATGAGCTTTCAGCCCTCTATAGACGATGCGGTGGAAGTGCCTTTTGGCGTGTCTACGTGGGAAACGGATGACATAGAAAAGTAAGCGAAATTTTTGCGCGTTTTTGTGCTGTTAGTGTACTGCTCGGAGCAAAAGGGTCCTGATAATTCACAAATTGCGGATTTTTGGCCTCAAAAACACAACTTTTCACAATTGAGTTTGGATTTTTTGCACTAACGTCGCGTGTGATGCCCATCAAAGAGATCATTCGGTACAGTGACGGACCTGATCCAGTGGCAAAAACGTACCATTTTGCATCCAGGAAGTATCAAAAAATGTGGCAAAATGCATCCCTCTCCAACTGAAAAAACTCCGTTTTGAAGGGCGCGCTTTTGAAACCGGAGTCTGCACTTGGAGAGGGAAGCATTTTGCCACATTTTTTATACTTCCCAGATGCAAAATGGAACGTTTTTTTGCCACCGGATGAGTTCCGCCACTGTGCTTTATTACGACAGATTTTCGGCGTTTGTCGCGCGCCAAAAATCTGTCGCAATAAACGATCTCTCTGAAAATGGGCATTGCGCGCGACGTTAGCGCAAAAAATTCAAAATGCACTGTGCAAAATGGTATTTTTGGGTCAAAACGTAAGCGTGCCAATTATCAAGTCTCTTTGCTGCAATTAGTGTTATGAAAAAGTTGTTAAAACGACATGAAAAGCTGTTAAAACGATATTGAAACCCCGCTGCAAACAATTCAGGCTGCTGGAAAGACAAGAAGAATCGGTTGCCATCGTCGATGGAATTTATTTTCAATCTTTTGGGTACTTCCATCAGTTCAAGCAGAGAATCCGTAAGATCTTTGCGCCATCGACGGAAATCAAGAGACTTATTGATGACTATGACAAAACTGTATTCAAAGGCGATCGCTCGCACAAGCTCTGCATCCATCTGAGGGATTTCGAAAAGGGAAGATTCAAAAAGAGCAATGTGACGTGGACATTTGAAGTGAGCAAAATTGAATATCAGTCTGTCGGGAAAATAATGAGCACAGCATTGCGCTGATCGCGTCGCTGAAGTGAAAAGAAATTTGAGTTTTCCGCGATACAATTTTTTTATCGGTGGCAATTTCCGAGTGCTCATTATTGTCCCGACAAACTGATAGTAATGCGACTGTTGAACATACAGGGAAAAGAGATGCAAATGAGCCAAAATTTGGTATAAAAAAGTATCCGCGAGTCATAAAACAGATTGTTTTTTTTTGAAGGTTGGTTTTGTCATCTTATGAGACTTGTTTTGTGTTGCAAAAGGTCTCGTATAAAAATTAAACCAGTCTATCTTCAAAATCAACAATCTTTGTTTTCTCTCATTGATACTTTTTGACGCCGAATTTTACTTCATTCCTTTCTATGCCAACTTTTTCTCGGTGGAGATTTTTCGAAGCGACAGAGTGCTCATTATTTTCCCGACAGACTGATAACAGAGAAAAAATTGCTGTTTTAGGCAGCAAAATTCATAATCCAACATCTGAAGACGGCTCATAACATTGAAAACATCAACGCAATTGTGTTTTCGGACAATAAAAGTCACTCACAAACAATTGCAGAGCAGCTGGTTGTAAGTAAAATGTAAAAGCATTTCCAATTTTTTCGTTGCTTTTCCCCCACTTACTCGCTACAGTGACGGACCTGATCCAGTGGCGAAAAACGTACCATTTTGCATCGGGGAAGTATCAAAAATGTGGCAAAATGCTTCCCTCTCCAAATGAAAAAGCTTCGTTTTGAAGGGCGCGCCTTTGAAATGGGAGTTTTTTCACTCGGAAAGGGAAGCATTTTGCCACATTTTTGATACTTCCCGGATGCAAAATGATACGTTTTTTGCCACTGGATCAGGTCCGCTCACTGTATCTCGCTGCGTTCAGAATGAAGGCTCAATCTCCAAATCCTACATCCCGTCGGAAATGAACCGTGGGACGGAGATGGTATTTGCCCAAACCAAGTGCCAATCGATGATTCTGACCACGATTGGCTCCACGTTCGGCTGGTGGATGGCCTATTTCATGGCGGAGGAGGCGCAGAAACGCGTCTTCTACAGCGAGCATTTCTTTGAGGTGGGCGCGAAATTGGACGATCATTCTGTGATGTAAATCTCTTTTTTCAACGTTTTTCTTTTCCTTCAGCCCGGACGGTACAACAGGAACACAGAAAATGAGATGGAAGCCAATTACATTCGGCCAGAATGGAAAAGGATCGGGTCAAAAAACGGAATCTTTGAAATAGAATCCAGGCAGAAACAAGGTCTTCTTGTCATAGAAAAAGACAGTAGAATGAACAATAGTTACTCAATGGAAGTTTAAAATAAAGATTAAATTATTCAACGTTTATATGTAATCTATGTACAGTGAGGGAGCCGATTTAGTGGCAAAAAACGTTCCATTTTGCATCCGGGAAGCATCAAAAATGTGGCAAAATGCTTCCCTCTCCAAGTGAAAAAACTCCGATTTCAAAAGCGCGCCCGCTCTTTTCGTGAGGCAAAAGGCGCGCTATTTGAAACGAAGTTTTTTTAGTTGGAGAGGGAGGCATTTGGCTACATTTTTGATACCTCCCGGATGCGAAAAGATACGTTTTTTGCCACTGGATCAGGTCCCCCACTGTATATGTAATCTATGTTTGTTGCAATCTTTGTTGTTTCCGGAGTAGACGAGATACAGTGGGGGACCCGATCCAGTGGCAAAAAACGTACCATTTTGTATCCGGGAAGCATCAAAAATGTGGCAAAAACTTTCGCTCCCCAAGTAAAAATAAACCTCGTTTTGAAGGGCACGCCGTTTCCTGCACAAAAAGAACGGGCGGGCGTTTGAAATCGGAGTTTTTTCACTTGGAGAGGGAAACATTTTGCCCCATTTTTGATACTTCCCGGATGCAAAATGGTACGTTTTTTGCCACTGGATCAGGTACGTCATTGTACTATGTATGTTGAAACCTTTGTTGTTTCAAGAATAGCCGAGATATTAAACAATCTATGAGGGCCAAGAGAGTACACAAAATGGGGAGAGCGCTCACTGCAAAAAACAATTTTTAGTCGTATCTTTGCCAGTTTTGCGCGGAAAAATTTGATTTTTTGTGAAAACATTACACTCTACAGTAGAAATATTCATAAAACTTTTTATGGAAAATTTTGCAAAAAAGAGTCGTTTTTTTGCCGACTTTCGACCTAAAAATCTCGGTCGGTATTTCAAATCGCGAACTAGGAGTCTCCCACAAAAAAACACACAAAAAAATCAGTCAAAATTTGTTTCAAGTTTCCTCAATATCTGAGCATCGCAGGTTTTGAGGGACCCGTGTTTTATGCAAATTTCACCAAAAATTCAAAGTTTTGGGAATTCCAACTTTCAAGATGAATGCCCATGAATCATTCCATTCTGATTTATTTTCGTCCCACGTTTTTGTCAATGTTCCCTCGGATCGGCTGGATTTCGGGCAAAAATGCAAAGCTTATGCTGCTACTCATTGTTATGGCCAGCGTTTGTGCAATCGGCTTGTTGGCACTTTGTAAGTGAAAAAAGTTGGAGCTTCCGGGAAAAAATTTTATTTTTTCGGGTTTTTTTGTTTGAAAACCGACATTTTTTTTTTTGAAATTTCCGATTGAGGCTTGATTATCAGTCTGTCGGGAAAATAATGAGCAGAATGTCGCTGCGCCGCTTGTGTCGCTGAAGTGAAAAGCAATTTAATTTTGTCGCGACCAGAGATTGCCACGGCTCCGGAGCCGGCTCTTGGCTCCGGCTCTGAGCGGCTCCGGCTCCGAGCCGGGAGCCAGAGCCTGAGCCGGAAATTTTGGGGTCGGCTCTGGCTCCCGAGCCCAAAGTCGGAGCCAGGCTTCCCAGCTGTCAGAAAAGTGAAAATTTCGTGATCTTGTCAAACCAAATTACTTGAAAAAACACTGCGGAGGATGCGACTTGACTGCAAAAACGTTGGCTGTATGATCTCTGGCACTAATAACTTTTATTTTTGGAAAAATATTTTTAAAAAAAACATTTTGCATAGGAGCCGGGATTCGGAGCCGGAGGCCTTTTTAAATTTTGCACGGAGCCAAGAGCCGGAGCCGGAGCTGCAAATATGGCCTCGGCTCCGGCTCTGGGAGCGAAGAGCCGGAGCCGGAGCCGAAATTTTGACCGTGGCAATCTCTGGTCGCGACACAATTTATGTATTTTTCACGTTGCGATCCGATTTTCAAAGCGACAGAGTGCTCATTATTTTCCCGACAGACTGATATTAGTATTTTCATAAAGTGCATGGACCTTTGTCGTGCACAAAAAACCTCCATTTTTGCACCGTGCATTCAACTGTGTTGCTGCGTCGGCATCTTGAATTTACTCATTATTTTCCCGACAGACTGATATTCGAAAAAAATGCTTTTGAGGCTCTGATGCAGCTCGGAAAACAAGCATAGAAAAAAAATAAAATGATTTTTTATTATTTTTTTATTTTTTTTTCATTATGAGCCGAGAAAATCGCCCAAGAAAAATAAAAAAATTTTGTCCCTATTTTCCCCCATTTTTCAGCCGAAACGCGCTCCTTGGTGAAAACAGTGGTGAAGGGAGCGCAAACTGAAATTGCAAGACTCATACCGAAAACGGATGACGCGAAAGAGTTATGGCCGAAATACAATAAGACTTTGGCCATCAGTAGTGGAGATTGCGCAGGAATGGCGAACGTTGTAAGTTACGCTGATTTTGCGATTTTTTTGGAAAGTTTTTAATATTTTTTTGTCCGGAGGCTTTGATACTACTAGTCGTTCCAGAAAGTGCGTGCACTTTTTTCCGCCTTTTTTACACCGCACAGTGCAAAGTTTCGTGTTCCCCGCGCGACGCGATCCGTTTCGAAACATTCTGCACTGTGCAATTTCTTTTCGCACGCCCAAAATTCGCGGCGACTCAGCTGAGAAAAGCTTGCGTCGCAGCGATATGTCAGCGACATCCGGTTGCACAGTGCAAAAAGGTCAAATGCACCCCGCAAAAAGGGGTTTTGTGCACGGTGCGGCCCACGACAAAATGTGTCTGCACTTTTGAAAAAGCGTAATATGACTTCTAGTCGCGACATAAAGTCCGTAGAAAGCGACGTCGGCGAAAAAAATTCTACGGACTTTATGGCGCGACTAGCACAAACTATTTTTGAGATTTTTGATCTATCAGTCTGTCGGAAAAATAACGGCGGACCGTCGCATCAAAATGTCTCGCCTCGCCGCTATCGCGCACCAAATCCCAAGCCGCGGCTTGCAGTCGCAGACCGATGTTGGGCGATTCCGAGGCGCGACAATCCGCCGTTATTTTCCCGACAGACCGATATATAATTTTCATTGCAGTTCTGGAGAATCGCGGCGTTGTATGGATTGAGTCTTCAGACAAATCGCACAGCAGTCATGGGCGATCCTATAGAAGACTGCGGAGAGCGGGAGAAAAAGGAAATGACGTCTTATTTCCCCGCCTTGAGCGTACTGTATAGCCGGGTGAGTCGGCTTCGGATAACCTTGTTTTTGTGGCGTGCTCTAAAAAATACTTTTTTTTCCAAGCTGAGGAGCGCAAAAAAATTGAAGTTCATCTCAATTTATGATTTATAACTTTTTACTTACAGTCCCCCATTGGCTACTATTCGCCAGTAAACTTTGGCGAATCATCGTGGCAGCCGGATAACATAACAAAGTAAGGATTTAGATTTTCAAAAAAAACGTACACATGGAATTTTTTTTACAGTGTTTATTAGTGAAGATTTCATGTCTACTGCGCTATTTCAAAAGTGCCTAGACTTTTTGCCCCAGCGCACAGTGCATTTTGCCTTTTTTCCCACGGCGCGGGCTTTTCGAACATTTTGCACTGTGCGTTTTTCTTCTTTTTTGCACCGTGCAAACCGCACAGTGCATTTTCCATTTTTTTGTCGCTTACGCACAGTGCATTTTGCCTCGAAAGAGAGTGTACTAGTCGTTCCAGAAAGTGCGTGCACTTTTTGTCGTGGGCCGCACTGTGCACAAAATTGCCTTCTTGCGGGGTGCATTTGACCTTTTGCACCGTGCAATTGCAATGTCGCAGCGACGTAGGCTTTTCTCAACGGAGCCGGCGCGAATTTTTAGAAATTGCACAGTGCAAAATGTTTCGAAAAGGATCGCGTCGCGCGGGGAACACGAAACTTGCACTGTGCGGTCCGAAAAAAAGGCGGAAAAACGTGCACGCACTTTCTGGAACGACTAGTACTGGCTTGATTGCCCTTTTCAAAACATTTTTTTTGCACTGTGCGGGCTTTTCGAACATTTTGCACAGTGCATTTTCCCTTTTTTTTGTCGCTTACGCACGGTGCATTTTGCCTATCAGTCTGGCCGAAAAAGAATTGTCCTCCGCGCCCCCCTCCATCGCACTCACTCGAAACCCCAATTTGCATCGCGGAGAAATTTGGAGGGCATCGCCGAAAGAAAGAGCAAAAACAACGCATCGCCAGCGACAAAAGTGGGTTTTGCACAGTGCAAATGCCCTTTTTCTGCTGTTTCGCACTGTGCAATTCCACAAATTTAGCGATTTTTCGAAGTCGCGCGCACTTTTGCGATGCATCGCTCAAACTTTCGGTGCCGCTCATTTTCGAGCTTGCGATTTCGATGCTGCGACGAGGGTAATTCTTTTTCGGCCAGACTGATATTACGCTTTTTCAAAAGTGCAGACACATTTTGTCGCGGGCCGCACCGTGCACAAAACTCCCTTTTGCGGGGTGCATTTTGACCTTTTGCACTGTGCAAACGGATATCGCTGCGACGCAAGCTGTTCTCAACGGCGCCGGCGCGAATTTTTTGAAATTGCACAGTGCAAAATGTTTCGAAAAGGATCGCGTCGCGCGGGGAACACGAAACTTGCACTGTGCGGTGCAAAAACGGCCGGAAAATGTGTCTGCACTTTTGAAAAAGCGTAATAGTGCACTGCGCTTCATTGCCCTCTTCAAAACATTTTTTTGCACTGTGCGGGGTCGCAATGCACCTAGAATTTTGAATTGTCGCCAAGCGACAAGTTTTTCGCGCGATGGCGCACGGTGCATTTTGCGGACTTTTCGAAAATTTTGCGAATTCCATCGATTGCGACCCCGCATCGATTGCGACCCAGCATCGATTGCGACCCCGCATCGATTGCGACCCAAAATGGGGTAAAGCGACCCCGGGATGAAAATTCCTTGATTCTCTTCGGGAAAAACTTGCTTTAGGGGTTTTCGAGGGTGCTGATTTCGAAAATGATGTTCATTTTTCCTCTAGTACTACATAGTACTGTCTGATACTATATAGTACGAAGTTAAAATATCGCTTTTGACGTTAAATACTCGATTTAGGGGTTTTCGAGGGTGCTGATTTCGAAAATGATGTTCATTTTTCCTCTAGTACTACATAGTACTGTCTGATACTATATAGTACGAAGTCAAAATATGGCTTTTGACGTTAATGGTGTTGTTTTGATGCTTGGTACTCTTCAAAAACACGTTTTAAAGGCTTGGTGCTATATAGTACTGTCTGATACTATATAGTACGAAGTCAAAATATGGCTTTTGACGTTAATGGTGTTGGTTTGATGCTTAGTACTCTTCAAAAACACGTTTTAATCACTTGGTGCTATATAGTACTATCTGATACTATGTAGTACGAGGTGTAAAGTTGGCCTTTAGGCGTTAGTGGTGTTGTTCTGGTGCTTAGTACGCTTATTTTGACTTCGTACTGTATAGTATCAGACAGTACTATATAGCACCAAGCCTTTAAAACGTGTTTTTGAAGAGTACGAAGCATCAAAACAACACCATTAACGTTAAAAGCCATATTTTGACTTCGTACTATATAGTATCAGACAGTACTATATAGCACCAAGCCTTTAAAACGTGTTTTTGAAGAGTACTAAGCATCAAAACAACAGCATTAACGTCAAAAGCGATATTTTGACTTCGTACTATATAGTATCAGACAGTACTATGTAGTACTAGAGGAAAAATTAACATCATTTTCGAAATCGGCACCCTCGAAAACCCCTAAATCGAGTATTTAACGTCAAAAGCGGTATTTTCACTTCGTACTATATAGTATCAGACAGTACTATGTAGTACTAGAGGAAAAATGAACATCATTTTCGAATTCAGCACCCTCGAAAACCCCTAAATCGAGTATTTAACGTCAAAAGCGGTATTTTCACTTCGTACTATATAGTATCAGACAGTACTATGTAATACTAGAGGAAAAATGAACATCATTTTCGAATTCAGCACCCTCGAAAACCCCTAAATCGAGTATTTAACGTCAAAAGCGGTATTTTCACTTCGTACTATATAGTATCAGACAGTACTATGTAATACTAGAGGAAAAATGAACATCATTTTCGAAATCAGCACCCTCGAAAACCCCTAAAGCAAGTTTTTTCCGAAGAGAATCAAGGAATTTTCATCCCGGGGTCGCTTTACCCCATTTTGGGTCGCAATCGATGCGGGGTCGCAATCGATGCGAGGTCGCAATCGAGCGGGGTCGCAATCGAAGGATTCCAAATTTTGCACTGTGCGTTTTGTTTCTTTTCGAACCGTGCAAACCGCACAGTGCAATTTGCCTTCTTTGTCGCTTACGCACAGTGCATTTTGCCTTTTTTCGCACGGTGCGGGCTTTTCGAACATTTTGCACTGTGCATTTTCCCTCATCGCGGCAAATCGCATCAGAAACGTCGCAGCGACTCTGTCCAAAATGTGATTCGTCGCGCGATATTTACCTCGCACAGTGCAAAATTTCGAGTGCACAGTGAAAAATGGGGGTTTTGCACGGTGCGATCCTGTGAAAAAAGTCTATGCACTTTTTGAAAAAAACGCATCAGGACATTTCCGGAATTTGGACACTTCCGGAATGGCGGAATAGTGACACTTCCGGAATGGCGGAACAGTGACACTTCCGGAACCGGGGAAAAATCAAAGAAGAGGCTTAGACCTGCCATCTGAACCATCTGGCTGGATTTATTGTTATTTATTAATCTCAAAAATTTTGTTATTTTTTTTTCTGATTGTTACTTTTTTCTTAAGTAGTAGTGTTAAAAAGTAATTTTTCGATTTTTTTCTAAAAATACTCGATTTAGGGGTTTTCAAGGTTGCTGATTTCGAATATCGGGCTCATTTTTTCTGAACTTTACTAGTTTTCCTTAAGCAGTAGTGTTATAAAGTAATTTTTTGGAATTTTTCCAAAAATACTGGATTTAGGGGTTTTCGAGGGTGCTGATTTCGAAAATCATCTTAGCTTTCCTCTTTATAGTACTATCCGGTACTATACAGTACGAGGTGAAAATATGGCTTTTGGCGTTAATGGTGTTGTTTTGATGCTTAGTACTCCTCAAAAACACGTTTTAAATAACTGGTACTGTTTAGTACTGCCTGGTACTATGTAGTACATGGTGAAAATAGGAGTACTAAGCAACAGAACAACACCACTAACGCCTAAAGGCCAAATTTTTACCTTGTACTACATAGTACCAGACAGTACTAAACAGTACCAATTATTTAAAACGTGTTTTTGAGGAGTACCAAGCATCAAAACAACACCATTAACGCCAAAAGCCACATTTTCACCTCGTACTGTATAGTACCAGATAGTACTATAAAGAGAAAAGCTAACATGATTTTTCGAAATCAGCACCTTCGAAAACCCCTAAATCGAGTATTTTTAGAAAATTTTCAAAAAATTACTTTATAACACTACTGCTTAAGGAAAACGAGTATAGTTCAGAAAAAAATGAACCCGATATTCGAAATCAGCAACCTTGAAAACCCCTAAATCGAGTATTTTTAGAAAAAAATCGAAAAATTACTTTTTAACACTACTACTTAAGAAAAAAGTAACAATCAGAAAAAAAAATAACAAAATTTTTGAGATTAATAACAATAAATCCAGTCAGATGGTTCAGATGGCAGGTCTAAGCCTCATCTTTGATTTTTCCCCGGTTCCGGAAGTGTCACTGTTCCGCCATTCCGGAAGTGCCACTATTCCGCCATTCCGGAAGTGTCCAAATTCCGGAAATGTCGTGGTGCCGAAAAAAAATTAAAAAAATACTGCCTATTTCAGACTGCAAGGTCCCCAAAAATTGATTGTTGTGCGCGGCGGTTTTTATTTTCAAGCCTTTCCGTACTTCCACCATTTCAAGGAGAGAATCCGGAAGATCTTTGCGCCATCAGCCGAAATCAAGAAACTTATTGAGGACTATGACAAAAACGTGTTCAAAGGCGATCTCTCGCACAAGCTCTGCATCCATCTGAGGGATTTCGAAAAGGGAATTTTCAAAAAGAGCAATGTGACATGGGCATTTGAAGTGAGTTAGGTTGAAAAGGGAAGTACCCCAAGTGCGATGCTCAGAATTTTGTGAAATTTTGCACAGACGCTGTATGTAGGCCTCATATCAATTTCTGAAATTTTTAGCTTGCGATCTTCAGAGGCGGCCGAGATATTCAACGACTTGCCGAGAGAGTACGAGAAATGCGGAGAGTGGTCAGAGAAAATCTATTTTTGGCCATATCTTTGTCAGTTTCGCGTGGAAAAAATGATTTTTTGTGAAAATATTACATTATACAGTAGAAATAGACATGCGATTTTTTGGACGAAAATTTGCAAAAAAAATTTAAAATTTTTGCCAATTTTGGATCTATTGGATCTAAAATTGGCAAAATTTGGATCAAAACTCGGTTACTTTGGGAAAGCGAAAGCTAAAAGTGTCATACTTGTATTAGAAAAAAAAATTCTAAATTTTTGCCAAGTTTCATCAAAATCTGAGCGTCGCATTTGGACAAGCTTTTTTTCACCGTTGTGTTCATTATTTTCCCGACAGACGTATAACAGAGAAAAAATTGCTTTTTCAGGCAGCAAAATTCATAATCCAACATCTGAAGACGCAGCATAACATTGAGAACATCAGCGTCGTTGTGTTTTCGGACAATAAAAATTACTCACAAACAATTGCAGAGCAGCTGGTTGTGAGTATTTTCATAAAGTATTTTTTATTTTTTTCGTTGCTTTCCCCCGCTTACTCGCTGCAGTGACGGAGCTGAACCAGTGGCAAAAAACGTAACATTTTACCTCCGGGAAGTATCAAAAACGTGGCAAAATGCTTCCCTTTCCAAGTGAAAAAACTTCGTTTGAAAGGGCGCGCCCTTCCCTCGCAAAAATAAGAGTTTTTTTCTCTTGGAGATGGAAGCATTTTGCCACATTTTTGATGCTTCCCGGATCCAAAATGGGACGTTTTTTGCCACTGCTTCAGGAGCGTCACTGTATTTTCAGAACGAAGGCTCAATCTCAAAGGCATATGCCCCGACGGGAATGAACCGCGGAACGGAGATGGTATTGGGCCAAACCAAGTGCCAATCGATGATTCTGACCACGATTGGCTCCACGTTCGGCTGGTGGATGGCCTATTTCATGGAGGAGGAGGCGCAGAAACGCGTCTTCTACAGCGAGCATTTCTTTGAGGTGGGTGCGAAATTCATTTTTGGCAGTTTTTTCTGCCAGTCTGTCCGGAAAATAATGAGCAGAATGTGGCATTTTGGATGCGACAGAGTGCTCATTATTTTCCCGACAGACTAATATTACGCTTTTTCAAAAAGTGCGTACACTTTTTTCCCGTCGCCGCACCGTGCAATAATTCCATTTTTGCACTGTGCATTTGAGATTTTGCACTGTGCAACCCCCAAAAAAGGTCGATTGCACTGTGCAACCCCCAAAAAAGTCGATTGCACTGTGCAACCCCCAAAAAGGTCGATTGCACTGTGCAACCCCCAAAAAAGTCGACTGCACTGTGCAACCCCTAAAAAGGCCGATTGCACTGTGCAACCCCCAAAAAAGTCGATTGCACTGTGCAACCCTCAAAAAGGTCGATAGCACTGTGCAACCCCCAAAAAGGTCGATTGCACTGTGCAACCCCCAAAAAGGTCGATTGCACTGTGCAACCCCCAAAAAAGTCGACTGCACTGTGCAACCCCTAAAAAGGCCGATTGCACTGTGCAACCCCCAAAAAAGTCGATTGCACTGTGCAACCCTCAAAAAGGTCGATAGCACTGTGCAACCCCCAAAAAGGTCGATTGCACTGTGCAACCCCCGAAAAGGCCGATTGCACTGTGCAACCCCCAAAAAGGTCGACTGCACTGTGCAACCCCTAAAAAGGCCGATTGCACTGTGCAACCCCCAAAAAAGTCGATTGCACTGTGCAACCCTCAAAAAAGTCGATTGCACTGTGCAACCCCCAAAAAAGTCGATTGCACTGTGCAACCCCCAAAAAGGTCGATTGCACTGTGCAACCCCCAAAAAAGTCGACTGCACTGTGCAACCCCTAAAAAGGCCGATTGCACTGTGCAACCCCCAAAAAAGTCGACTGCACTGTGCAACCCCCCAAAAAGGTCGATTGCACTGTGCAACCCTCAAAAAGACCGATTGCACTGTGCAACCCCCAAAGAGGTCGACTGCACTGTGCAACCCCCAAAAAAAGGTCGATTGCACTGTGCAACCCCCAAAAAAGTCGATTGCACTGTGCAACCCCCAAAAAAGTCGATTGCACTGTGCAACCCCCAAAAAGGTCGATTCCACTGTGCAACCCCCAAAAAGGCCGATTGCACTGTGCCGATTTTTGACCCCAATCGCAGCCGGCGCAGTGGAGAAAAGCCGACGTCGCAGCGATATTTCAAATGCACAGTGCAAAACCAAAACAAGGTGAGTGCACGGTGCAAAAAGTCGGGGGATTTTTGTGCACGGTGCGGACCGCGACGAATGTCGCGAAATTTTGCACTGTGCAGCCGAAACACCGCGCGACGAAAATCATTTTCGGCGGAGTCGCTGCCGCCTTTCTGAAGCGATTTTCCGCACAGTGCAAAAAGAGGCATACTGCACAGTGCAAAATGTTCGAAAAGACTGCACCGTGCGAAAAAAAGCGAAAACGGCCAGAATGCACTGTGCGCCAGGACAAAAAGTCTGCGGACTTTGGAAAAGGCGTTGTACGGCACAATTCGATAAAACGTGGTGTAAAATGTTTATTGTTTTTTAATTTTCAGCCCGGGCAGTACCACAGAAACGTCATAAAGGACATGGAAAAGAATTATATTCGGCCGGAGTGGAAGAGAATCAGATCAGAAAACGGAACGTTTCATCTGGACTTCAAGGAGAAAGAGGATTTTCTTTTTTATGATAGAAATCGATTAATTTTTGGTTAGTTTGAAAATGTGAATAAAGTCTCTACTTATGCGAATTGTAATTTTTTGAACTTTTTTTACTTGCCAAAGTCTCGCCTGTAGAAGTCTGCTAGTAATATTCGAACCAAAAATTCCACTCCTCTTTACTTGTCTTTCCGGAAAATCGCCGGACGGATTATTCGCGTTTGCACTGTGCGAAAAAGTCAGGGTCCGAGCGACAGCCCAAAAAAATCCATGGCACCGTGCGAACAACAAAAAACTTCGCTTTGCACCGTGCAATGAGCTTTTTCGGCGATCGCACTCACCGTGGCTTTTTTCGCATAGCGCAAGCGCCGAAAAAGTGGCGACGTTCCGTAAGGGCCAATGGCATTTTCACAAAGTGCCTCGACATTTGTCACGGTCCGCACCGTGCATAAAACTTCGCGAGTATTTGTTTTTTTTGGTTTTGCACTGTGCATTTGAAAAAAAAGCATTTTGGATTTTTTTTATTTTTTCGCACGGTGCAGTCATTTCGAACATTCTGCACTGTGCATTATGCCCCTTTTTGCACTGTGCGGGAAATCGCTTCAGAAAGGCGGCAGCGACTCCGCTGGAAACGACTTTTGTCGCGCGGTGTTCGGCTGCACAGTGCAAAATTTCGAGACATTCATCGCGGTCCGCACCGTGCACAAAAATTCGCGAGTTCTTGCACCGTGCACTCGCCTTGTTTTGGTTTTGCACTGTGCATTTGAAATATCGCTGCGACGTAAGCTTTTCTCAACTGCGCCGTTGCGATTTTGCTCAAAAATTTGCACAGTGCAATCGGCCTTTTTGGGGGTTGCACAGTGCAATCGACTTTTTTGAGGTTTGCACGGTGCGCAAAGGCAAAACTCCACAGTGCGTTGGCGACAACAGTTCAAGATGCACTGTGCGAAAGCGAAAAGATGTCCTGGGACTTTGTGAAAATGCAACATTTTATACCAATCTTCCGATCTTCCAACCAGCTCCAAGTTTTCATCAACATGTTTACTAGTCGGCGCAAAAAGTCTTTGGAATTTTTCGCGGCCCCCAAATCCCGCCGCACCCCGAAATGTCGATTTGTCGCTGAGAAAAGTGGGAATCGCGCGCGACAATAAGGCAAAATCAACAAAATTGCACAGTGCAAAAGCACTTTTCGGGCCGGATGCACGGTGCAAAATGTGTTTTCGGTTTCGCGCACAGTGCAGAGTCGCAGAAAATTCCAAAGACTTTTTGCGGCGACTAGTATTATGATTCAAATTGATCAACAAGGTCATAACAATAAAGCTTGGTAGATAATAATAAATACGAAATACCCGTTCTTTACCCAGATTTGCCTCCAAATCGCAACGTTCAATACAAAATGGAGGGCTTTTTTCGGCTGTAAAAGAAGACCTCGTGGTCGAACTCCTGTATCCTCCGCCATTTCGGTGGAATGTAATCGTTCTCTTTGAACTGTCGCATCATGTTTTTGGCTCTTTCCTGAAAATTTTTTTATATTTTACATATGACGTTGAGGCCGTAAAAAATCGATAAAGCCCCAAAAAAGTCACCTTAAACATGAGCCCGTTGTAGAAGACGCGTTTCTGCGCCTCCTCTCGCATCAAATACCCCATCCACCAGCCGAACGTGGAGCCGGCCGAGGTGAGGATCATCGAGTCGCACACCGAGTGGGCCATGCTCATCTCCTCGGCCCGGTTCATAATCACGGACGCGTGCGCCAGCCCGATGTCCGTTTTGTTCTGAAAAAACAGTGTGTTGGCTTTGTAACAAAGCAAGATACGAATAAAGAAAGCCCTGTAAAAAATCCGAAGTAATCCAAAAATTTTTTTTCTATCAGTTTTTCTATCTATCAGTCTGTCGGATAAATAATGTGGACTGTCGCGCGTTGCAATCGCCCGTCATTGAAACATCGCACCGATATTTCAAATGCACAGTGCAAAATGCAAAACGCGAAAAATTGAAATGCACTGTGCAAAAGGAGGAGTGTGCGTGTTTAGTGCACGCACAGTGCAGACGGCGACAAACTGTCCGTGCACTTTATGAAAAATTGCTATTAGTCTGTCGGGAAAATTAAGAGCCCTCTTTTATCCAATTTGAAAATTTTTTTATCGTATAAACTGTCACACCCAATTTTTCTCAATTTGAAGAAAAATTCCATCGTATAACATGTCACATCTAATTTTTTTCAATTTGAAAATTTTTTTTATCGTATAACATGTCACACCTCATTTTTTTCAATTTGAAAAAAAAAATTCCATCGTATAACATGTCACACCCAATTTTTCTCAATTTGAAGAAAAATTCCATCGTATAACATGTCACACCTAATTTTTTCAATTTGAAAAAAAAATTTCATCGTTTAACATGTCACATCTAATTTTTTTCAATTTGAAAAAAAAATTTCATCGTATAACATGTCACATCTAATTTTTTTTTCAATTTGAAAAAAAAATTCATCGTATAACATGTCGCACCTCATTTTTTCAATTGGAAAAAAAATTTCATCGTATAACATGTCACATCTAATTTTTTTCAATTTGAAAAAAAAATTTCATCGTATAACATGTCACATCTAATTTTTTTTCAATTTGAAAAAAAAAATCATCGTATAACATGTCGCACCTCATTTTTTCAATTGGAAAAAAAATTTCATCGTATAACATGTCGCACCTCATTTTTTCAATTGGAAAAAAAATTTCATCGTATAACATGTTGCACCTCATTTTTTTCAATTTTCAAAATGCGGGAGAGTGTTCAAAAAGGGGGAAGTTAAGAAAAGGGGGAGAGTTCTGCCGCAACGCCCCGCATTGCGCTTATTATTTTCCCGACACATTTGGCAGTCTCTTTTGCCTTCACCAAACTCACCATAATAGCAGCCGCCGCCATCCGGGCAAAGTCCCGATCATCCGAGAAGATGATCGCATCCACTTCAGAGATATTCAACGACTCCTTCAGGTAGTCCGATACTGTTTGAGCTGCCTAAACCCGCAAAAAAATCATCAAATTTCCTGTAAGAGCCCTTACATGAAGTGTGAAATGCGGTTCGCTGACAATCATGTAGTGGCCTTCGAAGCCGCGCCGGATATGAATGCAGAGTTTGTGGGAGGTGGAATTGGGGAACGCATTGTCCACATAGCCCTTGATAAAGGCTTGGATCGCTTTCGAGGGCCGGAAAACCTTGCGAATTGCCGGCTTGTATTTGTGAAAGTACTTGAACGACTGCAAGTACTGGCCGGTCACCATGATCGTGTCCACATTGCTGGCGTTCTCTAGTCTGAAAAAAGAAAAATCAGGGGAATTTTATCAGTCTGTCGGGAAAATAATGGGCAAAAATTGAGAACTACAAAATTGCCATAATTTTTGAGGCAGAATATTTGTTTTGTTTGGCGGCCCTTTGGTCAGGGGGTCAGTGGGCCGGGCTCAAAAATGGAAATTTGACAAACGGGCCGGGCCCGTCACAGGCCGGGCCGGGCCGCGGGCCTGGGGTTTTTTCCGGCCCGGCCCGTCTAAATTATAATGCCAAATCGTTGGCATTCATTGTTTTTGCGCCGGGAAAATTAATTGATGTTGTTATAGTTGCTGTTTCTCAAGTTCTAAAACGTTTACAAGTCTATAGTTCCATTATAAAACCACAAAACAATCACATTGATCCTTTACTAACTAGATCAACGCCTTTTTTGCCTAAGTTTAGATCCCAAGCTTGGGCGCAGTTCAACCCTCTATAAACGGGCCTGCACGGGCCGGGCCGGGCCTGGAAAAAGACAAGACGGGCCGGGCCGCGGGCCGAAAATCGGAAAAATAGGGTCCGCTGACCACCCCTGCCTTTGGTGGCTGAATGTTGACGTCTCAAAAATTCCGCTGAATCATTGCCAGTGCAGCATTCCGCGAATCAGGCAGAAAATTGATCGGTTTTGGGTGATTCTCAATACTAAGACGGCGCCGCGAATTATAGACACAAGCTTTTCCGGCGACAAAAAAGTAAAAAAAGTGATTCAAAGTTTTAAAAAATAATATCCTTTCTAAATATCAGGGATGTCGGGAAAATAATGTGGATTTGTCGTAGAAAAATTTCTTGCCTCCTCGCAGTCGAAATCTCCAGATAACCGTCGCAAAGCAACGATGGGCGTTTCCAAGTCCCAACGAATCCACATTATTTCCCCGACAGACTGATAAGGACGCTTAAATTTAAAGAAAACTTATTTCCAAGATATCAAAGTGTCGATATGAATATTATTAAATACATATAACCCAACTTACTTTTTAAAATCATCCATGGTCCAGTCCAGTTCCCCAAAATTGATGGGAGTGTAATTTCGGTCTTCCAGCTAAACTCGAACACCCAATTTATTCGAAAAATGAGCCTACCCGAAACTCCAGACCCGCAAGATTCGGGAAATAGGAGATCAACTCCAATTTGTAATCCACAGCACACTCATCGTACATGTAAGCCTTCCGCTTCAATCGCTTCCCGACACCGAAGAGGAAGGCCAATCGGAACAGCTGAAAACAGCCGCCTTCAAAACACTTTTTTAGCTTGTAGAAATACAGTAATACGTACATATTTACTATCAGTTTGTCGGGAAAATAATGTGGATTTATCGCGCCTTATAATTGCCCATTATCGCTTTGCGACGGCTGGGGATTTGGTCCGCGATTGAGCCAATTTCCGACAAATTGAGGCATTTTTCTGCGAGCAATCCACATTATTTCCCCGACAGATTGATAATATGTAAAGTCAGTCAAATAAATTTTCACTTACCATATTGGCCATTCCACCGCATGCCGCAGAATTTACAGTCAGCCGCTTGGAGTAATTGCCCCATAAAGTCTGCGGAGTCTCGTCGTCCGCCTCTATTGATTCCATGGTTGTGGTTGAGAGTTTGGCCATCACTATGCTCTTGCTTGCTACTGTAAATTTTAGCAAATATGTAAATATAAATATGTTTCCGGAAGTTGAAAAAAAACCGATTTTTTATGACCTTTTCGAGATTTTTTGAACGGGCTCTGCAGGGAAAAACCGAGATTTTTCGATTGAAAACTATCGAAAACCGATAATTCCTATCAGTCTGTCGGGAAAATGATCATCCTGTTGTATCGGAAATCGCGAGAAAGTGAATTGCATCGTGGCAAAATTGTATTGCTTTTCACGTCAACGACGCAATCGGCGCCGACTTAAGTTCAAGCTAGGGATTTTGAAACCCAAGTTCAAGGCGGCAAAGTTCAAGCTCATCTCTAGCAGCGATTTTGATGAAATTTGGCTTAAATTTAGATTAAGTTTTTTTGAGATATGAGCGAGATTCCTAGTTCGCATTTTGCGGAAATGACCAAAATTTTTAGATCAAAAGTAGGCAAAAATGTGACATTTTGCTGCGAATTTTAACACGAAAAGTTTTATCAGAGCGTCGCACGTCAAACTCAGGAGTCCGGTGTGCGGAATAGACCCTTCGCTATCGGTTTTTTACACTTCGTCTTGATTTCGCAGAGAAAGAGAGAAAAAAGACACGCAAAAACGTACTCTCTCGCCCCAAAAATTCCCCATTTCTCCCCCGACAAAACGTTTTTTCGCGTATTTTTTCGGCAAATTGCCAATCCATTCACCGGACTGTTTTAGCTTATCTCAGTTTGACGTTGCGTCGGGAAAACAACGCACGGCATTCTGTACTTTCGGGACACAACCGGTCTCCCCGATTTTTTTCTAGTTTTTCAAAGCGGACCTCTTTCTTTAATACATTGCTCGCTAGCCGTTCAAGATAGAGACTTGAAAATTGGCATGGGTATAGAGTAAAGGTTCCGCTTCCAGAATATATAAATATTGTGATGAACCCCGCGCTGTAAGCTCCACAATAAGATGCGAAAATATTTCGTTCTTTAAACTTCTTGCACCTAAGCCGCGCCAAGAATCACCCATCATCCTCATTGCGATGGCTGGAGATTTGGTGCGCGACGGTAGCCTTTTTTTCGATGAGATGGAAAATTTGGCTTCGACGACCCGCTGTTATTTTTCCGACAGATTGATAGGTATATTTTTACCGCAGAGTAGGATCTTCGCCCCACCTACCTTTGTCATCGCCATCCATAAACAAAAACACTGACGTGAAGACCAACAGGCACGCCAAGAGTGTCACGGAAATGAACGGCGCGTATTTGCGGCGCATTACCATGGCCTAAAACGAGCAATTTCACTGAAAATTTTATCAAAAATTGAAGGAAACAATTCAATTTCTGATAAAATGAGTCGGGTTTTCCAAGCGCCAAGATTTATGCAAACATCATAAAAGCCGATTGAAATCTGTTCTTTCCCGACAATAACACACAAGAACGTAAACAATAACACATGAAAACGCGGAGGGGAAATGATATTTATTACCAAATTGGAATCGTGTATTGCACAAAGCCGGCGTGAGTAAGCGACCTCGTTAAAAGTTCGAAAAAGGAAACTTTTACCTGAGCTACTCGTTTAAAAAAGTAAAAAAAGGGGAAAAAATGACGTCTGTCGGGAAAATAATGAGCCAAATTTATCTTTAAAAAAATGAAAAATGCAAATCGACAAATGAATTATCGACCAATCTTTTTTTTGCGCTGAAAAAAGTTGAATAAACCCGGTAATTTTACAGGGTGGGGCATCTTTGTGGCCCCACTTGAATTGGCTATAACTTCTCTAGTTTTTGGCCAAATCTTAAAATTCTTTTTTTCCCTGAATCCTCAGACATCCCCATTTTGTATGATACCAAGTATGTTATACATAGGTGGAAAAGTTCCTTATTCTGGCCACACTTTATAACTTTGCGGAAACTGGTCAGAATTAGCCCAAATTTGGCGTGCAGACTCAATTCATCGTTGTCTAATTCCCGGACAGTGGATTTAGTTAGTGAGGTAGCCTCGTTTTTACGTGCCACCTTACCCATCAAAAACAGCTGAAGCCTGCGATTTTACACTTTATACGATGAAACCTGTCCGGAACTAAACTTATTGCCTCCGTATAGAACTAAATGAGTCATAATAGCCCTTCGTAGGTACCCTTAAAACTATACAGCTACTATAGTAATTCAGCGCCAGCTAGGCCTTTTTTCCTAACTCTAGTTCCCAAGCTTGGGCGCAGTTCGCAGAGTACATTTGTTGCGGCCAGAATACGGAACTTTTACCACCTATGTATAACATATTTGATATCAAACAAAATGGGGATGTCTGAGGATTCAGGGAAAAAAAGAATTTTAAGATTTGGCCAAAAACTAAAGAAGTTATAGCCAACTCAAATAACATATGTGTTACATATTTGGTATCAGACAAAATGGGGTTGTCTGAGGATTCAGGGAAAAAAAGAATTTTAAGATTTGGCCAAAAACTAAAGAAGTTATAACCAATTCAAATCGGACCACAAAGATGCCCCACCCTGGGCATCTGTACGACAAAAAATACTGCTTTTTTGAGGGTTCTGTGCGTTGGCAACAAACGTGGGAAAAGGTTCAAAATGCACTGTGCAAAAGAGGACAATTGTCCATTATGAAAATACGAAGAGCAAAACACTCAGAGACAATGTGTTGATCGTTTGATTAAGACTTTTTTACTCATTATCTTTTGAATTTTTATTGCACAGACGTTTGAATGCATCATAAAAGGACGGAGAAAGTCATTATATTTTACAGAAATGAATTCTGATGAAACTTGGCACAAATCTATATGTTTAGATTGATTTTTTCTCACATCACACATTTTTTGTGAGACTGTCGTAGAAAAGGATCGGAATTTTTTGTTTGAAAATTGGGGAAACCCGACAATTTTTTTTTTGATTTTTTTTTTGAAATTCCGATAAGAGCTTTATTATCTGTCTGTCGGGAAAATAATGAGTATTCTGTCGCTCCGCCGATCGTGTCGCTGAAATAAAAAGAAATTTGATTTTTTCACGACACTATTCATTTTCTCGGCGGCGATACGATTTTCGCTGCGACAGAGTGCTCATTATTTTCCCGACAGTCTGATAAGCCGCAAAGAACGCGTCCCTACCTTGAACTTTGCGACTCTCCTACTGGACAGCGTGTACTGTAGAAGGTAGGCTCTCATGGACAATTTTGTGATAGTCTTCATTTTTGTCGCTTCCCCAAAACCGCAAATCCCCTTAAATAATGAAGGAATCGTTCTGATTAATCGAAAAAATAGAGCCTAAGCTGGTCTAAGCGCGCGTTTTCGGGATCAACAGCTTCAATTATTGTTTCAGGGGTTCAGTTGCAGCGCCAAAAAACTATGGATTTTCGATTTTGTGCTCACCAGCCCTTCCGGAAAGTCGCCGGACTGATTTTTTGGTGTTTGCACGGTGCGAAAAAGGTCAGGGTGCGAGCGACAGCCCAAGAAAGCTTATTGCACGGTGCAAAAAACAAAAAATTGCACAGTGCAAAGAAAACTTTTGTTTTCGCACAGTGCATGTCGCCGAACTGATTTTTGGCGTTTGCACTGTGCGAAAAAATTCAAAATGCGAGCGACAGTCCAAAAAAGCCGCTTGCACGGTGCAAGAAGCAAGACATTGCACAGTGCAAAGAAAACCTTTGTGTTCGCACAGTGCGCGTCGCCGATGTCACTCCGAGATTTTGACATGTTTTCGCACTGTGCGGGCGCATTCATTCGGACTTGCGACGAGCTGTCGCGCGATAAAAATTCGGCGGGATGCGAAAAAAAGATCGCACTGTGCATTCAACCTCCCTTTTCAAAACATTTTTTTGCACTGTGCGGAGTCGCAAATGCACCGTAAATTTTTCGTTTGTCGCCGCGCGACAAGTTCCCGCACTGTGCAGAGAAGTGAAGACTGTTCGGTGCGCACAGTGCATTTTGCCTTTTTTTCGCACTGTGCGAGCTTTTCGAACATTTTGCACGGTGCATTTTTACTCATCGCGCAAAATCGCTTCAGAAATGTCGCAGCGACTCATTTCAAAATGGTTTTTGTCGCGCGATATTTCGCTTGCACAGTGCAAAATTTCAAATGCACGGTGCGAAAAATGGGAAGTTTTTGCACGGTGCGACGTCGCGAGGAAACGTCGTCTTACTGCGCACTTTTGAAAAAGCGCAGTAAGACGACGAAGGGTGTATTATATGATATTATCACATACTTTCCATCTGCTCTCTGTTGACTCAGACTCTCCCAGAACTGTTTGAAATGTTGACAGTCCCGCCGCGTTTCCCACTTTGCACAGCTTTTTTGTCACCCAGGTTTTAAGCCACTTTCACTCTTCCTTATTTGCTCTTTTGTTTCGAATTCGAAAAAAAACACAAACCAGACGAAAAAATATAGTGTTATGAACACAGACCAAACCATAAATTTTGTGACAAAATACGAGTTTGTCGGGAAAATAATGAGCACAATGTATCTGAGCCGATCGCTGAAACGAAAAGCAATTTGAGTTTTCCGCGACCGGCGGCGATGCGATTTTCAATGCTACAGAGTGCTCATTATTTTCCCGACAGACTGATACGGACATATCGAAGTGATACTATGCTTTTTCAAAAGTGCGGAGACTTTTTGCCGCGGCGCACAGTGCAATTTTCTTCTTGTTCTCTAACGCACCGTGCAGTTTGCCTTTTTCCCAATGCACCGTGCAAGTTTTGTTTTTTCGCACAGTGCAAACTTTGAAAAAGCGGTTTGCACTGTGCGAACGGCAAGCCATTGTCGCGGCGATATTTTCTGATGCACAGTGCGAAATCTGAGCAAAAAGTGAAGTGCACTGTGCAAAATTGGGGTCTTCGCCTAGCGACAAAAAAGTCTATGCACTTTTTGAAAAAGCATAGTATAATATCAGTCTGTCGGGAAAATAATGTGGATTTGTCGCGACATACCAAATCCAAGCCATCGCAAAACGAAATTAGGCGACTCCAAGCCGCGACGAAGCCACATTATTTTCCCGACAGACTGACACTATACTACGCATTTTCAAAAATGTCTTCGTATGTCGAATCGAAGAAGACCACACCAAACATGGCCTGTAATCATCTCCATTTTGTATTGCGGAGAGATAGCAGCGGCTTTTCTTTGGTCCCAAAAATAGTCTAGCCGTTTTCCTCGCAGACATTGTAAATGCTACCCCAATCTTGATATCTTGTTTTTAACTTTCCTACATACAATCTGCCTGATAAAGGTTTCGATGACTTTTCGAACAAAGCCGGCTTTAATTAAACCGCTTTTTAACATTAGTCATACAAAGGAAGGGAGTATTTTCCTTTGAAAAATTATGGGCAACCAGCCAAAAAGTTTTACTGTTTTCCATATGGATAAATGAGACAAAGTCGGCAGTGAAATCAAAAAAAAAAAAAAATATTTTGAAAATGGCATACATTAGTATTTTCATAAAATGGGCGTTTCCCGCCCCCCGCACCGTGCACAAAAATCCCCCATTTTTTGCACCGTGCACTCGCCTTTTTTTGGGCTTGCACTGTGCATTTGAAATATCGCTGCGACGCAAGCTTTTCTCAACTGCGCCGCTGCGGTTTTGCTCAAAAATGTGCACAGTGCAATCGGCTTTTTTGAGGCTTGCACGGTGCGTAAAGGCAAAAATCCACAGTGCGTTGGCGACAAAAATTCAGGATGCACTGTGCACTTCACTTTCATTTGTTTTTCGCACTGTGCATTGAAATATCGCTGCGACAGGAATTTGCACAGTGCAAACCGATTTTTTGCAGTTTGCACGGTGCGACAAAAAAAATGCACTGTGCGGCGGCGACAAGCGTGGGAAAAAGTTCAAAATGCATCCACCGAGCACAAAAGGTGACCCATTTGCAACGTGCATTGGCGACAGCGTAGAACAGTTTGAAATGCACTGTGCGGAGGCGAAAAAATGTTGAACCATGCAAAAAAACATGCACTGTGCACTTCAATTCTTGGTTTTCGCACTGTGCATTGAAATATCGCTGCGACAGAAATTTGCACAGTGCAAACCAATTTTTTTGCGGTTTGCACGGTGCGAAAAAATTAATGCACTGTGCGGCGGCGACAAGCGCGGGAAAAAGTTCAAAACGCATGCACCGTGCACAAAAAAAAGCCATTTGCACCGTGCATCTCATCAACGGTCTGTCGGGAAAATAATGAACGTAATGTCGCTTGTGTCACTGAAATGGAAAGAAATTTGATTTTTCCGCGACACAGTTCATTTTTCGATGCGATTTTCGACTCGACCGAGTGCTCATTATTTTCCCGACAAACTAATATTAAGTCATTCCCATAAGAGTCATCACAATGAACGGTGACTTTCACGGTAAACAAAACCCCCCACCCCGCTTGTCTCATTATCCCACGCGTCGAGAGCTCCTGAGCTCGGAAACTAATTCTTGCAAATGCCTTAACAACAAGTTCTTCCCTCTGAAAGCTTTTTTTTCTTCGTGTTTATGCTCCCGCTGCATTCGTACTGATGAAACGGGAGGGTCGGAGAACCGTCGAAGGCCTGTAGTCGGGACGACCGTAACAAGGATGTGGATCTCGGGACGAATTGAGGACATCCGATGTCTCCGAGGGCATATCGAAAAAAGCGTTCCATTAATAAGCAATCTGACGTGTTTTGGCTCATCGTTTTGGAGTTTATAATATGGGACCTCTGCACGGGATTCAACAGGACACAGAGATGATAAAACTGGCAGGCCAGGAGAGGAACTGGAGTTGAGGATCGACCGGTTGAGGAAGACGAGAAGACCAAGAGAAGGAGTCTTTATTGGACACACGGAAGGAAAAAGTGATTATAAAATGATGAGATCTGTGTCTTTTGTAGTGGATTGGCGAACTTATGCAAATTTGGGGCTTAGCGCCAACAGATGACACAAGCTGGAAGATACAAGGGTTTTTTTGTCACAAAACAGAGAGAGAAGTAAGCGTGGCTGCAAGCTGATGATGGGTGGTTTCCAAGGCTCGACAATTTCCCACTATTTTCCCGACAGACTGATATTTACAAGGGTCAAAAATTACTTTTTTTTTGCGTCCCAACATTTCTAGGGCAACACAAAACCGATCAAGCCAAGGCGTATGACAGACGGAGACCCAAACAAAGGTTTGAATGAGTTATTATGTTACAATGACGTTAGTTTTCTTTGTAAAAAACGTTAGAAATAGCCGAAATTAGAAAAAAACGTTTTTATTGCAAGTTTTTGCCAAGTCTCCGCCGAGCCTTCGCCGAGTGTTCGCCGACCATCCAACGGCTCCGCCAGGCCTCGTAGGTACTTCCTGCAACCTTGTTTTTGGGTATCCACCTCCCCGACACCCACACAATACAATGAGGGATATGATCCAGTGGCAAAAAACGTACCATTTTGCATCCTGGAAGTATCAAAAATGTGGCAAAATGCTAACATCTCGAAGTGAAAAAACTCCGATTTCAAAAGCGTGCCCGATGCTTTGCTTTTTTGTAAGGGAAAGGGCCCTTCAAAACGAAGTGTTTTCACTTGGAGAGGGAAGCATTTTGCCACATTTTTGATGCTTCCTGGATGCAAAATTCTACGTTTTTTGCCACTGGATCATTTCCGTCACTGTAGGAGGTGCCTACAAGGTCTAACAAAGCCGTTGGATGCTTCGGCGAAGGCTCGGCGGAGACTTGGCGTTCTTTCAGTATGACTATTTTTTCTGTTATAACTTTTGCCATCTTTTTTCGTTACAAATTTCACAGTTGTTTTCGATATCTACGTTCCACCATTCTTGTCAAAACAATCCTTGTTATTCGACTTGAATTCGCATCTTCGAACGCAAAGGTAATCACCGCGGGAAATGTTCCGAATGAGCAAGATTAAGCCGACGAAAAACCTGTTGGTTTTTTGGTAATCCCGTCGAAAGGGAATCGATGATCCGGGTGTTCCGATTGCGCATGGTTTGTGTTGTGTTTTGTGGGTAAAATACGAGCTTGGACAGTGCCTAAAATTTTGGAGACATTGTTGACAGTGCAACATGCTTCAAATTTTTTAGGATTTTTATAAAGTGCATGGACATTTAGTGCACAAAAACCTCCATTTTGCATCGTGAATTCCATTTTTTTCTCTGGTTCTTGAATCGAAATATCGCCGCGACATGAGCGAGTTTCAATTATGTCGCTTCAGGCATCTGCACGGTGCACACGACTTTACACAGTGACGGACCTGATCCAGTGGCAAAAAACGTACCATTTTCCATCCGGGAAGCGTCAGCAATGTGGCAAAAGGCTTCCCTCTCCAAGCGAAAAAAACCTTTTTAAAGGGCGCGCCCTCTTTCCTCACAAAAAGAGCGGGCGCGCTTTTGAAATCGGAGTTTTTTCACTTTGAGAGGGAGGTATTTTGCTACATTTTTTGATACTTCCCGGATGCAAAATGATACTTTTTTTGCCACTGGATCAGGTCCCCCACTGTATGAGGTTTGCACGGTGCGAAAAAGATAAGAATAAAACTGCACTGTGCGTTGGCGACAAGCGTGGAAAAAAGCTCAAAATGCGCTTGCGGAAGGGAAAAACTGTCCATGCACTTTATGAAAGTACTAGTTGTTCCAGAAAGCGCGTAGATTTTTTTTGTCGTGGGCCGCATCGTGCAAACAAAACCCTTTTTGCGGCGCGCATTTGATCTTTTCCATCGCTACGACACAAGCTTTTCTCAACGCAGACGGCGCGAATTTTGTATTTTTTGGGCGCACGGAATGAAATTGGACAGTGCACTGCAGTGCAAAATGTGACGAAAAGGATCGCGTGGGAAACAGACAACTTGAACTGTGCGGAAAAAAGGCGAAGAAAATCTACGCACTTTTTGGAACGACTACAGTGATGGACCTTCTCCAGTGACAAAAATGCGCCATTTTGATCCGGGAAGTATCGAAAAATGTGGCAAAATGTCTCCCTCTCTAAGTGAAAAAACTTCGTTTTGAAGAGCGCGCCCTTTCCTTCGCGAAAAGAGCGGGCGGGCTTTTAAGCATTTTGCCACATTTTTGATGCTTCCTGGATGCAAAATGGCACGTTTTTGCCACTGGATCAGGTCCGCCACTGTAACTATTGCTTATAAAATCCCATTTTTCCTTTAGCCAAGCCTTCGATATAAGTAAAGTTAAAACTGCCAATATAACCCGCATTTTTTTCACTTGGAGAGGGAAGCATTTTGCCACATTTTTGATGCTTCCCGGATGCAAAATTTCACGCTTTCTGCCACTGGATCCGGTCCGCCACTGTAGTACCAGCAGCTGGCAAAAAAATACCATTTTGCATCCGGGAAGTATCAAAAAATGCGGCAAAATGCCTCCCTCTCCAACACAAAAAACTCCATTTTGAAAAGCGTGCCTTTTCTCTGACAAAAAGCGTTTTTGAAATCGGGGTTTTTTCACTTGGAGAGGGAGGTATTTTTCCACATTTTTGATACTTCCCGGATGCAAAATGGCACGTGTTTTGCCACTGGACCAGTTTGGCCACTGCAGTACCATCAGCCTGTTATCAACCCCGCTTCCTAAGCCTACATTCTCTCCTCTATCCATTGATCCCCCACGGGTAATTGAGTCCCCAAGAAACAGGGAGGGGATCTCTGCAGATGCGCGGTAGGCGGGTTGTGTTAAAAGCGCAGCGGGAAAACCCAAAAAACTTCTTTTTTCCATCGTTTTCCTTTTATTTTTACCTGGCCCGGAAGGAAATTGGAGACGCGAGAAGAGGAGGATCGGGTCGAGAGAGAGAGGGGAGTTGTCTCGCGGGAACGGTCATCATTTTTACCCATCAACGCACACAAAGCCCATTTTTATTGTGTTTGTTTGTGTTTGTCCCAGTTCCCAACCTTGTTAGTCTTGGGTGTTGAAATTTATCAGATTCTATGAGTTTGTCGGGAAAATAATGAGCACTCTGTCGCATCGAAAATCGCATCTCCGGCTGGAGAATGAATTGTGTTGAGGGAAAATCTTTTGATTTTTGGCTCAGTGAAGTGACCAGCGACAATGTGATCATTATTTTCCCGACAGACTGATAGTAATATACTTTAAAACATATCTTGAAATGTCGTTTCCGACATGACAGGATAAATCTGTATAATTTTTCCGACATGCCATTATAAATCGGAATTTTTGGTTCACCCTAATATTTATTTTCATAAAGTGCATAGAAAAGTTTTTCATTTTGCTCTGTGCATTTGCATATTTGATCATCTTTATTTTCTTTACTTTTTAGGGAAACTTTAATTGTAAAATTTTTGCTTTGAGTACTAGACAGACCAAGAAGTCCCGACCTGCCTTTGCACCGTGCGAGAGGCACCGCGAAGCCATGTCAAGACTTCCCGACCCACTTACTGCTAGACTCTTCTTTGCATTAGTCTGTCGGGAAAATAATGAGCACAATGTCGCTGCACCAATCGCGTTGCTAAAGTAAAAAACATGATTTTCCCGCGATACAATTCATTTTCTCATTGCGATTTTCGATGCGACAGAGTGCTCATTATTTTCCCGACAGACCGATATCTCTGTACGGCTTTACATGTTTTACGTTTCGTGTTATTCTGTTTCCTACATTAGATATATAACATCTATTACAGTCACTTTCAGACTTCCCGTCTACCTGCTCTCCATCACCGGGCATCAATGCCTCAATGTTACAGGTAAAAAATAAGTGACCTTTTTTCTTTTATTATATTTATTTTTCCAAAACAAATCTTAAAAACCTTCGAAAAAACCGCAAACATCCTGCAGGTTCTTCCATTTCTTTTGTTAACGCACAACATCAACAAGAACAACTGTATTGGGCCCTGTTTCGACTCGGCATGCCCCATGAAGATGCAATGTATAAATGGAGAGTGTTGTGACGACCCGTTCAACGTGACTCTGCCCAATATTGTGGCCACGGAAGCGACCAGCATCCGTAGTTCACTGGAGTATTCGATTAGTGGGCTAATAGCGACCACAACGGTCTCCACAAGGCCGCTGATTACTTGTAAGTTGGGCTACGCCTTCTTTTAGACTGACGAGTAAGTAGTACAAGTGCGACGCTCAGATTTTCCTTTAATTTTGCACACACGACAGGCATGAGCTTCATATCGATTACTGAAACTTTCGGCAAGCCCTTTGCAGACGCAGCCGAGATATTCAATGATCTTTGCTAGCGAGAGGGTTCCCAAAACGCGGAGAGCGGTCAGAAATTTTCTATCAGCAGTCTTGCATGTATCCTACAAGGAAAGTACAGGGTGTTTCAAGAAATTCCGCGGAAAGTCGTCGTCGATTTCTCGACGCTCAGCCACGATATCCAAAAAAAATTTTTTGCATTAGAAAAAAGGCAATGGGCGGTTTTTTCGAAATAAGACACAATAACGCAATACATGGTCCTAGGGCATGTCAGGCATGCTGATTCAGAATCCGTTGTCAAAACCCAGAAATTCCGTCATCTTGATGGTGAAATCTGGAAATTTCCGAAAAATGTGGAAAATCGACCGTAACTTTCGACCGGTCGGTCGGAGAGCTTAGCAAATGGTACCGTTGGTCTTAGAATTTTGCGTAGATGCGGATAGAGGTATAATATGTGGGAAAAAGTTGCGATTTTTGGATATATCTCTCGACCTGTAACTCTATACCCCATAGAGGTACTTTTCAGAGAAATCTATTCTAAATTCGTCCCAAGTTTCATCAAAATCTGAGCATCGCACTTGGAGTACCTTCCGTGTGATGACATCATGTTTAATTTTCTCGCAAAGCTGCTACTTTTTCCCTGTCGTGAAATCATTTTCAGGTGGTGATACAAGCACGTCGTGTCGCGCAATGGTCCATCTCTGTCTGAACGCCGTCTACGAAGTGATGATGGAGAAACATTGCAAGCGAACGTGTAATAAATGCTCTCTACGTCCGCGCCTTCCCAAGCTACATTCCAGACATTGTAAGTCATCTAGCGCTTTATTTTCTCATCGCTTTAATGTATATGTTGTAGCAGTATCGTTTTTGTGAAGCTTAAAATTTATTGTTGCAGGTCGCGACTTGGGCTCGAATTGCGCGCGCCTTCAGCCACTTTGCCACACGTCGTCGTACGCCGGAATACTACGTCAATATTGCACCAAGACATGCCGCTACTGTTCATAGTTATATGCAAATTTAGTTGTTTTAATAATAATAATAATAATATTAATCGTATTGAAGTCATGAAAACGTAGATCTTTTCCGTGATACGCGCCCGGCGCGGCGGTTGTGTAAATCCGGGCGTTGCACTTGGGATAAGTTCTTTGTAAGTTCTGCGAAACGCGGCTAAAAGACAATACGTCTGTGAAATTTCATTGCACTCTGATTTTGATATCCATATAGCAGTCTGTCGGGAAAATAAAAAGCCCTCGGTCGCGTCGAAAATTGCATCGAAAAATGCATTGTGTCGAGGGAAAATCAAACTGCTTTTCACTTTAGCGACCCGATCGGCGCAGCGACACTTTGCTCATTATTTTCCCGACAGACTGATATATCAGACTGGCCAAAAAAGAAGATTACCCTAATGGAACCCAAAAAAATGAGCGGGATCAAGAGATTTTGGCGCGTGACGAGGAGAAATCGCCGAAAGTTTCGGAATTTGGTTCCAACAAAAAGCAACAGTTATAAGCATTTTCATCACAAAGTGCCTGGACATATTTTCGCTTTCGCACAGTGCATCTTGAATTTTTGTCCCCAACGCACTGTGGGTTTTTGCTTTGCGCACCGTGTAAAATTCAAAAAAGCCGATTGCACTGTGCACATTTTTGGGCAAGACCGCAGCCGTGCGGTTGAGAAAAGTCTAACAATAAGTCGCAGCGATATCTCAAATGCACAGTGCAAAAACAAAAAAAAGGTGAGTGCACGGTGCAAAAAAATCGAGGATTTTTGTGCACGGTAGGGACCGTTACGAATGCCTAGGCACTTTGTGAAAATGCCAATAGCCCTTCCAAAAAGTCGCTGATCTTATTTTTTGGTGTTTGACTCGTGCGAAAACAGTCAGGTGCAAGCGAGAGGCCAATAAATCCTATTGCACGGTGCAAAGACAGAAATTTCACAATGCAAAGAAAACTTTTGTTTTCGCCATCAAGAGCTTTTGGGATGCATCGCAGAAAAAGCGCGTGACAAGAAGAAATGCCCGAAAGTTTTGGAATTTGGTTATTTTCACAGTGCGAACCAACAAAAAACTATATTGGACGCTGCACGTCAAACTGAGATAAGCTAATTAGTTTTAAAACAGTCCGGTGAACGGATTGGCAATTTGCCAAAAAAAGATGCGAAAAAACGTTGTGTCGGGGAAGAAATGGGGAATTTTTGGGGCGAGAGAGTACGCTTTTGCGTGTCTTTTTTCTCTCTTTCTCTGGAAATCAAGACGAAATGTAAAAAACCGATAACGAAGAGTCTATTCCGGTCACCGGACTCCTCAGTTTGACGTGCGCTGTGCAAAGCTGATTTTTATCGCTGGCGATCTGCCGTTTTTGCTGACTTTTCGGCCATGCCCTCCAACTGTCTCCGCGGTGACAAATTCGAGTTTGGACCACGTGCGGCGGAAAGATAACAATTCTTTGTCGACTAGACTAATATCAAGGCGATTTCCAACGCGTTCCGTCCCAAAACTACAATTTTTCCCGCTCATATATAGTGCAAATCCCCGGACTTCCTCGGCCCTCACTCATTGTCCTTTTTTGCGGACGTATTATGTCCAGACAATACCGCAGCGCGCTCGTTGGGCTCTGATCTCGCAGACAAAGGGCCGCAAAAACCCCTCCGTCGCCTTTTTTATCCGTTAAATCCACAAAAATTATCGGGAAATCAGTCGAAGCGCGCCTGTTTGCGGAGCTGCCGATGGACAACAGCCACGGGAAGAGGGGGGTTTATAAACGTGGGCACTGTCCAGCATTTCATCCATCCGCTTTTCGGCTCTCTACCGTATTTTGTTTGGGATCTTAAGCTTTTGGTTTTGTTTGAAAATCATGCGATTTTTGGGATTTATTGTCATCCTCGGGTTGGCGGGCAGTGTTCAAGCCGCCACCTCGGCGCAATGCCCAGTTGGTAAGTTCTGAAGTTTTTCAAGGCACTATGGCCAATTTAAGCCCAATCTGAGATGTTAGTATCAGTCTGTCGGGAAAATAATGAGCACAATCTCACTGCGCCGATCTCGTCGCTGAAGTGAAAAAAAAATTTTCTCGGCAGCGAGGCGATTTTTGTTGCGACAGATTGCTCATTATTTTCCCGACAGACTAATATTAGCATTTTTATAAATTGCATGGACATTTGTCGCGGTCCGCAACGTCCATAAAAAGCACTCATTTTCGCACCGTGCATTTTGATTTTTATTGATTTTTCGCACTGTGCGGCTAAAAATATTGCAGCGACAGAAACAATTTTCATGCTTGTCGGTCCAGGAATTTGCACAGTGCAGACGGCTTTTTTTGAAGTTTGCACTGTGCGAAAAAGATAAGAATAAAAATGCACTGTGCATTGGCGACAAGCTTGGGAAAAAGTTCAAAATGCACTGTGCGAATGCGAAAAAATGTCCATGCACTTTATGAAAATGCTAAAGCCACAACTGGAAAATTTTTTTGGCTTCCTTGCATCTAATGCGGTATATAATAAATCCATTTTTAGTGGGGCTCAACATCGGCACCGGAACGCCAGTCTGTGGCACGGGGCAGTACTACGACGCCGCAACGGGACTCTGCTGCTTCACCAATACTGTGGGCGGAGGCTCGGCGCAAGGCACTGGAACAGCGCCCAAGTATTGTGAAAGTAAGCGGGTTTCTCTGTTTCTACCAGTCGAAAAAATAACGCACAATGTCGCTGCGTCGATCGCTAAATTGAAAAGCAATTTGATTTTTTCGCAACACAATTCATTTTTTCGGCGGAGATTTTGGATGCGACAGAATGCTCATTATTTTCTCGACAAGTGATATTCATGATGACAATTGGAATCTGTTATATTCACCACCTTTTTCAGTGGGCATTCTGGTCAACGGTATGACGATTTGCCCCCAAACTCATCCACTGGACCCGGCGACCGGCGAATGTTGCGGCAGCACCCCAATTAACGGAAATGCCGGAGGCGGCCGTGGCAACCGTGGCGGCACAAATGGTGGTGCAACCGGCGCCTGTCAAGACCAGTCCATTTCGGGCCGCCCCAATGACTGCCAAGCGAACGCGAACCTCTGCAACAACACCCTCTACTACGACCTGATGACACAGCAATGCCCCGTGACGTGCAACCGTTGCAGCCAGCTGCAACAGAACTCCAACGGCGGCATTCCCGGCTGCAAGGACGGGGTGAACGCCAGCGGTGTGTCGGAGTGTCCGGAGAACAAGTTCAAGTGCGAGATGCCGCTGTGGAAGGCGTTCATGGAGAAGGAATGTCCCGCCACTTGTGGTCGTTGCAACAACGGCACCAACAACAACGTGCAGCCAGTGATTCCGCCGGTGGTGGCGAACGTCTCCTCCACTACTTTTGCGAGCACCACGACAGCTAATGCGGGATAAGTTGGCTTCTACACCGTTGACTTCTCAGAATCCACATTTCTGTGGATTTTTCTGTCTTTCTCTCTCGATGTAACAACGAAAACAGGAATTGTATATATATAATATTGGTGATGGTGAGAATATTGCTATAATAATATTAATTGGTTAATAAAAACGTCTATCAATAACTTCCAAATATCAGTTTGCTAATTGTCATTGCGAGGTTTATACGACGGTGTTTCCTTACAGTATGTATATTTTCTGAAAGCAGGCTTTTTACTCCACTCCCATGTCAAATTTTAGCCTTCTAGCTCACACCGCTAGCGAGATATGAAGAGAGAAAGCAAGCGCATTCCGAAAAAATAGAAAAAGTCGCGGAGATCGGCTCTGTCCCAAAAGTATGCCGTGCGATACTATTATATAATATTTTGATGCCCCAGAGTGCCGCTTATTTTCCCGACAGACTGCTCTTGATTCAAATAATGACTTTATTAATTATTATTATAAATATTATTATTCATATGAGGTCTTCTGTTCAAGGTTCGCCGCTAATCCTCACACACTATCCACACGTTGTGGGGCCGTTCGGGCAGCCGTTACAACTGGCGTACGTGACGGTCGGATACGCGCCCGACGTGACAGGAAGTGGGTCGAGGTTGGCGTCGACCTGGTTGTCGCCCGAGATCACCGCCCCTCCGGTGGTGGGGACCAGGCCCGCGCCCGGGTTCTGGTTCACAATCACCGCGTACACTTGGCAAACGCCCGCTGAAATTGCGATTTATAATAGTTGATGAGGAACCGTCCGGCTTCTTGTGGACTTTCAAGGTATATGTTTAATATATACTACTATGTATAATACAGGGTGACAAAGAAAAAATGCAACTCATATTTATGGCCATATTTTGTCTAAAACACCAAACTTAACCAAAGTAACGGTGGATATCAGTAACATAGAGCATTGTTAATAGTATGCTCGACCAGTTTTAAGGTGGCTGTTCTTGGCCCCGAGATAGAGCTCAAAACGTGACTTTAAATTTTGGCCGATTCGCCGAAGCTTTTTTTGGGGAAATCGGTTCCGTTCTTACCGCAGCAATCAATTAGCGGCTCCAAACTTTTTTGGCGTGAACTAGAGGTCCTGGCTTCTAACTCAACAAAAAACATAGTCCACCGGATTCAGATCCAGCGAGTAGACGGCCATTTCGCAGACCACATAAAATCGGGAAAACAGGTCCTTTCCTGGCCTTGCGTCTTTTTTGCTTTATAGCTGATGGGGGAATCATGCTACGGTGTCTGTTTTGAACCGCCAAAGTGCTACTGAGCCCACGGAATCACGATGGTGTACAAAATGTCGCTGGTAGACTTATCGGTTTGGTTCTGGCCCCTTTATCCAAGAAAACCAAGGAAAACCAAGGATATCACGCCGCTGGCGCAAGACTTTGCCCCAGGCCATGAGAGGTCGGATTTTTACTGGGTTCAAAAATGGCGGACGGTTTTTGACTCTCAACAGTCCAACTCCTGCAATTCTGGTGGTTGTAGGCCTGCTCGATGTTGAAATACTTCTCATCCGCGAACAGGACCTTCTCTCATCGCTGAGCTGCGGCGCGACGCTTGAGTTTTCGACATTTTTTGAGCCGTACTTGCTTGTAGTGTTCCGTGAGGCGCTAGGTCTTTTGGAGCTTGTTAGGCTTGCGCTATGGTGCATTACTGGCCATTCATCGACCAGCTGTTGTGTTGATGACGGTCTGCCGGGCAATCTTTTTCATGGACACCATCAGATTTTGCTTCACTCGCTTTTTGATGATCTCAAAGTTGCCAGAAGTGTTCAAGATGCGCTTTCTTCTATTTCCTGGACACTTAACATCGTGGCCAAGCTCGTGGATTCGTTTGGTGGCTTTTGGCATAGCAGATTTTCCTACACCGAGCAGTTTAGCAATCTCACACTGTCCTTTTTCTTCCCGAGACAGGTTTAAAATCGAGGTCCCTCTGTTTGACACTCAATACAAAGATGATAATCAATCGATATGGGCATGAAAATCAAAAGACTAGGACAGAAAAACACGGAGAATTTAATGGTATAAAAAATATTTCGCTACACCTAAACATTTTCGCGGCAGGACCCATGAAAAAAAGTTGCATTTTTTATTTGTCACCCTGTATATACTACAATCACCTACCGTTACAGTAGGGGTAGAGCGCCACGTTCACGTTGTTATCGCTGCGCACATAGCAGGTGCCTTGCGCGTTGCACACGCAAAGGTTGGCGCAGTTGGTGGGCGCGTTCCCCGTGCCACCAATCGCTTTCTCGTCCTGGGCTTCGGGCGTCGCAATTCCCGAGTCGGGATAGTAGCGGCCTTGGCCCGCCGCACAAGTCGCGCAGGTACCTGCAAGTTGAAGATGGGATTTTCTTTTCGAAATCAACGTCAGAAGACAGGTGCATGCATTTTCATAAAGTGTATGGACATTTGTCGCGCACTGCACCGAAAAACCAACTTTGCACCGTGCATTTCACCGTTTTCTGGTTTTTGCACTATGCGGCCACGAAAAGTCTACCGACTTCATGAAAATACTGGTACATCGCTGAAATACTCACCGACTGGAGAAACAGCGCCGTAGAAGGAGCTTTGCGACTCGAAATCGCCCGCAAGAAGGACTTCGCCAGCAATTGCGGGGCAGTTCTGTGCGGTCGAGCCGCCCCCACCTCCGCCGGTTCGCAGGCACGCCCGAGCGAGCAGCGGTATCACCAGGAGGAGGGCGAACTTCTTGTGCTGCATTCGGCTAGAACATGTGTTTTTGTGCAGAAAAAAAGGCGACAAATTCCCGTTGGGTGGATTATCTCGGAAGTTTAAATGTCATGATGGAAAATATTATACAATAAGAAACAGCGTCAAGGGGGGGGTTTACTATTTTCTTTAAATCTGGCCGAAAAAAGACCGGCTACCGCGCGCTCTTCAGTCGCAAAACTTCGCAAGAAAAATTTTGTCCAAATTTGTGCCAAGTTTCATCAAAATCTGATCATCGCACTTGAGGGCCACCACTACAATCTATTGACTAACCTATCAGTCTGTCGGAAAAATAACGGCGGATCGTCGCAGCAAAATGTCTCGCCTCGCCGCTATCGCGCACCAAATCCCAAGTCGCGGCTTGCAGTCGCAAAGCGATGATGAGCGACTCCGAGGCGCGACGATCCGCCGTTTTTTTCCCGACAGACCGATAGTCGTTCCAGAAAGTGCGTGCACTTTTTGTCGTAAACTGCACCGTGCACAAAATTCCCTTCTTGCGGGGTGCATTTGACCTTTTGCACTGTGCAACCGGATATCGCTGCGACGCAAGCTTTTCTCAACGGAGCCGGCGCGAATTTTTGGAAATTGCACAGTGCAAAATGTTTTGAATGGGATCGCGTCGCGCGGGGAACACGATACTTGCACTGTGCGGTGCAACAAAAGGCGGAAGAAAGTGCACGCACTTTCTGGAACGACTACTAATCGCGGAAAAAAGTCCTGACACATTTTGTCGCGGGTGTCGCGCGAGAAAAGTGGCGAACTCGCGCGAAAGTGCATGTCGCTAGTGCAAAAACGGGGAATTGCCGCGACGAGTGCGAAAGGAAAACAAAAACGCACTGTGCAAACGTCTCAAGACTTTATGTCGCGACTAGTACTTCTCTAAAAAAAGAGAAGTTAATCTCTAAAAAATCGCGCCGGCTCCGTTGAGAAAAGCCTGCGTCGCTGCGATATTGCACTTGCACGGTGCAAAAGGTTAAATGCACCCCGCAAGGTTTGTGCACGGTGCGGCCCACGACAAAATGTGTCTGCACTTTTGAAAAAGCGTAATACTAGTCGCGCCATAAAGTCCTGACACATTTTGTCGCGGGTGTCGCGCGAGAGAAATGGCAATTTCGTGCGAAAGTGCATGTCGCTAGTGCAAAAACGGGGAATTGCCGCGACGCGTCCGAAAGAAAAACAAAATGCACTGTGCAAATGTGTCAGGACTTTACGTCGCGACTAGTAGCATTTTCACGAAGCTCCTGGACATTACTCGCGGTCCGCACCTCACCTTTTTTTTTGGTTTTGCACTATGCATTTGAAATATCGTTGCGACATAGGCTTCTCTCAACTGCGCGGCTGCGGTCTCGCTCAAAAGTGTGCACAGCAAAAATCATTGGCCTAAATTCAAGATGCACTGTGCGAAAGCGAAAAAATGCCCAGGCACTTTTTGAAAATGCTAATATTGACAAGTATGTGCGCAAAGTCGCCGGAATGATTTTGGGCGTCTGCACAATGCAAGAAAACATCAGGGTGCATGGGAAAGCCCAAAAAAGCCTATTGCACAGTGCAAAGTGAACTTTTGTTTGTCGCACAGTGCATGTCGCCAAAATCGCTCCAGGCCTTTAACGGAGTCCACTGCAAACCAAAGCCCCTTTCTCAACCAAATTTCGATCTCCCCGAAGCACTCGGGCCGCGTAAATCAAACGCGAAATGAAACATTGCGGAACAATAAAAGCGAAACCAAAGGCACAACAGCAGAAGTGCCCGTTCAACTTCCCTTTTCGCAATTCCGGAAGGGCGTTATCAAGCAGGAAGGAACCGGCTGAACGTACGCCTACTCGGGATATTCGTCCGATCGCTTGCGATGTTTCCGGGATTTCGTCAAACGGGAACGAAATTTGCGACCCGACCGGTTCTGCGCGGAGCCTGATAAGCGTCGTTCAACCCGTAGCCGGGTGGGAATGTCAACGCCCCGCCGCGTCTGAACCGCTGATCGTAGTGGTGTGTTTGATTTTTTATTTGATAATTTGAAAAGCGCAGTAAGCGGTACGTATATCGCAAGGGGCAGGGGCGTAGCGGATGAAAGATTGTGGGGGGAGGTCGACTTTGGGGAGGGGAGGGGGGTTACTTTGGCATGACTCCCTGGCCGGCCCGAAAGTTCGGCCAGGCCGGCCAGACGTCCTCTGGCCCGGAATACCGGAATAATTACAATCCTGAGTCTCGAAGCAAAAATTCGGTTTGCCAACGAAAATCAAACGCAAGCAAGCTTCAAGAGGCTTTTACCTCGACGGGCCAGCCTGAAGAAAAATTGAATGGGCCGAGCCGACCTCTTCCGGTTCACGGGATGGGCGTAGACATGGCTAGTGGGCCGGGCCGACCGGCGGCCGCCGCCAAGCCCCCAATCGGCCCCCAATTGGGGGCCAATCGGCCCCAAAATGCTGAGTTTCAAAGCGAAAACTAGGTTTGCCAATAAAAATAAAACGCAAAGCTAAGTCAGAACTGATTGAGTTTTTTGAAGTTCTTTGGGCAGTGGTTGGTAATTTTTTGCTTTAAAAATTTATTGTCGATTGTTATAACAAAAAAAATGCGTTATACCTCGTAATGAATGCAGTATTTATACAGTATGCGTCATAATTATAACCGCACTTTAAAAATGAGTGTAACTTTTGCGATTGTGAATAGAAATATGTGATATTTGGCACCAATGTGCATCCTATGTGCCTATGTGCCCGGCCCCTAGCCATGTCTAGATGGGCCGCGATTTTGCCGGCCGGCGAGCCATGTCTAGGATTACTATGTAAAAAAATCGCGTTGCGAAAGAACTTTACCTCTTCTGGAACGAATAGTACAGCTAGGGATACTCTCTAAAGTATCCAAACAAGAATGTAGGCTCAAAATGTGATGCCCCCGGAAACTGTACGCTATGAAACCTCAAAGTATATGTTGCATACTTTTTCATTGACCTCTGTTTGTATCCTTTTATATTACTTGACTGACAGCTGGAGGTGACATGATTTTTTTGGATAATATTATAAATCGAAAAGAGTATCCGTTCACGCGCGCGAGTCGATGGTATTATTATTCAGGGGTTAGGTGTGGGATATGGAAGAAACTCCACTTTTATCAAATCCCTGTTGGTTCTTCATTCTAATTCGCCTTGTCATTTTTGCATTCGGTGTTGCCACTAGTCCAGTCGCAAAGTCGCTGTTGTGATTTCGGCAGGTGCGAGCGACAGCCCAAAAACTCGCACAGTGAAAAAGTGATAGCTTGTTTCGTACAGAGCATGTCGCTGAAACCAGTCCAGTGACTTTATAGTCTGACTATTAATATTAGCATCTTGATAAAGCGCATGGAAATTTATCGCGGCCCGCACAGTGCATTTTTCTTTTTTTGCACTGTGCAAGTGTTGTCGCGTGCCCAAAATTCGCGGCGATGCAACGACGTAGTAGTGTTTTCTTAAAGTACGCACACATTTCTTCGCCTTCTATCGCGAACGCACAGTGCATTTTGTCTTTTTCCCCACGCTTTGCTTACGCACCGTGCATTTGGCTGTTTTTCGCACAGTGCAAACTTGAAAACAGCGCAAGTTCACATTGCACTGTGCAAAAGTGAACTTTTCTTTTCGCACAGTGCATGTCACCGGACTGATTTTTTTGGTGTTTGCACTGTGCAGAAAAACTCAGAGTGCGAGCGACGGCCCCAAAAAAGATTATTGCACGGTGCAAAGTGAACTTCTGTTTTTGCACTGTGCATGATGAAATAAGTTGGCGCCCAGGGGGGAATCGAACCCGGGACTTTCCTCATTATTTTTCCGACAAAGTAATAAGTAATTCTTTATCAAATTCGAGATCAAATTCGGCGAAAAAAACCAAAAAATCAAAAAAAAATCGCAAAAATTTCAAAAAACAACAAGTATTATATAAATTACATATCAACTGAGTCCTCAGGTTCCTCTTTGATTTCTTTTTTGATATCAGAAGTTCCAACTGGGTCCTCGACGTCTTCTGCTGGTTGATTTTCTAGAAGGGCCTTGAGATAATCACTGAAATTTCCGACCAACGACTCCATACTCGGAATCTCCGGGGCATTTAGGAGTTCCGGATCGACAGTATCTGAAGGTAAGAGGTCATTTTTGGGGAAAGCAGGCAACTTTTTTTATTACACATGATATAAAGTGTAACGAAAATTTGCGTGTATCAGTTTTAAAATTGAATAAAAATTGCCATGGATAATATAAAAATTGGTCCAAAAAGGGTGAAAACTTCAAAATTCATCACTTAAAACCCTCTCAAACCAAATTTCGGGGCATAAAATATAATTTAAAGACCAATGCCCACCTTCCTCACCAAATTTTAGTTTTTAAAAACAAGAAAAATCATCATGGATAATATAAAAATCAGTCCAAAATTTGCCCAAAAATCCAAAATTCATCCTCTAAACCCCTCTCAAATTAAATTTCGGGCCATCAATTTCAATACAAACACCAATTCCCACCTTTTTCATCAAAAAAAATCACCATGGATAATATAAAAATTTGTCCAAAATTTGTCCAAAAATCCAAAATTCATCCTCTAAATCCCCCTCAAATCAAATTTCAGACCATCAATTTCAATACAAACACCAATTCCCACCTCCTTCATCAAAAAAATCATCATGGTTAATATAAAAATCAGTCCAAAATTTGCCCAAAAATCCAAAATTCATCCTCTAAACCCCTCTCAAATTAAATTTCGGGCCATCAATTTCAATACAAACACCAATTCCCACCTTTTTCATCAAAAAAAAATCACCATGGATAATATAAAAATTTGTCCAAAATTTGTCCAAAAATCCAAAATTCATCTTCTAAATCCCCCTCAAATCAAATTTCAGACCATCAATTTCAATACAAACACCAATTCCCACCTCCTTCATCAAAAAAATCATCATGGTTAATATAAAAATCAGTCCAAAATTTGCCCAAAAATCCAAAATTCATCCTCTAAACCCCTCTCAAATTAAATTTCGGGCCATCAATTTCAATACAAACACCAATTCCCACCTCCTTCATCAAAAAAATCATCATGGTTAATATAAAAATCAGTCCAAAATTTGTCCAAAAATCCAAAATTCATCCTCTAAACCCCTCTCAAATTAAATTTCGGGCCATCAATTTCAATACAAACACCAATTCCCACCTTTTTCATCAAAAAAAATCATCATGGTTAATATAAAAATCAGTCCAAAATTTGTCCAAAAATCCAAAATTCATCCTCTAAACCCCTCTCAAATTAAATTTCGGGCCATCAATTTCAATACAAACACCAATTCCCACCTTTTTCATCAAAAAAAATCATCATGGTTAATATAAAAATCAGTCCAAAATTTGTCCAAAAATCCAAAATTCATCCTCTAAACCCCTCTCAAATTAAATTTCGGGCCATCAATTTCAATACAAACACCAATTCCCACCTCCTTCATCAAAAAAATCATCATGGTTAATATAAAAATCAGTCCAAAATTTGCCCAAAAATCCAAAATTCATCCTCTAAACCCCTCTCAAATTAAATTTCGGGCCATCAATTTCAATACAAACACCAATTCCCACCTTTTTCATCAAAAAAAATCATCATGGTTAATATAAAAATCAGTCCAAAATTTGTCCAAAAATCCAAAATTCATCCTCTAAACCCCTCTCAAATTAAATTTCGGGCCATCAATTTCAATACAAACACCAATTCCCACCTTTTTCATCAAAAAAAAATCACCATGGATAATATAAAAATTTGTCCAAAATTTGTCCAAAAATCCAAAATTCATCTTCTAAATCCCCCTCAAATCAAATTTCAGACCATCAATTTCAATACAAACACCAATTCCCACCTCCTTCATCAAAAAAATCATCATGGTTAATATAAAAATCAGTCCAAAATTTGTCCAAAAATCCAAAATTCATCCTCTAAATCCCCCTCAAATCAAATTTCAGACCATCAATTTCAATACAAACACCAATTCCCACCTCCTTCATCAAAAAAATCATCATGGTTAATATAAAAATCAGTCCAAAATTTGTCCAAAAATCCAAAATTCACCCTCTAAAACCCTCTCAAATCAAATTTCAGACCATCAATTTCAATATAAACAGCAATTCCCACCTTCTTCAGTGTACTCCTCCTCTTCTTCATCGTCTTGTTCCTCCTGATCATACTGATTTTCCGTTTCCTGGAGCTCTCCGCCCTCCACGTCGAACATCTCGTCATTTGTAGTTGCATCCATTTCCACTCTTTCTTCCTCCCTTTTCGGGGATCCACTTGCATTCTCGACAAAGGAGTTGAGTAAATTTCGGCGGAGAGTCATGGCCTCTCCCATCAGCGCCTTCCAGATTCGCTGCCATCGCCGGACCGCAATGTAGTCGTTCTGGGAGGGGTAGTAGGCCTGGATGAGGCATTGAAGTTCCAAAATTTTGGCCGGATTCCTCCAGCGGACCTTGGCGATCCGCTCGGCGAACGTTTTGTAGAGCCGAGGCCAGAGTTTCTTCGCGAATTCGAACGGATTTCGGTTGTTGGCCGCGATTTGGTCCACCACTTCGCGCGGGACAAAGTTGAATTTCGCTGGAATATTCGTTCATTTTTATTTTACAACCATTTTCAAGGGGTCTATTGATCAGAAATCAACCAAAAAAGCCCAAAATGACCAAAATTCGCCTAAATTGATATAAATTTTTGGACAAAATTCTAATCAAAATTTCTTTTCAAGACTTCAAACCAACTGATTTTTTAACTTTAAAACCATTTTCAATCCCTGTTTTGGCCCAAAAATCACAAAAATTGCGCAAAAATCATCACAAGGTACCTAAAATAACATAATTTTGTGCAAAATTCTTACCAAAAACTTCCTCTCAAGACCTCAAACCAACTGATTTTTTATTTCATAATCATTTTCAAGCCTTCTTTTGACCAAAAAAAACTAAAAAAAATACCCAAAAATAACCAAAATTCACCTAAATTAATATAAATTTTGTGCAAAATTCTTACCAAAAACTTCCTCTCAAGACCCCAGACCACCTGATTTTTTTATTCACAACCATTTTCAAGTCCTGTTTCGGCCCAAAAATCACAAAAAATTACCCAAAAATAACCAAAATTCGCCTAAATTGATATAAATTTTTGGACAAAATTCTAATCAAAATTTCCTCTCAAGGCCTCAAACCACCTGATTTTTATTTTATAACCGTTTTCAAGTCCTGTTTCGGCCCAAAAATCACAAAAAATTACCCAAAACTGACCAAAATTCACCTAAATTAATATAAATTTTGGATAAAATTCTAATCAAAATTTCCTCTGAAGACCTCAAACCAATTGATTTTTTATTTTAAAACCATTTCCAAGCCTTCTTTTCATCAAAAAACTAAAAAAAATTACCCAAAAATGACCAAAACTCACCTAAATTAATATAATTTTTGGGCAAAATTCTAGTCAAAACTTTCTCTCAAGACCTCAAACCAACTGATTTTTTATTTTATAACCACTTTCAAGCGGTCTTTTGATCACAAAATCACAAAAAATTCCCAAAAAACTGTCAAAAGTACCTAAATTAATACAAATTTTGGGCAAAAGTCTAGTCAAAATTTCCTCTCAAGACCTCAAACCAACTTCAAGAACATCTCTGCGTCTCTATTAACTCTAAATTCACATAATTTCCCCGCTAAAAATTCCCTACAGCCCCTCAACTCACGTTGAAAATTGTTGATGACCGGCTGCGGGGACATAAAAAAGTGGTCGATTTTTCGGTTGATTCTGGACAATTGATTCCACATCACTTTTTTCTTGCCTCTGAGGACGGCCAGTTCCGAATTATTTTGGTTCAGCTGGCTTATAATCGCTTGCATCATGCAGTTTTCGCTGAAACAACAGGATCGGATCCGTTGTGTGGCTGAAAATGCAGTAAGATTGGGTGTTAAATCTTCTCGAATTAGTCTCTGAATGCCTTTAAAGGGTCAATCACTTCATTTAAAGGCCGCTTACACTCAGTTTCGGCCAAAATTTCATCAATTGTCTCATCACTGAGCAGTTCGCCATCCTCTTCTTCTCTGAATCTGGAACAGTCCGGCTTTTCGGGGTGGTGAAGTGGGTACGGAGTTGTCCCTTTGGGGTCTAGATCGTAGGTTTTGGGGCTGAAATGAAGATTTTATTGCCGTAAAGCCTTAAAATGCGCTTTTTTCACTAAAAATTATGCTATCCATGGCAAATTGGGGCATTTTTTGATGATTTTGGCTCACGAAAAAATTGTTCAAACTTTATCGAAAAATTTCAAAAAGAGCTTTAGTACGTCACAAAGATCATATTCTTTTATTACTAATTTTTTCACAAAGTGGGTAGACTTTTTTCGCGGCGCACAGTGCATTTTTCTTCTTTTTGCACTGTGCAACTGTTTCCGCCGCCCAAAACGCGCGACGACGTAGTTGAAAAAAGTCTACACACTTTATGAAAATACTACTGGTCCTTCCGGAAAGTCGCCGGACTGATTTTTGGCGTTTGCACTGCGCGAAAAAAGTCAGGGTGCGAGCGAAAGCCTACTGCACGGTGCAAAAAGCAAGAAACCGCACAGTGCAAAGAAAACTTGTGTTTCGCACAGTGCGTGTCGCCGATTTCAGTCCGGCGACTCTCCGGAAGGACTTCCAGTCGGTCCAGAAAGTGCGCAGACTTTTTTTAGCTGTAAGAAAAAACAAAAGTTTTCTTTGCATTGTGCAATTTCTTGCTTTTTGCACAATAGACTATGTTTGGGCTGTCGCTCGCACCCTGACTTTTTTCGCACCGTGCAAACGCCAAAAATCAGTGCGGCGACTTTCCGGAAGGGCCAGTAGTATTTTCATAAAGTGTGTAGACTTTTTTCAACTACGTCGTCGCGCATTTTGGGCGGCGGAAACAGTTGCACAGTGCAAAAAGAAGAAAAATGCACTGTGCGCCGCGAAAAAAATTGTGCCCACTTTATGAAAATACCAGTAAGAAGAAATATGAAATTTGTGACATAATAAAGCTCTGTTTGAAATTTTTCGAAAAAGTTTGAGCTCTTCGATTTCTTCGGGAGCCAAAATCATCAAAAAAATGTCTCAATTTCCCATGGATAATAGATACATAGTACAAAAAATCGTGTCCTCACCGAGGTCTCAGTTTGACCTTTGGCTCCGCACTTGCTGCCCATTTCGCCTTTGCTTCCGCATCCATATCGCACAAATCGATTCCGTTTTCTTCGCAAATGTTCAACATCATCAAAACGGCATCGCCGCGCTCTTTGAAAATTCCCCGGACCACGGCTTTGCTCCTTTCGTGCTTTCGGACGGCGATCTCGCACTCTCCGCCGACTTCGCACTTCCCTTCGCGGATGATCAACGAAGGTCGCTCGAAAACCTTGGCAAACCGCTTGTTCTTTCCCTCCACCACGATGAAGGAGGTGGCCTGCAAAAAATTGATCGAATCTTGGGAAATTTTGAGGAAATTATATTATCCATGAGACAGCTGACATTATCCATGATAAAAATATTAAATCCAAAACTTGAACTCCTCGGAGACCCTAAAAAATGAAAAACAAAGAAAAATCATACCGTTTCCGGGTCGTCAATTTCAATTCTGGGATGATTATGCGGCCGGATCAGCACAAAATCCTTGCTCGATCTCAACGTCATTGCTCCATCGCAATCCGCTCGAATACACGCGTACTTCAAATCCAGCCCGTAATCCGACCTTCGTTCGTATTGGAAGCCATAGAAACACTGGAATTTCCCGCCCATTCGGCTAAAATTTCATCAATTTATATTACACTTGACCAACGGATCAACAAATCCTCAAAATTTGTTGATTTTTGCAAAATTTCTAGGACTTTCTTAACAGTACTTCGATTTCAACGCCTTTCCTTCAATAATCTTCAAGAAATTCAAAGGTTTTTTTCGTTTTATTAGATACATTAGACATGCTAATGGACAAGGTGGCCGGCACTTTGACACAAACACATTGAATCACAGTCATTGTAAATGCGTGAAAAAGAGGATCAGCCGTTAGACGGGCGAAAAAATTTTACAAGGAAAAGACGGTGAACCGAAAAAATGGCCTTTTTAAAAAAAATCCATTTACTCGTTGAAGACCTTCTGAACGAATCTCTGAAGTCGTTCGTTTGGAGATGGCGTTGGGAAGAAATGGTTGAGAATGTTCTGAACCGCTGTTTTTTGCGCATCTTCTTGCAACGACCACGGATTCTCCTGCTCTCGGCCAAACGCTAGCCGACAAAGGAGTTGAAAGAAGCCCAGCGGATTCGTGCAGGTGCTCATGTACATCAATTCCAGCCTAGCCTTGCTGATTTCTAGTGTTGCTACTGAAAACAACATAACTAATCCAAAAAAATCGAAAAAAATAAAAATTTCAAAAAAATCTTCTAAACCATCATGTACAAGATAAATCAGACGAAAAATCGTACTTACCGTCGTGACCGATTCCGCTACCCGTATTGATTTGAAGCAGATTGGTATGCTCGAGCTCTCCCATGAATTCGCAGACATTACTGAGAGTCTTCTTCAAGCCATCGTGATCTCTTTTTATGTCTCCTATCACTTTACTTTGCTTCTGAATGCTGTGCAAAATCTTGGGCAGAAGTGACATTGATGTTGAGCAGATTTCGTCCGGCTCTACTGTGGCATTATGCAGCTTTTTAGACACTGGGAGTTCATCTAAAGACCGAATCAACGAAAATTTTAAATTATCTTACCATTAGAGTTGTCTGATGCGCAATCAGGCGAAGAGTTGGCATTGGAGGTCTCGGATAGGCCGGAATCCACTTCGTTCAGCCCACTGAGGTCGTAGGTCATCTCACGACGTGGTTTATTGTCTGACGTAGGTGGCCTGTCCACTGAAATTATCAATTTTCAATAGAGTAACATCTAAAATAAGATAAAAAGGAAAGAAAATAATTCACTTACTTTTTCTCACAACCTCGTTTAAAGGATCGTACTCCGTATCTTCCTCCTGGTCTTCTTGCTCAAAATCATGAAGTTTACCCAGTCCAAAAAGACCTTGAACATAAGCCATCTTTACATGCTGCGAACATTTGCTTTTGCTCTTCCTCTTCCGATCCGAAATTGGTACCGTTCGATTTTTGACAACAGTGACCAGGGAATCCGAATTGGTCAGGAGGATTGAATCCGAGAGCCCTTTGGATTCACAGATGTTCGTCCGACTTGGCTGTGGATGAAGTGTTGACGTCGACGCCTCTGACGACGGAAAGCTTGGCACAGCCTTCGTCGTAAAGCCCCAACTCTGTAACGGCAAAATAGAGCATTTTACATACCTAAACTTGAAGAAAACTCGAAGAAAAGACGGTTTCCTACCTGTTTTGCGGTATTGATGTTATCCAAGTAAGTTCTGGCATCGTTGCTCGTCGTGAACGTCCTAATAATCTTCGCACTCCTTGGGACACCATCATGGACGATCAGCTTGCACGAAGCACCATTTGCAAAGGCTTTCAACCTCAATTGACGTCTTTTTACAATCTTTACTTCATTCCCTTCATCCAGACGAATCACAGCAAAATTATGTGGTACACAAAGTACCGACATGCCTGCAAAATCAGTGGATATTCACAATGTATTCAATAACCGCGGGAAAATGGAATTTCTCGCGCCAAAACCGCGATTTTTTATATTATTCTAGTCTGGCGCGAGACTTGACACAACAAACAAAGTGAGTCAACTCTTTCTCTTTTTCGTCGGTTTTACGAAAACCGTAAATTCACGCGTAATCTTTGGTTGACCTGGAAGAATGGTTGCGTCGTTTATTGTTTTTGTCAAATGTGGTTAACAAATCGTTGTTTAACCGCTATTTCTCGGGTCAAAACCAAGTCGAATATAACTTCCGAGTTTCCGACTTGATTCAAAATCTCTAGCGTCTGAATCCGTCGACGGAGACTGGTTTTCATCGAAAAGTCAAGTAATCCGTCAATGAAAGAGACGTAGAGCATATAATACGCTGGTTTTATAATAGAAAAAAGGTGATCAGACGTATAAGATAAATATAAATTTTGAGTAAATACGTAAACATTGATTAGATCAAAATTTGTTTATTTATGGTCCTTAGGGTTTATAGAGGACATCTAACGAATAATTGGGGCAAATCATTGGTATAAACTATGAGGAAAAGCCAAAACTCCGAAAATTTTATATTATCCATGGGAAAATTGACAAAATGCCGTCTGTCTTTATTTTCCCCAAAAAACAAAAACAACAACACACTAAAAACAAAGTAGGCATCCTAATGAAGCGATATTATAGTCAAAAACCCCATTATTTTATGCAAAACTACCAAAAATATCGTGTTTAGCGGACGCGGCCTTTTTGAGAATGGGTGGTTGTTTCGGGAGGGCTGTGGGGAAGGGAGACGGAAAAGCGGTGCGTGTTCGGATGGTCGAGTGGAGATGGGGGTTGGTGGGGTGCTGGGTGCGAGCCCCGTCTGCGTTTTTTCTTTGGATTCTGTTCGTCTCGCCGTTTCTTCGGGCCTCCTGTTTTTTCCGCCGTCGTTTTTGGAAGCGCTGGTGCATTTGTCTGGAAGAATTTGATCCAGAAAAAAAACTGTTTCCGATCTCAAGCTTCTTGTTGTCTGATTTATTCAAAATTCTCTAAAATACGACTAGAAATTAGTTTATTTCACGGGTTTATTGAGCGAGACAGGGTAGGAAGAAATCTCAAAAAAGGTACAAAATTCAATGTGAAAATTATACAAGTGAATTGGGAATTTGTAAGACACGTAACAACGAGTAAGCGAAACGATGCTCATTCTGGGTCGTCCTGAATAGAATTTGGTACAAAGAAATTTGGTAATGGGTGTTAACTGGGCGATGACACTTGATATCGCGAGTATCGAAGCCAGTAGACCATGTTGAATGTGAGAAATAGCATTGGGAACAACAGTCCTGAAACAATTAGCTAAAATTTTTGTGTTTTGGCCCAAAAATTTTTAATTGAGTTATATACCGCTCTTGCGGAATATCATTGTGTCATTTGAGGATCCTACAGGTTGCTTGGATGATTCCTTTGTACAGTCCCGGACAGGATCATGTGGCAAGAAACGCATCCAATTTCATGTTTGATGCAATAAATTGTCTCTCTTTGCATCACTTCTCTAACTGAGAGAGCTGTTTCTTTTGAAGAGACGGGAAGTATTTGATGTAAGGGGATGCAATTTATTCGCACAATGATTCGATTGGATTCGTTTTTGCCACATAATCTTGTCCTGGACTGTACAAAGGGATCATCCAAACAACCTGTAGGATCCGCAGGTGATAAAATGATATTCTGAACGAGTGCTGACAAGGGAAGTACCCCAAGTGCGGAGATCAGAATAGTTTTTAATTTTGCGCATACGTCGAGTAAGGGCCAAATATCAATTCCGTAAAGTTCTAGCTCGCGTTTGTCAGAGACGGCCGAGATATTCAAAGATCTTTGTGGTAGCGGCAGTACGTGTGATGCGGAGAGCGGTCAAAGCGAAAAGCACTTTTTGGCCATTTTTTGCCAATTTTGTTTGAAAAAAAGGCATAAAACAAAATCTGAGCGTTTCACTAGGGGCATTTCCCCTGTCAGTTGTAACCTTGGACTTTCATATTGTTTGTCGTTTAGGGGGCCTCGTGCAGTGTTAAAAAACGTACCATTTTGCATCCGGGAAGCATCAAAAATGTGGCAAAATGCTTCCCTCTCCAAGTGAAAAAACTTTGTTTTTAAGGGCGCGCCCTTTTTATACATTTTTGATACTTTCCAGATGCAAAATGGTACGTTTTATGCCACTGGATCAGGTCCCGCACTGCAGTTTTTCAAATGGTTTACTCGATAGATAGTCTGCCCTTTTTGCTCTGTCATCAATTTGCATTTGTTTGATAAACTTTCGACAGATCGGTATCCGTTGAACGCAATTCAATAGCCAATTGCCCGATTTCTCGCTGAACCTTCGATTGAATGTGAAGTGGCCATTGGTATAGGGTGTCGTTGGCTCCGGACTCGCTGTGTAATCGTGAACTCGAATCTGTCGCTCTACACCACTCCCTCGATAGCTGACTACTACGTCGGTGAGCGGAGCCGGCGATGAAGGGCGACGTCGCCAAACATCGTCGTGATATGGCTGAAAAATTATGGTAATAATGGTGAGAATTGGCTTAAACGAATTTGCATGAGATCAAAAAATTTTCTTGATAGAAGAGTTTCGCTGTGCGGAGGTTCACTTTGGCATAAAAGGGACTTTTTAGACCTGTGAGATTGCTTGGTACAGAATGCGGGATGTACTTCTAATTGAAGAATATCTCTAAACACATTCTCTAACCGAAAATAGGGCTCTCCCGAAGAGAGAGCACGAGATTATTGTCCTTTTGGAATGAAATGAACATCATCGTGGGGCATTGAATGCTTGCCTTTCTTTTCTTTCCAAAGGTACAATATTCTAGTGCGTTCTCTTCAAATGAATCTTTTTTCGACCGAGGATTATTTGGAGGTATTCGGAATACTTCCTGGCCGCAATCGGATGTTTTTTTGCTGGCTCCTATTTCGCGCGTAGAAGCTACAGTGACGGACCCGATCCAGTGGCAAAAAACGTACCGTTTTGAATCCGGGAAGCACCAAAAATGTGGCAAAATGCTTCCCTCTCCAGGTGAAAAAACTTCGTTTTGAAGGGCGCGCCCTTCCTCTCACAAAAAGAGCGGGCGCGCTTTTGAAATCGGAGTTTTTTTTCGCTTGGAGAGGGAAGCATTTTGCCACATTTTTGATACTTCCCGGATGCAAAATGGTACGTTTTTTGCTACTGAATCAGGTCCCCCACTGTACCTCTAACCCGAAATCTTTACCTTTTCTGATCCAACCAGGGGCGTTGAGGTCAATCTGGGGTTCCCTGTTGGCCCGGCTAACGCTCGGCTAATCTGGACGTCCGGCGGATGACTTGCTGTAGATTTTTTCTGCTTCTCTGAAAACAGATGTGTGACGTGCATGGCTATTTTAGAACTAAGTTATTTTAAAATTCCCCTTACTTCTCGCCTGATCTCTGGACGCCATATAGGTCACGAAGGCGAATTCCAATAACGCTCCAAAAATAAATGTGAGACATGCTGGAAAACGAAAAAATTTGGGTAAAATGCGCTAGTTCTACATTCTTAGAGACAATTTTTGTATTAACTTACATCCCGTCCAAATGTCAATGGCTTTGCTGTAGGAGACCGGAGGTAGTTTGGCATTGATACCCGATGCTTGTGTGGTCATTGTGAGTAAGGTTGTGACTCCGAGGGTTACTCTGGCTGGAACGGCGGTCCGCGGAAGCCAGAAACTCACCCAACTGACTATCACTAACATAGTACTGAAAAAAGGATTTGTTTTATTTGAAAAGGGAATCTGACAAAGCAGGGCTCTCTGAGAGTTGAATTAAAGTTGACCCAAATTTGCATACAATGGCGGACCTGATCCCGCGGCAAGATACGTACCATTTTGCATCCGAAAGTATCAAAAATTGCAACAAAATACCTCCCTCTCCGTGTGAAAAAACTCCGATTTCAAAAACTCTTCTTGTCAAGGGGAAAAATGCTATTTTCAAAACAGAGTTTTTTCACTTGGATAGGGAGTCATTTTGCTACATTTTTTGATACTTCCCGGATGCAAAATGGTATGCTTTTCGCCGCTAGATCAGGTCCGCCACTGTAATCAATCAACATTGCGCTCATTTTTTTTCCGACAGACTGATAATAAATCATACATCGGAAGCACGTATTTTAAAAATGATAGCTCGCGACATTATGTAAACAAGAAATTTACAGTGGGGACCATGGAAAAAAAACGTACCATTTTGAATCAGGGAAGTATCAAAAATGTGGCAAAATGCTTCCTTCTCCAGGGGAAAAAACTCCGATTTCAAAAGCGCACCCGCTTCAAACCGAAGTTTTTTTCACTTGGAGAGGGAAGCATTTTGCCACATTTTGGATGCTTCTTGAATGCAAAGTAGTACGTTTTTTTCCACTAGATCGGGTCCTTCTAGGGGGAACCCGGTTTTTGTCTGGCGCTCCCTGCTAACTCTTCTTCGGACTCACCTTGGTATATACAGTTGAAGTAAATAGTAACTGAACTGTCGCTTCAAAGTCAACACCGTCCTTAGACATGAATAGGTTCCGGTGTTCGTCTTGCTGGTGCAGTATGTTGTACTAACATTGTTCAGTTGAAAACTTGGCAACGACGACTCGAGCCCGGTCTTCAGCTGGACTGGATCCGTCGCTTTCCATTTGTACTCTATATACAGTAATTTAACACGGTTTGGCGAGCAGTCTTACCAATATCATCAGTGGTATAGGCGTAGGAAGCCAGATCAATGTGGCAGGTCTGCACATCCATGGGGTAGTATTGTAGATGCATCGGACAGGAGAGTACCATCGATATTCTCACACTGTACAGGATGTTTCCGTCCTTGTGCACTCGAATCAGCACGTTCGGCTTGTCGATCATGTGTTTCTGGGCCTGTTTTTCGTTCTGAAAGAACGAATCCGGCATCCAGATTTGTTGTCCGGCCGAGAGGATGAGAAAGTCGGGTTTGCCGTCGTTCGGTAGACCATAGGCGAGGCGCCCGTCCACCCAGCTTTCGCGGAAGGTCAGTTGGACACTGAAAATTGGCGGCTTATTATTGTGAAGGGTTCAAAAAAGGTTGTTGCGACATAGAAAGTTGTGTAATTTTGTGTTCTGCGGTCAGTTTATCTTTAAATTTTGCATAGATGTTCTAGATGACATAAGCTTTATGATGATTTTGGAACCCTCCCAATCATTTTACAGTTTTATCTCCAACTGCTTGTTTTTCCATTACGAACTTTGCAGCTTTGTTTTCTTGTCCTCGAAGTCCCCTCGGGGCTTCTTGAACGGTCAAGCCGCTTCGGTCATTCTTCCCCGTTTTCGTATGTTCTTTAATGTCGGCGGTGCAACTGAACGAATTGTAAAAACTCGTTCGCGTGTCAACCGCTTGTTTATCGGCGCCCCTTGAGCAAGAGCTCACTTGAATGCGCGTCCAAAAGACAACATGATTTTGCGCGTTACGTAAGCACTAGTATCAGTCTGTCGGGAAAATAATGAGCACAATGTCGCTGAAATGAGAAACAATTTGATTTGGCAGCGACAAAGTTCATTTTCTCGGCAGTGATGCGATTTTTGCTGCGACAGAGTGCTTATTATTTTCCCGACAGACTTATTATCCGCAGGAAAAGCTGGGCGATGCCTAGCAAAACGTATGTAATTTTTTAGAGAAGCGTTTGGCTTGGGGTGAACAGGAAGTTCTCTATCTGTCTGTCGGGAAAATAGTGTGGATTTGTCGTAGAACGATGACGTTCCGCAGTCATGCGCCAAGTCTCCAGCCACTGCAAGCCGCCTCAAGTCTTTGATGGGCGATTCCAATGGCCCGGCGAATCCACGTTATTTTCCCGACAGGCTGATAAAGTTAGGCGGAAACCTTGATGTTTTGATATATGGCTAGTTTAGACGTCGCATTAAAAAATTTTTTGAGCCTGAGTCCCCCACTTGAAAGCCATCTCTTGTTGGGTGGCACCAGAGTTCCGGGTTCGCGTCAATTATGCGGCCGCGCCGCGGTTTCGCAAAACTAATTGCAGCGCAAGACTGGGCCCGCACAATGCCCTTTGACACGGCCGAGGGCCTCGGCACGTGCTCACCCACCTGTATTCCATGTTGACGTCGTCGATCTTGGAGATACTGAAACAACAAAAAGTTAGAGGGCAAAGATCAAATAATGTTGAATAATTTGAGAGTTTTGTCGCTTCAAGACGATATTTAATTTACGGGGGAAGTTCTCGTGTATTTAGAAAAATGTTTTTTAAGACTAAAACTTTCAGGAATTGATATGCGTCCTATAAAAAGGCGTAGCTTGTCGGGAAAATAATGTGGGTTTGTCGTAGAAAAATGTTTTGCCTCGAGGCATAGCGACGATGGGCAATTTCAGGGCGCGACAAATCCGCATTATTTTCCCGACAGGCCGATGTACACCTGTCGGGAAAATTATGTGGATTTGTCGCAGTAGATCCCCAGCCGCCGCAAGCCGTCGAAAAGCGATGATGGGCGATTCCAAGGCGCGACGAGTCCACATTATTTTCCCGACAGACTGAATGATCGGCCTGTAGAAAAATCCTTTATCTAAGGGTCCTGGTAAATTAACTGTCTTGGTCTATTGTCCTCTTACACCCACATTTTCATTTTTTTTCAAAATTTCACGCTCGAAATCCTTTGCCTGTCAGCAACACAATGTGCCCGAGATATAATATCAGTCTGTCGGGAAAATAATGAGCACAGTGTTGCTTGCGTCGCTGGAGTGAAAAGCAATTTGAATTTTTCGCAAAACAATTCATTTTCTCGCCGACGATGCGGTTTTCGCTGCGACAGAGAGCTCATTATTTTCCCGACAGACTGATGCCTCGTGGAGCTCTTCTAATTATGGAAATTAGAATAAGAAACCAGCAAACTAAAATTTCTATTGTGACGTGCAACGAGACGCGCGAATGAGACATGTCAAGTCAGCGGGTCCAAAATACGCACTTGGAACCCAAGAAAAAAATAAAAAAATAGAAATTCGGGGGTAAAAGGTTTTTGCTGCAAATGAGAAATAGAAGGGTGAAAAAAGAGCAACATATATTTTACTTTGAAATATATGTGATCATGTCTTGCTTACCTCCTGATGAGCATGTTCACATTAACCACGACGGGACCGTGAGCACCTAAAAAAATTTAATTTTGGGGTATGAAAAATGGTTTATAAGTCTGTCGGGAAAATAATGAGCACAATCTCGCTGTGCCGATCATATCGCTGAAGTGAAAGCAATTTGATTTTGCCGCGACAATTCATTTTCTCGGTGGCGATGCGGTTTTTGATTGTGCTCGTTATTTTCCCGACAGACTGATAGTAATGAGGCTGTTGAAAATACAGGGAAAAGAGATGCAAATGAGCCAAAATTTGGTATCAAAAAGTATCATGGAGTCATAAAAAAGATCGATTTTTTGATGGTTGTTTGGATACCTTATGAGACTTGTTTTGAGTTGCAAAAGGTCTCATATAAAAATTCAACCAATCTCTCTTCAAAATCCACAATCTTTTTTTGTCTCTATGATACTTTTTGACGCCAAATTTGAAGTCATTTCTCTCTCTGCCAACTTTTTTAATCAAGACATAGCGGTCTATGCCAAAACACTTTTCATCGTATAAAATGTCCACAGTGCAAATTTCGACTTACCCGGAAGCGACAGATTTGTTCCGGGTGGCCTGACCCTCCAATCGTAGCCTCTGTTCAATAATTTATTGATGATTTCGGTGTCGGTGTTGGCTTCGGACCTAGAAAAGTAATCCATTTACATTACGCTTTATTAGCCTAATGAACGGCAGATTTTTTCCTTTCTTGTTTTCCCAATGTTTTCCCAAAACCCCCCGCACATAATGATGGCCTTTGAGCCGGCATCATGGCTATTTCGATTTTGAACACACACTCGACTTACTGTACAAATAAGGCCGTCATCAGGGCGGCCAGTTTCAAAAACCGTGTCATCGGTAAAGAGCGGGGTAAATTTGGAGCAAAAAGCGATATGTATTTGTCGGGGCGCACCGAGTGATTGGCTATGGTGAGTTGGGGAGGAGGCGCAAAGTCATCGACTGGCAAATATAATAAAAGGTTAGACAATGGCCGTAATTGGGAATTTGCACGCGATTAGAGTTACATGTATAGGATTATGGGGCCTTGTAGGGTCATAAACTTTACTATAATGAAAGATAATGACTTCACGTTGATGGCTAGGGCATAAAGGCTATGTTAGCGGGTGTTTTAGGCAAGCTGGAGCAGTAAGATGACGGTTCTTGGCTTAGGAACTTGTTTTTAGCCTTGTAAGGTCATAAAGTTTGCTATAAAAATGAAACATGATGACTTCAAGTTGATGAAAGACTGTAAAGGCTCTATCGGCTGTTTTGGACAAACTGTAGCAGTTAGGCCGCGTTTCTGGCCTTATGAATTAACCTAACTAAAAATGATTAAGGTCGGTGACTACATCTTTATTTAATACTAAAAAATCAGAAGTTAGTCGCGAACGTTCTGTCACACCTTTTTAATCAACACAAAAGTTGAGAAAGAGCTCAAAACGATTCCAATTTGCAATTGATATCAAAAAAGAGGTTTTATATCTCAAAGACAAAAAAGAATAAACTTGGCTTTTTAAAGAAAGACAGTTGTTTGGCCAACGGACTTTGTATGGCTCAATGATACTTTTTGACATCAAATTTGGAGTCGGTTTGGTCTCTTTTTCGGCCTTTCTATTGATTGAAAAGGTGTGACAAAACGTTTGCGACTAACTTCTGATTTTTTCGTATGAAATACATAAAGATGTAGTCACCAACCTTAATCATTTTTCATTATCTTTCATTGTAGTAAAGTTTATGACCTTACAGGCCTTAAAATAAGTTCTCAAGTCCAGAACCGCACACTACTGCTCCACCTTGCCCAAAAATAACGCTACTTTTACACACTACCCATCAAGTCATTATTATCATCAGTAATTATTATATCATCCATTGTAGTAAACTTTATAACCTTACAAGGCCTTAAAATAAGCTCTCAACTCCAGAATCCCCCTATTACTGCTTCAAATTTCTCGACATTCTTGTCGACCGAAACAGTTGATTCAAATTACGCCCTAAAACGTCAAAATATCCACTAAAACAAGGGCAACGTGCCAGACGTCGGAATCGCTGACTAGGCGCTCTGTCGTATGCGGCATGGAAACTTGGCGGTTCCAGGGATTTTTTCTGGCCAGATTGAGCTAATTAATTTTTTCGGGAGGGGACTAAGATTACTTCAACGGAAGTTGCGCACAGCCGGCCTTAATAACCTCGGCTTGACTTGGATTCGGAAAAAAATGATTTTGGAAATTACAGTAATAAAATTTTGAGAGGCTAAGAGGGTATTATTGGAAAATTTCGAAAATATTTTTATTACTGTAAAATAATTATTAGTCAAAATTTAAATAGTCATCAAAAAACATTTTTTTTAGAAATTACTTTAAATCAGTATGTCGGAAAAATAATGAGCATTCTGTCGCAACAAAAATCGTATCGGTGTCTCGAAAATTAATTTTCTCGCGACAAAATCAAAAAAAAATTTTTTCACTTCAGCGATGCGATTTTCTCCGAAAGAGCTCATTATTTTCCCGACAGACTGAAAAAACACCTTGAATATAATCAAAATACCTCTTGGTATGTTTCAAATCCCACCCCGGTTGAGCACAAAGGCGCCCCCGAAGGTCATGGGCGAACGAATTTTTGGAAAACATATACGAAAAGCCCGCGAAATGGGCGGGCCCATTTCCCTCCACTCAAGTTTCGGCCGCAAATGGGGAAAATCCGACGCCGGAAAATCCGCGGTTTATTGTTTTTGCTGGCGGGGGCTGAGAATATTCTTCTTTATACCTTACTTATATTCATTAAAGCGAAGGCGAGGATTTTGGAGCCTGTTTTTGACATAACACTAAATTTAAAAAAGTTTTTTTTTGAGAGGAAAGGTCTAGTACTTTTTTTGGAATGTACGAAAAAAGACATTTGTGGAGGGCTTTAATTTAGTAAGCCCTACTAGACGTGTGATGCAAAAAAAAGGAAAATTACGCAAAAAACGATGAGATATATCAGTCTGTTGGGAAAATAATGTGGGCTCGTTGCGCCGTGGAATTTCCTATCATCGCTTTGCGACGTAGCTGGAGGTTTGGTGTGCAACTACAACGGGGAGATATTTTGCTGCGAAAAACCCACATTATTTTCCCGACTGACTGATATAAAGTGTTTTTTAAAATATCACCGAATTTGAACGTCATGGGTAAAAAGAGCCTAAAATTCGTCAAGCCATATGTATAAAAGGCCGTGAGAAAGTTGATGTAAATAATAAAGACAATGGTAAAATGAAAACCATACAATGATTATATGCTAATTAGGTCACAGCTGAAGCAATTGCCATTTGACAAATTTAGAGTAATTTTTTTGCAAGGAAAGTACTTCTATGGGGTATGGGGTTATAGGTGGAGACATATGTATATCAAAAAAACCGCAAAATTTTTCATTCAGAATATGTAAAAGTTAGCTGCCTACTTTTGGCTTGTAAAGGTGAAAATCCTCTGAACTTTTCTTGCAACACCACGCAAAAGCCTTTTTGACTATCAATTCAAAAGCTTTGTTTTGAACTAAGTAAACTCTGGTATCTTGACAAGCCTTAATTTTACGATTTTTTTGATATGTGTCTCGACCTGGAAGTGTCAGAAGTTTTTCATAGTTAAAAATTTTGGGACATAAGCGAGGCTTCTTGCTTGCTGATTTTTTGAAGAAACGACCGAACGTTGGGAAAAATATGGCACTTTTTGCAAATTTTGGCAAGAAAAACATCATGGTTTCTACTACTAATGCATAATGTCCACAAAGGTCAATTTTTTCCGCATAAAACTGGAAAAGATCTGGCCAAAAAAAGGTTTCAAATAATCAGCATTATGTCGCACCAAAATAAAAAAAAATCGAATCGCCGCCGAGGAAATAAATTATGCCGCTACAAATTTCTCTTCACTTCAGGGAGGTGATTGACGCAGCGACATTGTGCTCATTATTTTCCCGACAGACTAATCCCACAATCAAATCTCCAACAAATAGTTAACCCAATACACCGAGAACCCCTTCAAAATCGCCCACGTAAAATCAGGCTGTGCGGTTCGAGTTTACGGTAGCACCGACTTCCAAGTTTTAACTTTGCCTCTAAACAAACGCAACAACCCTGATCCCCGTGTTCATCTGCTTGAGCCGGAGATTTAATAATTTGCTCAAACAATGCATCCGATACGAGCCGCGGAATATGTTTCCGTGGCCAGCTTTGTGCAAATAAACTCTCGAGGCCTTTTTCCCCGACAGCGGCAGGTAAATTTACCTTTGTTTTTTCCCACGGATCCAATAAAAAGAGCCGGATTTTGTCGAATTAGGCCCGTCGCGGAAGAAAGTTTTTTTTCGTTGCGTCGAGAACGGCCGGATATTTGGCTAGTGGAAGGATGTGAAGGTCATTCAAAAAAAACTTTTTTTCGATTTTGGAGAAAAAAGTTTTCTTATGGTTACAAGTTCGTTCATAAAGTCGCTAGAGTGATGTTTTGGCGTCGGCACAGTGCAAACAAGGACAGACAGCCCAAGAAAGCCTATTGCACGGTGAAAAGTGAACTTTTGTTTTCTCACAGTGCATGTCACCAAAACCACCGGACGGACAAGCAGTGGAAGTTCAATTTTCGAAAGTTGGGATACACGATTTTTTGAGGAAAAATCATACATGTAAGGCATCGATAAGGGAAGGGCCGAAAGTGACATTTTTTCCCCTACAGACTGAAATAAAATTTCACTCGCATTATTTTCACGACAAACAGATAAATCTTCCATCCACATTATTTTCCCGACAAACTGATAAAAAATTTCTATCCACATTATTTTCCCGACAAACTGATAAAAAATTTCTATCCGCATTATTTTCCCGACAGGATGAGATGATACTTCCATCCACATTATTTTCCCGACAGATTGATATAAAAATTTTCTATCCACATTGTTTTCCCGACAAACTGATAAAAAATTTTTATCCACATTATTTTCCCGACGAACTGCTAAAACATTACTATCCTATCCGCATTATTTTCCCGACAAACTGATATAAAAATCTTCCATCCACATTATTTTTCCGACAGACTGATAAAAAATTTTCTTTCCACATTATTTTCCTGACAGACTGATACAAATTTCCATTCACATTATTTTCCCGACAGACTGATAAAAAAGTCACATCCACATAATTTTTCCAGACAGACTGATAAATTTTTCTTTCCACATTATTTTCCCGACAGACTGATACAAATTTCTATCCACGTTATTTTCCCGACAGACTAATCAGCAAATTTTCCTGCAAAGCTATTCACGTATTTTACAAAGCCCAGAGTTTCACATAACCCATTCATAAGGTCCAAAAATATCAAGACTCCTCTAAATTTCCCGCTCTAAGTTGTTCCCTTCAAGCGCATGGGATAAAACTTGTATTTTTAGCCCCAAAAACCTTTCCAATTTCCCACCAAATTTTATTTCCGTTGAACTCTTCTCCCCCAGCCGCCTCCAACCTACCTCAGAGTCCACGATAGCGCGCTACAATAGAGCAGAAGGCATCTGAGCATACGGCGGCCCGACGCTTTGCGGGCCGGATCTCTGACTTGTCGCCATTAAACGCGAATTTCGCTCGATTCAAATCCGATTTCCGCCGTCGCCCAAACATGACGTGCAGAGACGGGGGAAGGCAGAAGAGAGACACATGGGGGTTTCGGAGACGGAACAGATAGTTTTTTGGTGTTTTGCAAGAAAAGCAGGGATTCGGCGGATGCGGATGGTTCAATAGAGCTTTTTTTGCGGTGCAATGGAAGTAAATAAACAGCAGAGTCCTATTTTTTGCTACTATTATGATACTAGCTTGTCTGCAATGTCGCTGGAGCAAATTTCGCCACATGCACTGTGCGAAAACAAAAGTTCGCTTTGCACTGTGCAATTTCTTGTTTTTTGCACCGTACAATAGGTTTTTTGGGCTGTCGCTCGCACCAGAGATTGGCCACGGCCCCGGAGCCGGCTCTTGGCTCCGGCTCGGAGCGGCTCCGGCTCCGAGCCGGGAGCCAGAGCCGGAGCCGGAAATTTTGGGTCGGCTCCGGCTCCCGAGCCCAAAGTCGGAGTCAGGCTTCCCAGCGGTCAGAAAAGTAAAAATTTCGTGATCTTGTTAAACCAAATTACTTGAAAAAACACTGCGGAGGATGTGACTTGACTGCAAAAACGTTGGCTGTATGACCTATGGCACTAATAACTCTTATTTTTGGAAAAATATTTTTAAAAAAACATTTTGCATAGGAGCCGGGATTCGGAGCCGGAGGCCTTTTTAAATTTTGCACGGAGCCAAGAGCCGGAGCCGGAGCTGCAAATTTGGCCTCGGCTCCGGCTCTGGGAGCTAAGAGCCGGAGCCGGAGCCGAAATTTTGACCGTGGCAATCTCTGGCTCGCACACTGACTGATATGTACTAAAAGTTCAACAGCGTTTTTTTGAGGAGTAATGGAGGTAAATAGCCAGTAGAATTTTATAGGTTTCGGCATGAAACTGAAGGAAGATTTAGAATAATACAGTGTGGGTCATAATTATAACCATTTAAAAAAATGAGTGTAACTTTTGTGATTGTGGGTAGAAATGCGTCATATTTGGCACCAATGTGCATCAGTGTACTAGAAATGATGTCCCAAAAAATTATTTTGAAAGGTTTCCGTATTTTCGAAAAAAGCTGCTCAAAAATTCGCACCGAAAAGTACCAAAATTTTGGTTCTAGAAATGACACATTTCTATTGACAATCACAAAACTTACATCTATTTTTAAAGTGCGGCTATAGTTATGACCCACAATGTATTGCTTAACAATTTTGCAGAAGCGACAGATTTTTAGGCCGAAATTTGGCAAAAATGTGGCATTTTTTCGCAAATTTTGGCAAGAAAAATTCATGAGTATTTTTACCCTAGAGAGTGATATTTCCACAAAAAAATCAGTTTTTCTCCGCTCGAAACTGACTAAGATACGGCCAAATAGTGTTTTCCGCTCTGACCGCCCTCCACGTTTCGCGTACTATCTCGGCTGCAAAGATCGCTGAATATCTCGGCGACGCCTGCTCAATGCGAGCTAAAATTTTCAGCGATTGACCTGTGGCCTATGTCCAAAGTATGCGCAAAAGTTGAAAGAAAGATCTCAGCGTCGCAGTTTGAGAAGTTCTTGCAAAGTTTTGCTCACATTTTGAAGTCCCTCTCCGAAGAAATGGATGACTTACAGTTCCATATCAGTTGTTGTTGCCTCCACGTCTTCCGGAAGGATTTGCGGGGGTCCTTCGTAATTGTGGAGCGGCTGGTACTCTTCTTCTGCTGTGTAGTCGCCTTCGTATGAGTCCTAAAATAATATAAAAAATAATTTTTTTATTTTTTGAGTTCCGGAAATTTTTGATTTTTTAGTGACTTTAAGGGTAAAATACGCCTCCTTTGTCTGCCGAAAATTATAATTAATGAAAAAAAAGATGATTTGATACCAGGAATTTTGCACTGTGCAGACGGATTTTTTGAGGTTTGCACTGTGCGAAAAGAGAAAAATAGAAATGCACTGTGCGTTGGCGACAAACATGGGAAAAAGTTCAAAATGCACTGTGCGAAAGAGAAAATGCACTGTGCGTTTTGTCGCTGCGCTTCGCCGTTTTTTTCTCGAGCGCACCGTGCATTTGGCTCTTTCTTTCTCGAACGCACTGTGCATTTTGCTTTTTTCCCGGAATTTGTCGCGCCTCGCACCGTGCACAAAAATCCTCCATTTTGCACCGTGCATTTCACTTTTTTTTGTTTTTGCACGGTGCATTGAAATATCGCTGCGACATAAGCAAAATCTGGCTTCGCCGCAGCGGTTGCGCCATTTCGCACAGTGCAAACTGCTTTTTTGAGGGTTGCACTGTGCGAAAAGGGAAAAATAAAAATGCACCGTGCAAAAAGAGAAAAACAAACACGCACTGTGCGTTGGCGACAAGCGTGGGAATAAGTTCAAAATGCACTGTGCGAAAGCAAAAAAATGTCTGCACAGTGCAAACTGCTTTTTTTGAGGACTGCACTGTGCGAAAAGAGCAAAATAAAAATGCACTGTGCGTTGGCGACAAGTGTGGAAAAGAGTTCAAAAAGCACAGTGCAAAAAGGAAAACAAATGTCGGCACAGTGCAAACTGCTTTTTTTAAGTTCGCACTGTGCGAAAAGAGCAAAATAAAAATGCACTGTGCGTTGGCGACAAGTGTTGGAAAGAGTTCAAAAAGCACAGTGCAAAAAGGAAAACAAATGTCGGCACAGTGCAAACATCTTTTTTTGAGGTTTGCACTGTGCGAAAAGAGCAAAATAAAAATGCACTGTGCGTTGGCGACAAGTGTTGGAAAGAGTTCAAAAAGCACAGTGCAAAAAGGAAAACAAATGTCGGCACAGTGCAAACATCTTTTTTTGAGGTTTGCACTGTGCGAAAAGAGCAAAATAAAAATGCACTGTGCGTTGGCGACAAGTGTGGGAAGAGTTCAAAAAGCACTGTGCGAAGGGAAAAAAATATCGATACACTTACCTGCTCGTCGCTGGCAAAGTGTGGGATTTTTGTATTCAAGTGTTTTTCGAATTCCTTATTTGGGAATCGAAAAACAGCGGCTCTCTCCGACGACAAGGCTCGGAGATTGTCGCGGGATCGCCATCGCAGCGGCTTTTTCGTTGACGTGATTGAATAGCTGAATAATGTTATAAATAATGCTTAAAAAATTGGATCAAATTCCCACCTCAAACCAACGACCAGATTCAGCACCACCACCAACCGCACGCCTGCAGGCATTGAGGCCGTCACTCGCAGGCCTCTGAACTCCCTCTGACTCTGAAAATGTCTCAATTGGTCTCAGATATCAGCCAAATTAGGAGGACATGAATTTGAGACCCGGATTTACGTGTGACACTGCAATGGGGTTTCCGGCTTTTTTTGTGGAAAAATGCGGAACTGTCAAAAACAGGAGGGATAAAAATGCAGAAAATGAGGAAAATTTTTTTTTAAAAATCCGGTCTTTTAGTCTGTCGGGAAAATAATGAGGGCTGTGTCGCATCGAAAATCAAAAATCGCATTTTAGCCGAGAAAATGAATTGTGTCGCGGCAAAATCAAATTGCTTTTCATTTGAGCGACACGAACGGAGCAGCGACTTTTTGCTCGCTATTTTTCCGACAGACTGATATAAGAGTCTAACCATTAGGGAAACTGCAATTTTCGGGCAAATCGATATTGATGAAACAGGGAAAAATGATGATTACAAAAGTCTGCCAAAGTCGGACACTTGGAACACTTCATCTACAAGGATTTTCCAACTCGCGCTTTGCAGAAACAGGCAAAATTTTAAGTCAGAAAGTTGGTAAAATTCTCACGCTATTTTTCGAGTTTACAGGGGAAGTACTCCAAGTGCGACGCTCAGATTTTGATGAAACTTGGCACAAATTTAAAATAATTTTTTCTAAGATATATGCGAGAATCCTAATTTGCGCTTTGCAGAAACAACCGAGATTTTTCGATCGAAAGTCGGCCAAAATTTAGGACTTTTTGCCGAATTTTGGCATGAAAAGTTTCATGCCTATTTCTACCGCAAAGAATAATGTTCCGGGGCTAAGGTAGTACAGCCCCCCAGTCCAGTTTAGCCCCCCATGACCCAGTACAAACCCCCTCGTCCGTTCTGAACCCCAAAATTTATTTCAAAGAATTAATCCAAGTTGTATGGTCCAGCACAAGCCCCCTACGTTTTAGATGAAGCCCCCTACGTTTTAGATCAAGCCCCTTACGTTTTAGATGAAGCCCCCTCCGTTTTAGATAAAGCCCCCTACGTTTTAGGTCAAGCCCCCTACGTTTTAGATCAAACCCCCAACGTAGTAGATCAAACCCCCACTTACATTTTTTGTATTATTCTAATTTGTTCATTATGTGGGGTGTGAAACGGGCAAAACAGTGGGGGTTTGAACTACCTTTCGTGGGGGGCTCAACTACCGAAGCCCCAATGTTCCTACAAAAAATCAAAATTTTCCGCACGAATCTGCCAAAGTTATGGCCAAAAAGCGTTTTTTCCCTCAGACCGCTCTCCACGTCTAGCGTGCTCTCTCGGCGGCAAAGATCGTTCGATATCTCGGCGGCGCCCGCAAAGCGCGAGCTAAAACTTTCAGGAATTGATATCCAGTCCATACCCGACGTGTGTGCAAAATTTAAAGAAAATCTGAGCGTCGCACTTGGAGTATTTACTTCCCCTGTTAGATGTATAAGCCTCGCCCTATTTCTTTCAGATAAAAAGTTTCAAAATACATAGTCTACACGATTTGGAGAAGGTGTAGTACAAAGCCAGAGGTAAAATTTCGCATCTTTAAAACAGCAATGGTCGTTTTTATCTTCCCGACAGACTGATATCACTAATATCAGTTTGTCGGGAAAATAATGTGGCTCCGCCGCGCCTTGGAATCATCCCATCATGCTATCTAAAAAGCCATCATAAACCATAGCTTCTTTAAATTTCTTATACAACAACAACACCCCTTACAATCAAAGAATACGAAGAGCATCAAAATTTAGAGGTAGGTACGGCAAAGTGGCCAAAATTATAAAGCTGAATCCCCCGTGTAATCATAAATATCAACATGAAGACAAACCCAGTAATTATAATCTATCTGGGGAGGTTGTGAATGAAAATGGACACGCAAAGGGAAGAGAGCGGCTTCTCGGTTATTCAAATTTCCGAGGGAATGGAATTCGAAAAAACGGCTCAGCAATGTTTTGGGGTGGTTATGCGTGACGCTACGTAGGAATACATCAGTCTGTCGGGGAAATAATGTGGATTTGTCGACATAAAATATCTAGCCTCGTCCCAGTCGGGCACCAAATCCCCAGCCTCGGCTAGCCGTCGTAACGCGCTAATGGGTGATTCCAAGGCGTGATAAGTCCACATTATTTTCCCGACGGATTGATAGGAAATAAAAATACTTTGAAATGAAGCAGAAAAAGAATTCACTGTGCGGTCGGCACGGCCGAGAGGACTTTCCGGGCGACAAAAAATTGACAGTGGGACAAATGAAAAATGCACTGTGCAGTTTCTGGTACGAATGAAAAAAGCACTGTGCAGTTGCTGGAGCTATGTAAAGACGCACTGTGCAATCTTTGATGCGCTAAAAAAACGCACTGTGCAGTTTCTGATGCGCGAAAAAGCGCACTGTGCAATTTTTGATGCGCGAAAAAACGCACTGTGCAGTTTCTAACGCGCAAAAAAACGCACTGTGCAATTTTTGATGCGCGACAAAACGCACGGTGCAGTTGCTGGAGCTATGTAAAAACGCACTGTGCAATCTCTGATGCGCCAAAAAACGCACTGTGCAGTTTCTGGAGCAATGTAAAAACGCACTGTGCCGTTTCTGACGCAATAAGAGAACGCACTGTGCAGTTTCATCGCGCGACAAAATCATCAACTACCCTTTTCAAAAAAATCGTTTTGCACCGTGCGTGATTAGAGCGCACAGTTCATTCCATCTCGTTGCGGGTTGCGGAGATGCCGCAACATTGTCGCACTGTGCATCTCAAAACTTTTCGGCCCACCTAGTACTGGATATCAGTCTGTCGGGAAAATAGTGAGCACATTTCCGCTTTTTGCATCGCCGAAATCAAAAGTAATTTATATCATAATTTTGCGGCGACACACAACGATCAGAAAAATTTTTTACTTTAAATGAGGAATCTGATCAGGGAGTTTTGTTAAGACTTAATCAAAGATCAAAAATGCCAAATCTTATCAAAATCGGTCTACAGCAAAAAAAGTAGTAGCGATATTACAATCGAAGGTCAAGACCTACAAATATACCGTTGTGCGTCCTAGCAACTTTGCTGATCACTTATTTGTACCAATTTGGTCATAAAATAGCTTTTTATACTATTACACATATCTGAAATTCCAATTTGGCGTTTCGGACTGATATTAACCATGTTATACATGACAAAATTAAAGTCAATTTTTTTTACGGATTTGACCCAATTATTCTATAAAATAGGTAAACAAGAGCCCCAGTTGACGAAACTCTCCCTCTTCGCTTCTCTAAAGACCCCAAACCTCATTCTTGACAAGTCCAGACCTGCGCATCTTCTTCTCCAAGAATTCCGCGATCGAGGTTAGTAAAATCTCTCAATTTGCTCCCGTTTCATAACTAATATAGTCTTAAAACTGCTCACATGTTCCATTACCTTGGAGTCCTGCTGAGGCGCTTCCTCGGCAGGATATTGATCTTGATCATGGATAACATAATTTTTCCATCTAAAAGTACTTTACTACTTTTTGGGTTGCCAAGACGAGCTTATTCTGGCCTTTCCTTCGAGGTTTGATGGGCCTGGGCATTTTAAACACAAAGAAAAAATAAAAAATAATGAATTGATGGTGCCTATTTTGAAGTATTTTTGCTACTGCTGCAAAACTTGAAGACTGTCGCGACACCCTCGCGATACTAAAAATAGCAAAAAGGAATTCTTTCAATAGGCCGATTGGATGATTAATTTGGGCCGAGAAGATTCTTGATTGCCATAACATTCATTTCCCCTGCCTCTTAATCACCGCTTTCCGTGCAAACGCCTGAGTAAGCACGGATCATTCACTCCGTATCTCCTGCTTTATGATTCCACTTATGAGGTGTCCTAGGGCCGGACCCAACCCCCTTGGCCCAGCCCTAGGACACTCCAGCTAATCCCGCCCTTTTGATGATAATATATAAGCCTGAAAATTCCCACAATAAAAATATCGCAAAATCAACTGTTGTTGTTGTCAGTCAGCGTCGCCATCCCCAGCACCCCCGCGAAAAGGTAGGAGAATTGTAAGATTCTCAAAAGGAGTCGGCAAACCCAGCCGGCCGACTCCCAAATTGTCACCGAGCCTATTCCCGGCCGTGACAATTTTTGGTGACCCCGACGTGATCTAGGTCCGCCAAAGGTAGACCTAGATCGCGCCTCTGAAACCAACGGCAGCTCCCAAAAAAGGGTAGCTAAGAAGTCAGCTCCCTAAAGGGAAGCTCAACTACCGCGGAGACCACGCGCAAGTCCCCACGCAGGATCCCTGCTTCGAAGATTGATCCCAACCTCTACCTGTATCCTTTTACTTGCTGAATCTTCTACCTGTGCTTATCTGATTTGTGCTAAAAGACGATATCAACCCAACAAAGTCCCCCCGAACTATGGACTCCCCTTCCGGCAAAATCCGCCAAGCAATCGGCTTGGCAAAACGCCGCCTACAAGATGCCCTCCGATCCTACCTACAAATCCAAAAGGAAATAGACCTAAATCCCGCTGAAATCAATGACGAGCAACTCTATAACACCTTCGAAACTGCCCATGATGTTTTCCGAAGACTATCCCGAAATGTTCAACGATTAGACGAGCTCCATAACCAATGGCAACGCATCATCGAAACCAACCCATCCGAACAGACCACCTTCGACAACTACATTACCGCTCATGGAGACTTCCGCCCCCTCGTCGAGGAAGGTCGCACCGCCGTCGACCACCTCCGACTCCGCATCGGACTTCTGCGCGAAGCCACATCAAACCGACTCGAACTGACCGACCCTAATGACCTGTACGACAATGGCGAGGGAACACTGGACATCGTCCCCTCTAATGATGCCGTGTTCTCCACCCCAACCACGCCGACCCGTCCCAGCACGCCGGCTACTCCTGCGACTCAGGTAAACCCTCCCGCCGAACTAAGCCAGCCCTCTCCCGGCTGGATGGACCTCCTGTTCCTTCCAAACGTCTCAATCCCCCAGTTCAACGGCAATCCAAGCCG